TTTATTTTTTTTGTTGGTGTTTTTGACGTTGTTGCGAGGTTTTCTTCCGCGTGAAAACTAAATTTTACGGTTTTAGTGAACGCTGAAATCCTGGACGGCCGGGATGCGCACAGATAGGCGCAGATAGGATACGGTAATGCTCCCGGGCTGGTGCGCGGCAGTAAAATTTGTTGTAACTTTATGCGATTTATCGCTCGCTGATAGGGCATCGTCGTACAATTGAGCGCTTTTATGGCGGGCTGCAAAAAGCGGCAGCCATCGCTCGCGCGTTTCTCGTTTCTCGTTTTTTTTCCGCGACGCGCGCGTTCGCATTAGGCAGCAATGACACGGCACGGAAAATCGCGCCGATGATAGCACCACGCCGGAACGCAAACCGATCGCTTCGATTGCCAATTTTATGTCGCTCGGTGTTCGTAATGGCGAATTTACTTTATCACCGCCGCATCGTTTACGTACGCGCATTGCCTCGGAGTACTATACTCCAATTGTGAGCAATTGTATCCGAAAATCTGATTTTCAAAAATGTTACTACCCTTTTACCAAATTGATATTTTTATTACACAATTTAAAAAATTAGATTTTTTTTGGTATCTTGCAATTGTTTGTAAATTTCCAACGTTCAGGATGAAAATTCTGACGTAATGTAAAGATGTTTGTCACTCCTGTGAGCTTACACGCCGCTTATGGTTGTTCCGCCGGTCGGGAAGTACTTAGCTTCCTACGGCATATGCGCCAGTTGAATCTCTCGCATAGAACAACGGAAGCCTCCGACAAAACGAATATCTTCCCTTCTTTCCATTTGCGCAAGACGCGTGAGCGAATGACTTGAATACTAAGAGAGACAGTAAGATGGAAGGAAAACTCAAGTGGCGCACGTTTTCCTCGCATCAATGTAAGTGTCACGCGTGTGTGCCCTCTGCGCCTGATGGAATACGAGCCGACGAGATGACACTCGACATTCGACAATAATATTGTCGTTGAATTTCGGCGCTGCTGCGCTAAGTTTGGCGTCTTTGAGCCGAGGGTTTTGCATAGAGAGGTGCTGTACGTAATGCTTGAATAAGTCGAAGAAAATGCACGCGAAGCAGAGCTCTATTAAGACCTCCAGCGCTATTAATCATGAAAAGACCGCCTAACTAAGAACTAAGCTGTGAAAGTCAAGTCGGAGAGGTTGGAATTTCATCCACAGCATAAAATCTGCTTTTACTCGTATTTTTCGATTAAAGTTAAAATATTGTGAATAGATTCAGAATTAACTGATTATTTCCATTGATGAGTGTTTGGCTTATGTGTGATAAAATAGAAAAACAATGATGAGTGTGATAGAATGTTGTAGCGCGCTGAGAAAATCGGCCCGCAGCGACGACATTTCGCCTCTTCCGGCTTTCCGCGTTCGCATGGCCGCACAGCGTAACAAACGGCGCCGTGCTTCGCTTGTTCGTGCTCATCCAGTTGTTATACGTGCACTGGCGCACACACGCGGACGACTTTTGCCGCCACCACCACCGCCGCCGCTGCCTTTAATGTTGAACGCGAATATTGTTATATTTATCTCTGCGTCCTCCCTGACTTCCGCCCCACCGCCGGCGGGTAGCAACGCGTTTCAATAACGCCTTTCTCCTGCTTTACTGTTTCCACATTTTCTAATATAAAACAAGTAATTCGCATTATTATTAAAACACTTGGTAGAAATAAACCAGGAATAGAAAATTAACTTTTGAAAGTAAAATAACTCGGCGAATAAAATAGCTGAAAAAAACGAATGCGGATGAATAAGAAAGAATGAGGAGTTTCTTAAAGAGATTACAGAGAGCAAACAGAAAAGTTTTCAAATATTTCTTGCCCGTTGTGTGCTCTCCTGCTCCTTTGTGTGTCTCTCGACTGAATGTCGTGAACTTTTAACTTTTCAAGTCGATACATACCTACTACATTCCGATGGAGTTAATTTAATAACGATCTAGAGTTTGAGAAATCAACAATGTTTACATTATTCTTTTAAATATACAATTTGTTTCACCAAATAAAAATAATTTATTAAAATTTTTCCTACGAATGAAAAAATGAGATTAATAGAGTTCGCCGATTCGATTTTCAACGCTGTTGGCTTTCGGGATGCGATTGTACATGAATTTTTATTGGAAAACGTGACGCGCATACGCTCACAGACGGCATCGTAATTTGTTCCTTGTTCGAGGCAAGCATTTCGTTAGTTTTTTTGCTGTGTCGATAGATGATGCCTCCGCAGTCGCGGTTTTATTATGAAAGTAATCAAACTTTTGCATTGGAAATCTATGAAAAACAGGATTTCACAGAAATGTATAATCATAAAACTATAATTATTACTTATTATTATTTTTTTACTTAAAAAACAAACCTATCATATACGCATGCGCAGTAGCGCATAAAATAGAGATTTCAACTATTTTACTTTGTGATATCAAAACCGATTCGTAATGATTATCACAAACGTCCAATCTGTGCAGGACATATAAGGGGCTTGTAATGCTGACCTGACAACTCGAATCCTGACCACACTCCTACACATCACTGGGAGATGGGGTGCTGATGTGATGCTCATGTTGCGTTTCCGTTAAGTTGATCCGATTACAAGTTGCAACACGTTATTTAAGCCCCCCATGCTCGCAACTTGTGTGCACATTCCGATATTCCAATCGAAATCAAACGCGCTAAGCCGTAGCGACTCGACTTATATCATGTGTGCGCCATTCCGGCATGCTGGTCGTAACGACCGATCCGGTGCAATCACAATTCCCATCATCTTTTATCATCTTTTCCGGATGCGCCAAGCACCTACCATTCTTTGCAGAACTTTTAAAACGACTTGTCGTATTTTTGCCTCGTTTGCATCTTCCAATGATCCAATCTTATCTTCTGGACATGAATATTACGAGTATTATCCACCTTGGGATTTATAGGTATTAATAATCTACTTAATGTTTAATTCTTAGTTTGGGTCTTATATCAAGTGAGTTTTGGGATTCCAGGCCTCCTAATTGAAATTCAGAAATTCAGCCGTGTGGTTATTATATGCTAATTATGTGCACCGCTAGCAATTAGTTAATTCCATCCGGAGACGCACTTGTGTGTGAGGGGGCGGAACACCTGTCTCGGTACTCACATCCATTAAATACGCGCAGGGTTGCGGCGCCGCCGTAAACTCCGCAAAGTTTAAGAGAATATTGTTTTGCTTCGTGCTAACCAAATATGGCTAGCGGGAACCCCGGTAAATTAAATTTAGATAAATTCATCCTCATTACGACCCGTTCAGGTAAATAATAACATTTCAGTTTTGGGATTTGTTTCTGTTCGTGCAAGGTAAATATTTTGCTAATAATTGTGGTCAAGCGAAAATATTTCAAAATTTGTTTTAGACATTCGGGATTCGTGTTTATGTGTGTTTATGTGTGTGTTAGGGGTTGAATTGAGGGGGTTTCTCTGATTACGCATGTGCGTCAATAGTTGCTTGTCCAAATATTCGCACATCGTGAGGTTTGCATTATTGGACAGGAGTATAGATTGCGTTTCAGCTTTGGTTGCGTAATCCGCGTTTGGAAATTCGATATCTACACAATCCACATATATACACAAACAGATATAACCAAAACCTAACCTAAAAACAATAAATTTTTATCGTTGCCTATTTAGTTTCTGATTGTTTAGTCATCACACACCTGTAGCCAGTTCGGGAAACTCTCTGGTGATACTCGGCGTTCGCACGTTGTTAATGAACACATTTGTGTTACACATTTGCGTGTCCTGCATGCTGCAGGTGTTGGCCGCCCGGAAACCCGGAAGCCCGGATGCCTAGCGCGTCAGTATGCGGATAATTAGGCTCGGATTTAATGCGTTTCTGCATCACGTGCGCATCCCGGGCGCAATTGCGCTGGGAATTCACCACCGCATAGCGCTGTGTATATATCGATATTAGTCCTATAACATTACGAAGGGAAAAATTAATTACAAGTTAGAAATTAGTTCGCCGCGCGCAATGATGCGAAAGTTTTTTATTATGCCAGCTGTGGAAATTACAACGCGACAATATTTAATGAAATAGTTCAAACGCGAACAAAAGCAGTTGCGCAACGTAATTGCAATCAAAAAAGTTTTTTTGCGTTTTCCGGGAAAACGCTTTGTCCGCTGGGTGTGACGCACGTTTCCGGTCACACAGTTTCGCTCGTTTGTCAATTAATTTTCGCATTATTAAAAATTATGCGCTTTCTGAGAACAACGCATGACTTTTTCGGGTGAAATTCAGCATGTACAACAAGATAATAGTGCAATGGGTGTAACTGACGCGCCCGACGAGCAATTAGATTCGAATTACAACGCACAATTCAATCGAACCGCGAAATTAACAAGCGTCGTCCACTTTGTATGCGATTTATCATCCGTTACAATTCAATTCCTATTGTTGTGCGAGCGCATTGGGAATAGTTTTTGTGTGTTTCTGTTCGCTGTTAACACGATATTAATGGATTTAGAATTTTCCTGACTATACTGTCATAAAAATCGCCTTGCTTCGCATTTTCGAGAAATGCATGTTACAACTTCCTGGACGTGGTTTGCATTTATCACAGTTTCCTGCGGTCTCCGGACGAAAAGGAGGTCCTTTCAATAGTCGGCTGCTGCCGCCGTCCGTGACGCAGCAGAGCGTAAAATTAAGCAGCATTTTCCAGCAGTTATCACGAAACGATTTATGTGCACACGCCGTGCGGATACGTTTTCCGGCACGATCCTGTATTCATGGAAATAAATAGCAAGTATATGGCGTGAAATTTGTCCTGCAGACTGTGCATCTTCCGACCTGCGCTTGCATCAGGTGGTAGTCATGGCGACGCAGCGTGTCGCGGAAATGAACGTGCAAATATTTACATCCTGTCGTCCTGCTCTGCTTCCTGTCGACACCCTCAAATAGTTGCGACTAATTAAACGTGAATAAAATCAATTATTTAATAATTTCTTTCTTTCTATTTTTGCAGGAGGAGAAATATTTTGCTGGCAATTCAAGATCAAAGAAACGGATTTCCAGGTAAGAATATTTTTTGTTTAATTTTTTTGTTTTTTTGCGAATTTAAGTGATATTTTTATTTAACAAGCTTGCCGCCGTTAACTGGCTTTTACTTTTCCGCTTCTCCTCGTTGGAGTTTTATACATTTTGGCCTGATCTGTGCGCGCGTGTTAAACCTTTTTGCGTTTCAACCTTTCCAAGCCTTTTAACTTTCCTTTTTGCGTTTTTCTTCGACTTTTTGAAGCCGGCGCGCGCTGAAAACGCCATCAAGGACCCATCAAGAGCAAAAGCTTATTAATTCGCCTTTGTGTGCACGCATCCTACCATCCATCTGGGAGCGTTTTGTGTGTCGAGCATGAGTACTCGACGCGTGTGCTTTACCGCCCTCAGCGTGAGTAAACTCTCAGTCATCAACCTCGCGCATAAATTACGCCAGCGCGGCTCATTAAAATCACTTGGCCCGCGACCTAAATTACAAATTATTTACTTTCCGGAAAAAAATTCACTCTAAAAGAGTTTGTAATTATTTGTATGTTTTTGCAATCATCACAAATTCATTTGATGTGATTTTTGTTGGAAAAAAAAAAACATTTTTGCATTAATTCCCAATTCGTTGCTAATGATGTTTTCCGGTTGATGACTAAATATATTCCCCAGCGTGTGTCAGGTGGACAAAGTACAAATATGTGTTGTTTGTTTTTTATGCACTCGCACGGCGCTTTTTTGTTTCGTTTCTCTGCTTTTTTTTCTGTCAACATGTCGCTTCGATTTAGTAGATATTCCTCGCTAAAGCCATTTCATGCTATGCATTATCCAGAACAAAATTTAGAGTTGAATTTGGTGTTTTACTCTTCATAAACCAAAATTTATGCTGTTTATGCAACCATATGTACAATGTAACATCCGAAACAGTTGACATCTATCTGTGTAATATGTGATATTAGTATTTATGACTCCACATTACACTCACACACATTGTATGTAATGTATGTGCTGTTTTTTTTTCCAAGACACATTTTATTGTTTGCTTTTTATACGCTATAATTTCCAATGATAGCACGCGCGCAATGCTTCCGGTTTAAGAGGCGCTCCGAGTGAAATCTTTGCGCCATTATCCGTTTTATTATCAGCGGTGCTCTTGCATGCATAAAACACGTGTATCATGAATTTTTGTGAGCGCTGAAAATAAACAAAAGCGAAAATCTTTACGAGACCATAGAGAGAGTCTTCTGCCTCCTCCTCCTTCGCGGCGTACTTTTAACATGTGCCCTTTGCGTTAGAGCTAAGGAGTTCCCAGGGAGCACGCGAACCTCTTGACTCTTCATAGCTCTTAGTTTTTCGTGATTTCGTCCCTCGCGCAGATAGCGGTAAGGAAAAGTGCCGGTTCGGTTAAAGCCTCCCCGTTGCAATACTCGCGGTCCGGCGCAATACTCGTAAAACCCTTGGATTCTCTCCGCGCGAATGGCGGCTATTTTTTCTTTATCCGAGCGGATTTCCAGCGCGTATCTATCTTACATCTATTGTAATATATATTCGTTTGCCCGGCGAGCGGAGTTGACTGGCGGGCGATGGCAAAAAGGCGGTCGCGGTCGTCGGTCGTTTCTTGCGTGCCCTATCGTTACGGAGCGTTAACTCCGGTTATTTTTTCGTTTTGTGTCGTGCGGGGTGCGCGTAGGCGCACAAAGGAATCAAGAATGGGCATGAGCAATAAATGCATGAGACGTTTTCAATTTTAGTTTTATTGAAGGCAGAAATCCGGATTTCCTTCCGACCGCCAGTGGAAAATTTAATGAAAAAAATTCACTATTGAAATAAAATGCCCGTGGAGAGAGAGTCTGAAACATTTGACGAGTCATTAGCGCCATTCTTTAAGCAGCTTTTGCTTTTCTTGCTCTTAGAGCGCTTGATGATGAGGAGCACAATTTGCAGGCCACTCATTGAGCGATTTTCTTTTCGCAAACTTAACCTCGACTTGAATGCTCGGCGATTTTTTGTTTGGCTTGCGCCATTGTGATCCCATCCCGGGGTCCAATATTGCGTTTCGGCTTAACCCGAGTTTTCCCGCTGAAGTTGGTTAGCCCGCGACACGCCCACGTTGAAAATTGTGTTTGAGCGTGGCGGCGGATGGAAATGCCGCCGCCGCCGTATCGAGAAACTTTAAACTGGTTAATGTTATTATTGACTTTGGATTTACGAAGCGTGGATAATGGATGATACTAAGCGTCTCGCTGGCTCCCCGAGCGAGGGTGGAGCGCCGAAACAAAAACAAAAAAATTTGAAGCAGCGAAGAAGAAGTCGCTTCAAAGTCTCTGATGGCTCAAATGCGAAATTGTTGTCACAATATCATCATCAATTTTAAGCAGGCGCATATTGTCTTTTCATGAAAATACCAAACGACCATTGATTTTTCCACCCCCCAGCCGGAGGGTGATAGCTTAGTGTATTTTGAGTTGCATAAATTAGCAATCACGCGGGGCGATTGTGCGTCAAATGATCCAAGATTGGAAATAATACTACGGTCGCTGATTAGCGCATGGTGACCACCGGACAAACACAAGGGCGGTCAATTTATCGAACCGCCAGGTCAATTATTGCGCGCGTAATTCAATGGGCCAGGTTTCGGCTTGTCTTTGATATGCTAATTAGCATTATGCTGATGAATGTGCCAATGTGCGTACGTCGCATAGATTGCGTGCCGAAATGAAATTCACCCCCCAGGCATCCGCAATCACATTCCCTTGTACGTTGTACACACCAGCACCCAAGGCATGGCATCTAATGGCAAATCGATATGACGAGATGCCATCGCGAGATTTAATCAGAGACCCATTCAAAATTGATTCAATCAGCGTCGAAATTCGGCGCAAAAATTTGAATCCAAATCTTGAAATTGGCGAAATTTCGACGACAAACAACGCCGTTTTACGATGAAAAATTCCACCGCCGCTTACGTTTTGTATTTGAATAAATTTTCGGCGCGTTGTGTCATGGCGCCAGGGGGAAATATGAACGAATTCAATTACGCCGGGGGGCGGCGAATTTAGTGTCGCGCCACTAAATGCCTCTAATGCGCCGTTGCGCGTTTCTTTCTTGCTTCAATTTTGCACCCAATTCTTCACGCAAGGCTTTGCATATCGCCCAGCAGCAAATTTTCTCAATTTCATTTCTTTCCACGGCGCGCGTGTTTTTTTCGCAGACTTAAATTTACATTGTACGCGCGCCAGGCCTCGTTTCTTTATCTCGAGAGTAATGTTGGTTGCCTCGTAATGAACCCCCAGCCCTCCGCCTTGAACGGCAAATGTTTATTGTAATGTGGAAATTTCGTGCTCGGGACACTTATTCCCGCGTAAGACTTTTTTACGTTTTCATTATTTGGATGTTGAACAAGCAACATACACGCCTGGATATAGGTGTGATAGATGTAAATAAATTATGCGACCCTCGGTGCGCACCACTAATCCGCTATGATACCGATGGTAATTTCGTTTCGATCGGTCTCCCGACACCGCCGGCCATTACGGTTTACACAATTCGCGGGATTGTTACCGCGCGCGGAATCGACAGTTCACTTTATTTCGCATACCACACCCAACCATTGGTTTCCTCTTCACTTCACCGACAGCCGGAGCAGTAGCAGCAGCAGCTGGAACACTAGTGCCCAAAGTTGTGGGTTTTGACCCAATCGAGGAGCGTTCGTGCATTTCATACACTTTGACATCCAATTGCTTCCATTTCACTTCCAGCGCCATACGTTGTATACCAGCTTGATGTATAGTTAATTTGGGGCACACAAGTGGCGCTACCGCAGTAAATCAGCCCTGACCATGCATTATCGACGCAATCTGCCCGATTGCAGTTGCATTAATTCATTGGCGCGCGCTAAAAAGCGACTTTAACGGCCGCCAAGCGCAATTGTTGAATGACCAAAGAGACCTGAAACTGTCCCAGCGATTAGCAAATTAATGTCGAAACACCACACATAATTTCCATGCGCACAGCGACAAATTTTTGTTTCTCTGTTGCAGATTGGACATTCCGGGGCGGCAAAAATGTCAGGGTAAAACATCATTTCATATTATAAAAGTAATCAACACAAAAGCACTCGACGCAATATAAGTTTGTTGTTGTCGCATGTTGTATTTTATTCTCTATGCAGCGAGTGGTGCATTTCTGCAATCGTACGCTATAATTGAAACGAAGTCCTAGCGCCGGGATAAAGTGCTCTTGTGGATGAGAATGAAAATTTCGCGAAATGTTTTCGGCGCTTGCATAATTAAAAGTGTCGGAAATGCCTCCACGCATGCGAGGCGAATAAAATAAAACAAAATGTTTTTTGGTTGATCAAAAGTTTTGCCCAAAAAATTTGCAATTTGTGCGCGTTCATTCAACTTGTTTTCGGCAATGATTACGAACGATGAGGAAACGAGAGTCATACTCGAATCGTCGGTCTTTTAATTATCTCGTCGAGTTGATTTCATTATTGTCACATTCGCAGTTACGGGCGCCGCCATGTCGCCGGCGTCGGCGAACGAACACACCTCGTTAAAATTATTATTAAATTGTCGGTCTTTTGAAACTCGAACGACGTTTGCATTACTTGCTCTCCGCTGAGCGTTGGGCGCGTTTAATGCTCTTGTTTCGAGAAGTTGACAAGCAAAAACCCCGGCGAAAGGAAAATGAGTTTATGTCACTTGAACAACAGAAATTACTAAATTACACACACATTTATTCAAAGTTTTCGTGTGTATAAATTGCGATGAGATTCGAATCGGAATTCAAACTTTTCTGCGCGCGAGAATCGAATCAATGGGTTTCTTTTCTACACTTGGTTGAGTTGTGTTTTGCGAGCAGCGAGTGAGGATCCGCCGGGAGAAAAGTGGACGTTTGAAGAAGTCGACAAAGCGGCTGCAATTTTCACCTGCCATTCTCAGCCCGGATCGCACCCTCGTTTTCGCAAGCTCACTGCGTGATTCAGCCCAAGTTCTCGCATTCGTCCTCGTCGCACAAGAGAGTATTATCACCTACTTGAGGACCTAATCCACTTTTTTATTTAGTTCCTTCGCGCGTTCGCCGTGTGACTGTTTAGTTTCTGGAGTTACTTTTTCGCCCTTTTTTTTCTTTCATCTCGTCGCTTGTTGTCGGAAAGCACTTAAAGTAAAAATTTATAAAATGCTTTGACATTGCACGAGATTTCCACCGCTGTAAATTAATTTTTAAACGAAAGTGTTTTTTTCATTCTTGGCGCTCGCTTTTGAAATTTGATATTTGTGCGCTCGTTAAGGCGCGAAACGAAAATGAAAGCGGTGCGTTTTTTGGGCGTGCAAATAAATATCAGTAAAATATAAAATTAAAGAACTTGAAAGAGTTGAGCGGTCTCTTTTCGGCGTAACGATTTCAATTAAAAGACCTTAATTTGCTCCGCTCGGATTATTATGAAAAGGAAACAGCGTTTTCGATTCGCACGCTTCTGAAACTCGGACGGACACAGAAGAAAAAAGAAGCAGATTGAAATTGGTTGGTAAGCAGCAGGCGTGTGCGAGGTGCAGACCAGGAAAAGTTTCCCTCCTTGGTGCGCGCAAGTCTTCTTTCAGTCAAAGCAATATTTTAACGTCGCATGCAAAAGTTTGGAGTGGCGGCCGCCGAAAAACTCCCACCCAAGCAATATTCCAAGATGAACGCGGTAATTAAGTGTTAATATTCGTTGCCGGCGCATAATTTGCGCACAAACCTATTAATAATCACCGTAATGAAAGTCTAACACGAATTTTCGGAAAATGCTCAACTTTGAGCGACATGAAAGCACCGCGACTCCTTTGGCGATAAGTCCCTTTTTCGTATTTCGACGCACAATGCATTCGGCTTTGCGGAAACATCCGCAGAATTGTTATGGCGAGATGACAACGCCGTCGGCGCTTACATAAAACCAGGGGCGGGTATAAAAATAAAATAAAAGCAAGGTTTTAAAGGTTCGTCATTATCCGTCTCGCGCGGGCGGCGGCAGGACCTACAAAATGACAATAAACGAAAAGAAAAATGAAATGAAGATTAAGGGGATAATATAAATTTGAAGACGGCGTAATCGTCAAGAATCACATCAACTTTTATACTTTGCAATAATACAAGAATGGCGCACGCACACCGAATGGAACTGCACTAGATTATTAATCTTGATATCTTCAGCGCGTTCATCTTCTTCAATGGTGGTATATGCGGGCGAAGATCATATCAATCTTCTGAGGAGAATCTAATTGAAGATAACACAATCGTTAAATTCTCTATATACGTCGGTATATTATCCGTAATAATTTAAAAATATCACATTTTACGAGTACTTGCAAAATAATTACGTGCGCTCTTAAAATTCATAACTGGTCATGATCCAGAATTATGCAAATAAAAATCGGCTCGTGAGTGCGGGTGATGTCCGTAATCCGATGACGCAGCTGATGCCTGATATTAGTCCTAATGGCTTCCGACCGGCAGAGGTCCTGGCTGGCAAGAAGGGACGACTAACGAATTTGGCTCCGGCCAAAAACTACGGAGGCGAAACTCCTTTATTTATAAATTGGCCCATCTGTATGCAACGCGCGCGGGCTGTGTTCGGACGTCTTCGTTGCGTCCGCAAATACACACACAATACAAGCCCAGAAAGTGCCGCCGGGTTTCATCAGACTCTGTATATGATGTTTAAAACGTTAAAATGTTTTAGCCCGAAATTATGCAATCGGCCATCTCCTAATTTACATTGAGGGGAAAAACTCGCTTTTTCACCAGACGCAATATACAAAGTGTTTTTATTTTTAAATCTAAATATTTCTATAGTATGGATGTGGATGGAAACATTTTTGGCAAACACTTTGTGTGTAATGCTCTGTGCCACGCAAAAAATAATATTTGCGCCGCTTTTGGCTCATGTTTGCAATTTAAAGATACGGCGGCGTTTAATTGCTGGAACACGACGTGAATACGCATCGCGCATTAGGTTTTAAATTGATACTTAGCCCGGGCAAGCAGGCGCGCGCGTTAAAAATAAGATTAAATCGATTTGCGAGAGATTAGCGGTCGAAATAATAACGCGTGACGCGTGCGTGAACGTAACTCGACACTCTCGAACAACGTCGATGCGCGCTCATCAGATACGAAGGATATTGATTTACCATATTATAGTTCTCGGTTCACCTACACATCGTACGAGACAGTACACGACCCATGTTCAAAAATCTATCATTTAAAGCCAATAGAGTAGATTGAGATTATTTTACCATATATTCGTAACATAATAATTGAACAATATAATTAGCGTGCTGACTCGCAAGTTATACAAACTTGATAATGTAGGGTGGAGTTAAGAAATAACTATTAAAAGAAAACGAAAGCAATTAATGTGTGCGTCTACGATATCATCTATATTCAATTAGATTTATAATCGTACGTTTATATGCGTTTTTCTAGGTCTTTGCAAAATATTATTTATGATACTTTATGCCTACTGTATGGACAAAATTTATTCAATATCCAAATATTAAATTTACGGCTCTTTGCTGTTTAATAGTTGCGTAATTTATATTCCTAATAACAAAATATTGAAATATATGTTTTGGCCATTACACGACTCATCATCATTCTCATATATTAGCACTTTCATTTTGACATTAGTTTTGAACTTCGCTCTTATATAAATAAATACTAAATTTTATTAAATTACAAAATGACATCATGCATCATGCACACAAATTCTTCTTCAGTATAATATCGTCACGAGTATAACAACGCGAATCGGATCTCGAAACCATAATCACGCAGAGCACATCTGCATAACGTGATAATTTAACCTCATCTCAGATTAGACGGTAGCGACATGTTTTGTCACCATACCAAAATTTCTCATAAATTCGAAATGAATACATAATATATACAAGATCTGTAGCTTATTCTGACACATTCTGAACTAGTTGCTCAGCAAGATCAATAAATCGTAAACCATAAAAGAAAGTTGTTTCGTTTGCAAGCCCATCTATTTTTTTTTAATATGTGTATCAAATTAAGGCTTACTTATTTGGAAAGTCACAAGCATATTTAAGATATCCAAGATGCAGTACACATTTTCTAATATATATGTTATCTATTGTAATAACATAAGTTGTGTATTCGTCTACAATTATAATACCACAATTAAATCGGGAAGTTAATGATCGGACCTCGAATAACGCGCTTCGCCAAAGTGTAGGTGAAAGTCTTCACTAAAATATACGAGTAGGTATACGAAGGCATCCACAAATCTAATTTGTAAAGATTTCAATACTTCACCGACAAATTCAAACTTGGAATTATTTTTTTACAAATATTATAAACGCAATTTTATTTACAAGTGAAACCATTGTACTTACTGAGCTTTAAAAATTTCATTTAAGTATTAAATTTCTCCCCTTGTTGCCTTGTTCTGGTTAACGAACTACGAATTCCGACTGTTTTCGTCCAAATTACGTCTGAAACATTGAGCGTGACTCGTCGGCTCGTCGTCGCAAGCATTTCTTTTTGTCGTCTTGTCGTAACAGTCTCAATTTGGCCATCTCATAACAGTGAATTGCAAGTACTTGTAGTGCGTTTATGTAATGCAATAATAACTGTCAGTTATATATTTAAAATAAATAATTCAAACCATAAACAAACAATGCAATATATAAATTGTATTTAGGTGTAAATACCACTGTACATTCACAATATTCAATGCCACTTAGTACTATCTATATTTATTACTTATTACATTATTTAATCTATCTTTTTACACACATTTTTCACAGGCAATATTCACTTTCACCTGGGCAAGCAAATCAGCATACCCTTCAGCGAGACTATAATTCATACGGTGTGCAGCACTGCTGGGCCAATTCATTATGTCATTACCGGCGCGCTGTGATGTACCTGATGTTCTCTGCCTTTCTCCGCTCTTGACAGGTCTGGCGCAACCCACAACCAAGTGACAACAATAATTTGTGACAATGACACAATTTATTTTGCTTGAATTGGCACATTTTCGCTCTAAAGTACGAATTTACTAATTTATAGATTCCTTCGATTGGTAAAACAACAGCATCAGAGTTAATTGTATTGTTGTATGTAGGTTTAGAATTGAACAATTAAATGAAAGTAAAAACTATGAAACGCACGTGGAATACCAGTGTGGTGGAGGTGAAGTCGTGATGATGCGCGCCGCGCTGCAGATGCATTTTCACTTTTCAATTTGATTGTAGATTGTGGGAAGAGAGGATGCCACACGGACAATGATGCGAAATGTTACTGTCCATTAAAATCTATTCACCAGCATGAACCATGACTTTAGATTTGTGTTCTATTCAACTAGTTATGTGACTTTTAGTATTAGCAAAATGGGTATTTATCATAATTTTTAAAACACATGGCCGAAAAAAACCATTCATTGCTTGTAAGTATAAACATTGTTTTTTTTTTACTTGAAACTAATTCAAAAATAAAAGTAATAAAATGATACACCGCTAAAAGAGCATTTCAACATTAAAAAAAATTTAAATAAATTTACATTTAACAAACGACTACATGGGGGCATTAGAAGTTGTATTTTGGATGGAAAAAGTTTTGCAAAGTGTTAAAGTGCAGAAGGAAAGTATTTATGATAAACTTGGTTCAAGTAACGTTATAAATCATTGTCAAACGTTTTAAGCTATAAATGTACATACAAGTGACGTCAAAAATCGAATTAATTTTCTAGTTAGAATAAATTATGTATGCAGATCATGTGAGTCGGACTATTTAAAATATTTTATCAACTGACGTATTAAAAACATTCATTAAATGATAATTGTGAATGTACCTGCAAAGCCGCACCTTGGATCTTTACCTACATGTATGAATATCTCAAATTAATAACACCTTCAAAACGATACTGAACTTCTAACAACTCATGCATTTCTTTTTTGGTCGGGCTGGACCGGTTGTTACAAATTTCTGTCCGTTAATATGAGCAGAGATCAATCGAAAAGAAATTGAAGCAGAAAAGCAATCGAAAATTTCTTTTTTAAGGCCTAGAGCTATGCGTTAACTCAATATTCAAGTATGCTTCCAATTTCTCAAAAAAATATTAAATTCGAACACAAAATGCAGAAATATTATGTTGTGATAAGATTGAATCGATTTGTTGTCAGATAGTTTTGATTGTTTTGGGTGTTATTGAGGTTTGATTTGCAATTACATATTTGTTTTTGTACGACCGCGAAGCAATACATTTAGCGTTTTATGCAACCATACAGGAAGTGATGCAGGATGAACGACCGTCTCTACAGTTGCCAAATACTGACACCAAGAAAACTTAAACCGCGATAAATCTTAACTTTGCAATTTCTTATCGATTGTGCCTCCATTATGAATACCGACCTAACTATTTAGTTGTATGTTCGTATTAATGTTTGTTAGTTTTTTTTTTCAAGCGGAAAAGTTTTCAACGCATCGAATATATTTCCTCATACTCTGTCGCGAGACAGTCTCTTAACAGTGCGACAGGCGACCGGAAACAATTCAACCAAAACTGGTTAGTGACTCTGACGTAAGCTTAACGATACGCCGACGTTCTTGGACTTCCGAACGACGTCGCTCAAATCCAAGAGATGAAGACAAGCAAGCTCAATGAACGTTTGGAGTGCTTTGGACTCTAATCGCTCATGAACAATTTTGAAGCAGTGGAAGAAGACGATGCAGAAGAAGTCTCTACCGCAATCGAGCATTTCTGGTTTTCGCAGCATTGCTGCGCGTGTGACGAGCATTCAAGAGCCAACAATGAAAGAAGACCTTTCACTACCTATGCGAACCAACTTGATGTTTGAAGTAAAACAACAATTCAAACTAGTAATAAACAAATCTGCGTTTAATATTGTTCTTTCCAACGTTGGTGTATAGATTTAAAAACAAATAATTTTGATGATGATTTCTTTTCTATTACGTAAGCCAAAAAAGTTTTGCCAGTAGAAGATATTTCTAATCTAATGTATTATTATTGTTCACTTTCACAGAATTATTCTCAATTTGTTTACACCAAACTATCGACATACTCGTAACTAACTAATGCCGTTACCGCAAAAAATGAAGTAAAAACTGCAAACATTATTCCAATACTTTGAGTAGGAGCAATAATTAATTAAACCAATTAGGTAATACTATGCGGAAATTTTCATTTATTGAAATACTCGTCGGTATTTATTGAAATACTCGTCGGTACTCGGTAATCTCACCGGATATAATTACGTAAACTCCAGCTAAACGAAGGTGTACTTCAGTAATCAGCATTCTGATCGCTTCGCTGACACCATTTACACGCAAATCTACTATTCAGAACACCAGCTTACAAAATCACTTAAAGAACGAATTGGACGTGCTTGTTTCTTGGAATTAAATATTTTAGTTACATCTTTTCATGACGTCGGAACTAAATAAAACGGACTTACTTGATTGAGTTAATCTCGAAAGTGATTGAAAATACTTCTCAAACCTGTTTGTGCATACTCTCGAAATACATATGGTGTGCGGCTTTAAACATATATCTACCTACATGATGGAATTCAAATGAAAGTTATTTGAGCGCAAAGTGACAGAAATACCAAATTTCGTTATGTTTAGAAGTAAGCAGAATTGTTTACGGAATGACAACACAAAATATTGAACTTATTATTTTATTTCTGTAGTGAATATGATTGTCGCAGGTAACCAACATGATTTATATCATTACTAATCTGTATTTCCTCTTCCCGTAACATTTTCTCGGCAAAGTAACCAACATTATAAACAGTAGGTGAGGAAAGAGTAACTTAAAATAACTTTCTAACTTCTTGCGTTTGCCCTGACATTGTTTCCATTGCTGATAAAGAAGAGCGCGACACGATAATCCGCTCAGCTCGACGAATTACGTCGCGTTACGTGTGCTGCCTTAAACAAACATTACGCGCAAATTGTTTAACGCGAATTACACAATTTGCATACCAAAACTTATCTCAACAAACAACACTGAATAAAACAAAATAATGCCGTTCTTTTTCTATTCCAGTATAATGATTAATTACACGAATGTATTATAGGTATGTGAGACATGTGTTGATTTCGCGTGAAAGTATGAAACGGGCTTGTTTTTATGCAGATGAAATCAATTGAAAGAAAGATTCAAAACACTTTCTTGACATTTTGGTACGTACAAATATATCCAAGCATGTGTGTTAAGACAGCTTAATAGCGGCATTAAAAAGCAAATCGCATTAATAAACTACCATAAAATTCTAATCTGTATTAATTCCATGCCATATTTTTTTTTCTTTGCAATTTTGATTAAATTTAGCAACTTTCATCTCAATCAAAATACTTTAATCCGTGAGGTCAGAAATTTCCTTCATACGGGCCTATTTCACAATTGATTTATGTGGAGTGCATGCACTAAATAACTACGCACTGAGCAGTGCGTGCGGTGAGAAAAATTGTCAGCACCGCGGCAGACCGTCGCCATGGCGACTATTTTCACTATATTGTGCGCCCACACACATTAAAATGCTAAATTATACAAATATGGCGAAACAAGACTGGTTAGATTCAGCACGCAATCAATTGGTTGTAAATAAACAAAATTAAAATGGTAATAATAAGCACAAATTCAAGCATGAGCATGTAGTAAATCTGACGCAACTTGGAGGTAAGCTGTACCTCGAACACAGCAAGACCGCTTTCCTGATAAATAAATATAGAGATGCAGGAAGCCGCCAGTGTTTGATCGAGGTGGTAAATACAATACAAGAAGCAACACGCTAAACTAATTTTACTACATGCTTATCTCAAACATTATCTCTAAATGTGATTCATAGTAGAGGCATTCTGTTAGATAAATATGACACTTTTCGACAGTAAATAAACAACAAAGTGGTAATTCACCAAATTATTGCAAAACTTTATTGCGTTTTTTTAATAGCCCAGTCCAAATTGAGATTCGAGTAAATATATATATACAAACCTACATAAAAGAAAGTAAAAACTTGAAATTACTTTCAAGTATAAACTCCCAAGACGCAGTTGTGCGATGCTTCGAGATGTTTGATTGCATAAGAGCCGTCCGATTATATGATGTTATTATGTGAGTATGAGAGCATCCGAGCACATATTGTAATTCGAGTAATGCCAATCTTTATTATTATTAATTTAACGTTTAGTCGGGCGTGTAAATGCGGTAAAACGAGTGCTTACATGCATACAGGTTTCATTCCATCTGCCTCAACATACTCCATGGCCAGCACCGGTCGCTTTCTTTTCGCGTTTCATACATTGTAATGTGTAATTATAGCTTGTAGTGCGGTGTTTTTAATAAGACGCACTGTAGCTTTCCTAAAAAATTATCTAATCACACTCAAGTCAATTAAAGTCGGAGTAGATATGGAGGAAAAACCTAGTTTCTGTTGAAATTAATAAACCAACAAACAATTCGAATTAATATAGAAATATGTAATATTTAGTCATTCTTTACAAATTACTAAAAGTACTAAAGTTGTCTACTGATTAATAATAATAAGTCTAACTAAATAACCGAACGCGTAATTAACAATTCAACCATCTTAAATCTTAAGCGCTGCATACACAAGCTCCTGTGGCACAACTTCCGACTGGGGTTGTGGCGTTGCTTGCAGCACATCCTCTCGAGCAAGCTCTTCTCTGCATTAAACAAGGAATAGTCCTGTACTGACATAGCGGACCAGTGAAGCACGGAGATCCCGGGGTAATTGTATTTTGATTGAAAATTGTCCTTGCATTTTCTCCTAAATCACATTAACATTTGAAATAGTAAACAATTGAAGTTAGTTTAATTACCATCTATGGTCGGAACGCCATTAGACCATGCGACGTAAGCAATCAAAACTGCGCAAATAATAAACTTCATGATGTTTTAATTTTAAGTATAAAGGCACAAGCTCTTGTAATGTTAATTAGAATTGTTTTACTGATGAGTTTAATCAGAATTCCGTTTTTATATAGATATCGCAAATTTAGGTGCCCTTGAAACTGTATACAGCAAAAAATGTCTTATCATTTTTAAAATATAATAAGAATAAATAAATTATAAATCCCCAGCTACTAAACGAATGAGTAAATAATAAAGCATATGCTGTAATGTTTTAATGTTCAGCGCAACACTACGATTGCATTTGATTAGCTGCGAAGAGAATGACGTGAAAGTTATGATATTGATTTGTTTTCAATAGCATGAGAATCTATTGTGTTGAATATTGATTGCATCTGCTTTCAGTGTGATGATGCTTTTTCAATGAAACTGTAGTGATCACTTGTTGCATTCTAAGTCATTGTTTAAATTTAATGCTTATCTAAATTAATTTTGAAAGATCGATTAATTAAATGACCATTTTTATATAAATTCGATTTCCTCGTCCAACGCATCTTCTACAATATTGAATTTAAATATCTATAGAGACATTCGAACGATTGCATGAGAACGACCTGCAGAGTGGAAATGGAAAGGTCATAGCGGTATGGCCGATAGCTTAGCATGGAAAGCAAGTGCAGTAAAATAATGATTTCCGGAAAGTAAATCAAAGGTGACTTAGAGCTCCTAATGTACTTTTGCGCTACTTCTGGTTTTGAAAAAGAAAATATGTAAATAAAATAAAATGAATACATTTTGACTTGGCTGCAGAATTTTATTGGTGGATCAGCATTACATCAAAGAGGTTTTCAATTTATGTGCACTGGCAAAATCCTAGTTCGCAGGTACCACCGGTAAATCCTCGAGCCATGCAGATTTTTAAACATTTGTAACTGATGAATCCTGGATAATTCTGATTAACGCATGGAATTTGCCCATTAGGATTAAACCATCTTGCGCCGTTGTCTGCAAGAATAGAAAAATTAGTTCAAGTACATATTTTTTTGGTAATCCTGTTTTCAAAACTTGTGTATGCATAATTTTAATCCGCCGCCGTTAAATAAAGCAAACGAAAATGTGTTACCTTGCTCCGAATCTCCCGTGTCAACGGGAACAGCAAATACGCAGTACAACACCGAAGATAACACCAAAAGTACTGTGAAAACCTTCATTATAAGCTATTATTTCGTGCAACAAATGTTTCGAATGTATCTCACTGATCAACAGAAAGGTCTTTATAAGCGTAACTAAATTTTCCAGAATTTACGACTTGTTGTTTACGACGTAATACGGTAATGTTTGACGATGTCGTAAAAGTGCAAGATTTTGGGAATTTTGAAAAATATTTACTGCCATATCTATGTCACCATATGTAATTTGGTGTATGTTTATTCAGTGACAGTAGGCAAGCAGAAAATAAACAATGAAAATATGTAATAAGTCGGAGAGTAAACATTATAATTGGTATTTTACTGTTGTTATTAGCTTATGAGTAAGTGCAGTAATCTTCTAATTAGCATCACGTTTTTAATGGCTTGTTACTTTCAATTAAAGTATGTTGGACTGAGATGGAAATAATGAGCTACCAGCAAAGTCTTCGATTGACTGCTACAAACATACTTTCTCGTATTTGGGCGCAGCGCCAAATGTTGCTGCGATAATATTAATAAACCATAATGCAGTGGGTATAGCAATGAAATAATAATTTTAAAAAATCAACATAGTTTATTACCTAGGGAGAATTAAGAGTTACAACATTTTTTTGCGAAAATTAAATGTTTTATTCCCACATGCGTTGGATGATAGCACCGGAAGTACTTTGGTCGTTAATTCAGCGCCTTTCTACTAGCGATCTTCGCAAAGACATGCGACTTGTGAACTATCTAACCGACCATACTCGCTTTTATTACTTCCTATTCTTCTAGTCGTCTGGTGAAAATCTTATAGATGAGTACTACTTACACCAATGAATAATAAAATTAAAGTAACAAATATGTGTAAAATATAAGAATTGTATTGGAATTACAACGCATTAATTACAAAATGTATAATATGATCATAATAAATGTTTGAAAACTCCAAATTTGAACCTGGGATAAAAATTAGCCATTACTAAATAAAAACAAAATTAAATCGTAAAGACTCGCGGCAATATGATTCATGGTAAAAAGACTCGCTACAAAACTGCGTGAAAATACAAGATTAACTTTCATTTCGATTCAAAGATTAAAATTTCTTGGATAAATACATATAACAATTTTTATAAACATTAGTAGTTAACAAAACTTATGAAAAATTTTATTTAGATTATGTATTTCAAAAAACGGATTTTGTGCAACAATTATTTAATTGTAGTTAACTATAAAATGATTATTTCATTGTGTTATTATTCTAGTACATAGGAGAAATTTTAGTAATGGTTTAAAAGATGCACGACAGTAAAGACTTAAATACATGTAACTATTGCAATACTCACTGCAGCAAACCGACTCTCCAAGCGTGCTTACTGCTGCTACCTACAAGTGTAGTCTGGAATTAAACAATAATAATTTCTACAGAATGCTTTAGCTTTGCCAGTTTACAAGAACACACTTGTTAAAACAAAATGAGTTTATTTATTGCACATATTTGTCATTCAGACAATAACTTAGCTTAAGAGACTTAAATTGAATAGAAAATACATGACAAAGATGAAAGAATCGTAGAAGAAGGTCATCCGGCACCCATGCGCCAGCGATACCAACGGGAATTGGCCGAAAAAGCGCGCGAACTACGCATGACAAACTCCGAGACGGTTTTTATTCGCCTGCGCACTTTCGCTCATCCCATTTTTCGGCACATCCCCAAATATGCGAATGGCGCGCGCACGCGCACGCACGCTATGTGTCTCCGGCTGGACGCCTCTAACTACAGGATCACGTAATATACTGGATGAAATGGTAAACGGAATTAACAGGTACTTTTGGATTAGATTGAGCAGGTCGTTCGTGTCTGCACCTACCACCAGCCATGGTGGTCGTGTAGGTCGTGGAGCTCATGATGGTCATGGTGGAAGTCGTGAAGATCGTGATGGTCCAAGTGATGTTCGTGGATGTCGTGGTGGTGTTCATCATGAACATGCACGTATTCCTTCTTGATGACCGGCACATGAACAATTTCCTTTTTAATCACTGGCACGTGCACAACTTCCTTCTTGATAACAGGCACGTGCACTTTTTCCACGTGGTGATGATGCACCGTATGCACATGGTATGGCACTTTGATCACAACATGCTTACTGAAAACAGTGGTTGTAAATAACCAAAATATGTGAATAGCATGAATTTCCTTACTGATGCGAATGACCCCATCCGGGTTCCGGAGCTGGAGCCGCAAGAACCACATAAATGACGACAGTCAAAAGGACCAACTGAAACTTGTGTTAGTAAAGAACGCTGCGAACGTGTCTTTCACATTACTAATTACCACGGATTTCATGATGTTCTGATGAAGGTGAACGTATTCCCTGGATATCCACACGAAGACACAAGCCGACTCAATCTGATACAATTTCGGCACGACATCGGCAATATTTATACTTACAAGAATATGGATGGCACCCCACCATAGCCGGACAACAGTCACTCAAAGCCAGCCGGCTTCTGAGTTACACATTTTGACGGCGTGTTGGACGCCAGTTGAATAACATTGTGCCGATTACATAAAAGCGAAAAGACAAAAAGGAAACCGTCGTCGGTGTGCGTGAGCGCATGTGCGATCAGTGCGATATTATCGCGTAAAGTCAATGCATCCCTCCATTGTTGAATAGAGAAATTAGACTTTCGCCCAATTGAATTTAGCAGCGGCATTCGTAGGTAGAGAAGTCACACTCAGCAACATGATACGCTGCTGTTATAGTTGATTAAATTATAGGAAGTATTGGTAGAATCGCTATAGAAAGCATATGATATCTATGCTGTTGACGGTCTTCAGTGCAAAAGCACGCAATATTCCTCGTGTTTTGCGTGAGTTTAATTTCACATTTATTCGAATGTTGCAATGCTGCAATTTGAATTTAAATCTAGAGCGTATTTGTTGTTTATGTTATGCTTCCGTTGCGGCGCGCCGATGCGACGTGCGTTTAACTCTTGCTCTTTTGCGATCATTACTCACGCATAAAGTGTATGGATGAAATTTGTAATTCCAAGTACATCCAACGGGCGTCCGAGGAAAGTGGAACGCATGATGGAACTTTTTTTAAGCGAAAAATACCAAGCGGATAAGGCGGAGAGTTCATTTATATCGTTTTAAATTTCGTTATCAAAAACTTCCTGTTTCAGTAGAAAGCATAACAATCAATTGAAAATCCTTAACGCTTGAATCTGATGCGGATAGACAACGCCGCAACATAACAAATCAATCTGCTTGTCAGCCCAGAAAATATTTACTCAGAGAATTTTTCATCAGAGAAGCGCATTATGCAGGAATTGAAGAAGACGCAACAATGGTAGAAATATTGTCAATTTGCAGTCATAACCGACGGAATTACTTAATTCTTTGTTTGTCGTAAAATATCATAACAATTGCAATTATGTTCCTCATTTGTTTTTGCAGCTACTTTTTGTTCATGTCTTCGATGCAAAAGCCAATTTCGTTGCAACTTGCATTCTCCAGTCACGTAAAGTTGTTATATTGTTCTGCCGCGTTTCGCCATTCCTCTTATTTATTTTTTCCTTGCCTCAAGCCCTCATCATTTATCGTAACGTAACACATACCGAACACCGGAACTCCATAATATACACTAATTAAAAAATGTATAACGACTACAGCCAAGAAACTTACGACAGTCGAATTGGCGTTATGCAAGCCATCTTATAATAGACTTTCCGACTGAAATGAAAACCAGTAATTTGGCAGTGTGCTCTAATACTATCACCCGGTCAAAAATAAAATCAAGAAAGATCAACAAGTTATTGAGGCACATGTGAAATTAACGAAGACCACTTTCGAATAATTAATTAATTAGGTAACACTTGAATTTGAACGAAAACAAATTTTAAAGGTAGTCAGATCGAACCAGATTCCGGTATTAACTTTCATCTACTTGACTAGATTTATAAAGTGATTGCATTGGTATTGATTTATGCAGGAGCGCACTGAAGAAAAGTAACATGCAATGCGATACCAAGGTGATCTTAAGTTTCAGTGAAAGCTGTGTTTTTCTAACCTGCCATCATGCGTATACGTAGGTTAATAAATAGTCGTAAACAAGAATATTTATATTTGTAATGATATTTATTTAATGAGTACGCTAGCAAATTTAATTAGAACAGCATTTACATTCTTGGGTAAATTAAACAGATTTAAGTGCATTAGCAAATATATTTTTCTCTATGAGTTATGAAATATGTGTTGAAACTGAAAGCTAGCACTAGGTTTCCATCAAAATGTCACATTTCAACACAGCAAAGTGTTGAAATATTTTTGTACTAAAACATTATTTACAGTTTGGTTGTCACGTAATTAATATCAATATCTATGATAATAATGTTGTGGTTCGTAAGGGTTTCTCCTTCGGTTACTATTGTTGGAGTTGAAGTGCTGCACATGCCTTTTATGGCTGCCATTCTTTAGCGATTTCAAAAACTGCTGTGGAGGCAAAGAAGGCGTATGCTGCCTATCATGGAAAGCGTTCGTATGTCCTTCAGGATACGTTTCAAAATCGTTGTAAGCCATATTGGGAAAATAGTTTAACTCGTCATAAAGAGCCGGATCCTTGTCATTGTACGCTTCAAAATCGTTATGACTATGGTACGGATAGCGCTTCTGGTGAGACTGCTTGCGATCGTGGAAGTAGTGATGATATTCGGGTACTTTGACCACTTTTGTATGATGGACGTGCTGAACTGGCATTGGAACTAGTATCTTAACTCTTGAATAAAGAGAAAAATAATGAATAACTTATTCTAGGCTACTAGCTAACCAACAGTCGGTATACTTCTTATGTGTTCCGGACAATATGCACGGCAGTGTGTGAATGATGAACAATGAAACAAAAAGCCACTTCATTTTTTATTGTATTCTTTGGATTGGCGTGATTTTGAGGCGCTTTGTTGTGGTTGCACTTGAACTTGCACGTGAACTTGACCAGCAAAAGATCCTCGCCTTTATTTATAAACTCGGCCGATGCTATGCGAGACGTGGGTTGCAATGACGATGGAGATGGCGCAGTGCAGAGAAAATTGCAAACTCGCTCTCGTTGCTCTCGTTGATCGGCAGCGAGAAGAAAATCATTTGTACCTTTCTCGACACGAGAATAAACACTCGCATCGACATCAATAATAAGCAAAAAAGTGAAAGACACGACCGACAATTACAGACCGCTCGTTATTTATGCATTCGCAAAGAAATGTGCTTGAGAACGAAAGTGAAACGACCGGGTTTGCTAAGCAAATGGCCGTTTTTTCTAACGTGGATTATGGGAAATTTGTGTCAAGCCACAATAGAAAAATAAAGCGCATTTTATTAAGTGCTGCAATTTCCCAACTGCAACAACAGCACATATTTCAATGTCTAATTGAAAGTTAATGTTAACGTGTTATAGAACTACAAGAAAAACACTTAAATATTCATATTGAGATTACAATGATATATCAAGAGTGCAAACTAATTAATTGATAAGAAAATATGTTGTTATTTTACTTTCCTTTGATGATTCAGTTCCAACAATTTAGTGCCGCGTATTTTTGTTTCTTTAATGTGTTTAGGTAAATTAATGCCAAGCGCGTAATGAGTATATCACAACGTGTCCAATTGAAACCGAAACAATGGGATTAAATGAATGCATCATATGTGCTCTATCGCCGATTTTTAACTGCGCATCCTTATCAGGAATGGCTCCTGTTATTTACACTTGTGTACATGAAGCTGGAGCGCGTGAAATCAAATTTGTCTGGTCAAGATCGCTTCTTCGCACTGTTTGTAGCATTGTTCTCAGCTTCACCTTGATAGTGTCCTTGATTCTAAACAACGTTATAACTAATTTTAATCAAATACAAAGTGCTCTTCGTAGCCTCACAGAGGCACTATTCTCGATAAGTTCGTTGTTTTTGATTGTGTTTGCTAACTTCCGTACTGATTCTAGCGTAAGACAATTAAAGGCTTGGCTTTGGATTACCAACAATAAGAAAAATTTTCATTTAGACGAAAGTATTACAAGTAAGAAGCTTTATAAGTTAAGACCACATAGTTATTATTATGGGCTTATCATTATTGCAAATTTTATGGCGGTTTTAATTTACGCAGGCTTTATAACTTGCAATTTTGTAATACAATTTACGAAGTACGCAAGCAAAACGCATGACGATTACATTCTCATCATAAATGAAAAGATACTCATTTTAAGTGCATTGATATCAACAAATGTTTACCTTAGCACTGTATTCTTGTTCTCTACGCAAACAAAATATGTGAGGCAACATTTCCACGGGTTTTATAAAAGAATCCAGAACATTTTGCACAGTGGCGAAGAAGTCGAGGTCAAGGTGAAAGCAACAACGCGATATTACATCGTGAGTAACTACTGCGTGGCTTTCTACAATAGACATCTGAACGCGGTTCTTTTGTGGTGGTTCCTGCAGTCATTGATAGTGCTGGTGTTTAATATTTACCTATTACTGACAATGGAGAATCACGCACGAGTGGAGTGGATGCTGCAATTGCGCGTTTACATCATCCTGGGCAGTATGTTTTACCTGGTTCAGCTAGTCGACTCAATTAATCATGTAAGTTACGTGTGTATTCCTGTATAAATTCTAAGTCTAGACACGTGTCGGCCATGAGCTTCCCTCCCTTGATATTTGCGTGTGGGTTGTAATTATTATTGTTGTGGAGCAAGCTTGAAATGAACGAATGAATTAGGCCCAACACCACAGTACAGTCAATGACTTCTAAGAAGAACATCTTTCAGAAATGCCACCCTCGGTTAAAAATCTTGTTCTGTTTTACAAACGGGACAATTCCGATTGCCTAGTGTGTGTGATTAAACCGCTAATCGATATAGGTGCTGTTTTCGGAATCAGTGCTATCCGAGTACGATGTCCACATACAGCAAAAGTTGATTTTGCACACAGCACACGCTGTCGGCTTCGACGGAGTATTCAGTTTGTATGGATCGCTCTTCTATTATTGGGAATTGCATCAAATTGTTATGTTACCCTGGCTGACAAACCAGACGTCTTGGCATCGCTCAATCTGGTGGCGGAAATACTCTACTGCTCATGTTCAGTGGTTGTCATATCGTGCACCATTATGTCGACGCAACTCCGAACCGACGAAATCAACGCTTGCATTTCACTGGTTGAACATAGACTAAGCTTTGGAGTAATAAGCATTTACTCACAGGAGTACATTCAATGTGCCCGCAAGAAGGCGTATGGGTTCTATGTGTTTATAATTGCGCTCACATGTTTAATATCAATGTATATCAACTACAGTTGCAAGAATGCGAGTGATAACCACGAATTAGAAATTATTCGACATATCACTGCGATGGTTTCAACGATCGTCCCCATCGTTGGGCTTTATCAATATTCAGTTCAGTGCAAATTATTCAAACAACTGTTTATGATGTGTTACAAATATGTGGCAAATACGCTAATAGCCAGACACAACGTGGTTTCATTGAGACAATACTACGATCCACGGGTGCCCATATTTGGCGACGTGGAACAACACCTCAAAAGAATGATCAAGTTTCACAAGGCAATCTTTTTCAATTTGAAGATGGTTTGGATGAATTTTGATCCAATGGTGCTAATATGGTTTATCCTAATTCTAGCCATTCTCATTATCAATGTGTACTTACTGCTGGTGACTACGTACACAAAGGTTTCGAATAATGATTTTATTATAATGTTGGAACTACGCACGTATTTCGTGGTTGCCTCCACGGTTTATTTCCTAATCACATTCGGCGAACTTTCATCACAGGTAAGTGCAATTTGATAAATTGCATCATAAATAATGCAAGTAATTTACTTCGATTTATAAACTTGACATTATCAAGTTCAAACCTGCCATGTTCTGTGTTGATCTGTGACGATGTGGTTCAATGTACGAAAAAAATTCTACAAAAATTGCGCGGCGTGCTCGAATGGATGCATTTACACCGCGCTTCCAATTTTAAGCTTACAAACAAAATGTATTCATACAGACCTTCCCCATATTGAAACCTATCAAGAACATCTACCTTACGTTTATCTTACTGTGGGATTGCTTGCCGTATCTTTGCTGATGTTGATAATGGATTCTTTCCAACTTTTCTGTAATAGTGCATTTTCCAATGTTGGCGGTCTCACCCATAACTTAATCAACACACTAAATGTGATTTATAGCATCAGCATATGCTATTTCTCCCTTCAATCGAGATTCTGTCGACTGAAAGAACAAAGTTGCATCGTTAATTTGATCCGAATCAGATGGAAGTTCTTCATCGCTGATGTTATAGGATACAGAATGATTAAACGAGTCAATCATACGGTGTTTAAGCTAAGCATTTCAATGTATAGCTCTATGGGCATGTTTTTGATTTTCTTGTACTTTTCCTACAACGGTTTGGAGTTTAAGTTTCTGCAAAGGGCATACATGTTGATCTTCTTTTACATGGACACATGCATTATGATTGGCAGCTGTGCTCAAGCAATTTGGTACGCAGAACTGTTCAAACAGTTGTATGATAATATAAAAGAAACTTTAAAGGAAAGACCTTTCGACTTGCAAAGAAGATTAGCAGCTTTTCGAAGATTCTACCACGCAATAAATGTAACTTTTAATTACATTAGTTCTGGGTATCCTATTTTGCGCGCAACAGTTATCAAAGTTCTAAGTCAAATATTCACCTTGTACTTGGTGGTGAAGGCAATTGTTGACGGCGAAATAAGAAATTTTAATATCTCCTACATGCTCACCGTTGGGAATGCCATTGTGAATGCATTAAGCACAGTTTATTTCATACGAAATTATGTTCAAATGTTGGAGGGTGTAAGTATTTTTACTTTGTAAGGCGTTTTCTCTATTTTGTATTGTATTACTTTACGTGATTACAAAATCGATAATACACCAACAATTCCGTTGCCGAAAAAAGTGTGTAGGTGGGCTCCGATCGAGAAATCTTAAAGTGTGGCATAGTTTGATTCAATCATGGCAGGAGATAGTGTAGTGAAAGACTCTGCTCTGTCTAAAATGTGGTTCATTAAGCGAAAACTAAACATCGACTGTGTAGCATGTTCAAACAGTTACATTTTTACTCTCTCTATTCTTTTAAGTTTAAAACACACGTGCAAACACTTTCGAACGCATAATATCGTAAACTATCATGTAGCGCCCGTGTATCTTTTGATATCGTTCGCCGTCTTCATCATTCTCTTACTAATTCTCATGGTGAACTTATACGAATTATTCGCGTCTGCGGATGGTATTCCCCTGGAAGAAAACTTCAAAAATATCATAAATGTGTGCAATGTGTTACATGCGGCCGAGACGACTTACTATATATTTTCCTATCGGCATGAAAAGATTTGCGAGCAGAATGCCATTCATAAGCTTATCTCAAAAAAGGAATATTTCTACATGCAACATGTGATCAGTCGCGAGATGCTCATTGAAATGAATATAACATTTATGAAATATGCAGTTTTCGTCTTTCTCTACGTGGTGCCATACAGTGTTTATGTTGTGTACTCATACGAAGAGTTTAATTTGCACTTCATGCGAAGCGTCTCGATGGCTTTATTGTTTTATGTCGACAGTTGTTTGATTATTGGTTGCGCTCAACATGCAATTTGGTACACGCATATTTTTAAAGAATTATTCCAAAACATCCGAAACAAACTGCATCATGCAGATCTGTTTGGTTTGCATGTGAAACTGGCAAGAGCGCTGCGTTTTTATCTGGCCGTGCTAAATAGCTGGTTCTACATGTGCAAAACTTATCCTTTAGTGACGAGTATTGTCCTGTTGACGGTTTCGCAGGTTTTTACGTTGTATTTGGTCCTGATTATGTTTATTGAGGGAAAATTCTGAATTTTACAATGGATTATTTGATAATTATAGCAAATGCACTGATGCACGTGCTTACAACCGACATATTTATTGGAAAATATGCAATTACTGAAAATGTTGTAAGTAGATAATTTTTTAAAAATGTACGCAATTATCTGAATTCTTTTTTTGTAATTATTAGTTTCAGTTTTTTATGTTACTACCATTTCTGTGAATTATTAAAATCAATCACTTCTTGTTCACCTTATCAACGAAAAACCATATTCATTATTCAAACATTATGTGGTTTCATTTATCTTGATATAAACACAAATTAGAGCAATTTGTTACGGGGAATTTACTCAAAATGGCGCAGTTGATCATCATGCCACGTGAAATCAATTGCGTTTCGTGCGCTTTACGCCCTTTAATGCCATATTTGTACTTTTTATGCATCTCATCGAAATGCATCCGTACCAAAGACAAGTTAAAATCAAGTGATGACAGTTTTAACATTTGCTATATTTCTGTATTAGTTCAAATTCTTTTCATGGCAGCTCTTTCAATTAACGTCAGTAATAATTACCAAGATATACTACAAAGCAAAAATCCAACAGACTTGATGCTCTCATTTCAAGAAAATATATTTGATTTAATGACAATCTTTATGTCTGCTTGCACATTATATAATTTGAAAGCACAAGTGCAATTTCTAAACACTTGCCAAACAATAGCCGATGATATTGCATTTCGCTTCGACGTAGGAACGCTTTTATCGTGGAAATCATCGAAACACTTACAAAAACATATTATGGTAACTTCGGTAATATTTTTGGTTTCCTTCAGCCTTTTGCTGTAGATTTGATTCTCAATACTATGGCAGCTAATAATATAGCCCACGTTTGCACTGATGTGCTTAAAAACTTTGCGCACCACGCATATCTCTTCTACTTTGCAACGATTTGTATTCTTTTCAAGGTTTACATAGCCACAGTTCATCGTCAAATTAAATACGCATTGACTAAAAACTGGATGAAACTGTGTGCGCAATCACATATTAGTAATGAGAAATGTCTTAATCGATACACAATATCTAACGATAAAGAACGGGAAGTTTTGGGAAGATTGCAAAACTCCCAGGCTCTTTATTTGGTGTTGGTAAAATTGGTAAAAAAATTCAACGCCGAATGTTTTAATCCCACTTATTTGTCATGGCATACAAGCATCACTGTGTATTGTGTAATTAGGGCAGTCTTATGTATTATTAACGTGCTCACAGATATGTGGTACATACTGTCAGTGAAGTTTAGATTGGCAATGATGAGCGTCTCTATTACATGCATAATGTTCTGTTATTTGCTGTATTGTACACAAATTCTGGAAACGGTGGTGAGTAAAATAATCGCTTTATCAGCATGAATTTTATTTATAGAATTATTAACCAAAATACACAAAAGATCTAATTAATTAATAGAAATAATGGAATATGAGCAAAACCACAACAAATCTATCCAATAACTGCGTAGTAAAATTAACAATTAGCGTGCAGCGTAATTTTATTGGTTCTATTATAGTTTGTAGGTTTACAACCATTTATTTTCATGACACTATCATAAATTACGCATCATTTCGATTCTAATTAACGGCGACGACTAATTGCAAGTGAGAAGTGAGTGAGTGACAATAAACAGTAGTAATACGATTTTGATCGCACGCAGAATGAGAAAACGGATCCAAAAATCCAACAACTGTGTTGTGTGTACATTTAAGTGGCAGTTTGCAAACGGCGTTCTTTTTGGGAATTGTTTTACATCACAATGTCTACACCTCACTCCAAATTGCAAAGCAAGCGGCGTGCAACAATCAATTCCCCGACTTGCATTTAATGTTGTATTTCTTATGATATTTTGCATAGAATTTGTAATGTATTTAAATACTGTGATCAATTGGCAAGGAAGCAAAAGCGTCTTACTCTTGCTGTTCATTAACGTCATAGAAAGATGTTATTTCATCGTATGCTTACTAATGAATCATTTGCACCGAAAATGTAAAATCCGAGAAATCAACGGTTTGATTAAAATCTCCGAGGGATCACAGCTGCAAGGCGTTGAGATTTTAATCAGCGATGGTTTTAGTAAAATAGTACGTTATTTAACCATCTTTGCTTACATCATGATTATTGGTTCAACGATGATAACAATATTAGAAATTTGCATAGTTTTGGATCAGTATACTTATTTTTACATGATGCTAAAGATGACATCGCATGGTGTACAAGTTCTGGTTGCCGGAGCGCTAATCAACTACGTTTGTAACTGTATGCTGTACACAGAAATGTATCAGAATGTGTTTCGACGAATGAAACATGTTCTTACAAAAAGAATTCGATTTACTAGACAATTGTCCATATCAAAATGCACTTCCCAAACGATTGACGATCGCATTGTCAAGTTAAGAGATTTGTACAGCGCTTTACATAGTAACATGAAACTAGTGATGGCATTCGGAGATCCGGCAATGTTGGTCCTGTGGGCGGTTGTACTGGTATACCTTATCGACGTGGCGTATATTTTGGTTGCGGGCGAAGTTATGGGAGAATTTCGACTGAGAGCAGATCAGCGCATCATGTTGGTGAAATACATGGGATCTTTTACAATGGTTATTTTATATTTGCTCGAAGTGGATAAGTTGCATTTTGTGGTAAATATGTCATAACAGTTCATCAAATATGTAATATAATAATAATTGTGAGAAACTAACACACGTACTCAATTCCCCCATTCACTTAAAGTACTTAAATTAATTACTTGTTTACTGCCTCAGAACAATAATTAAATACATTAGGGAAACACTTATTTCTTCGATTTAATAGATCTATGAATAGATCCAATTAGACTGCGTAATTAGCATTCAATAATTTCAACATGACCTACTCCTAAAAAACACTTATCACTCAACTGTTTGCTAGGTGACTTCAATTCGTATTAAATTTAGAACTGATTCGCGCAACATGCGTTTTAGGTCAAAATCGAATAATTGTGTAGTGTGCGCTTTAAATTTATTAATGTGTCACGGTCCTCTCGTCTTAAACCTGACAAAATGGCAATGTCCACATCAAAATCCACAAGTGCAACATGCTTCTGTGATAATATCACCCGTTCGGTGCATTTTAAACGCAGCTATAATTTGTGTATTTATTACGGTTTTAATCGGCGAGCTTTTTGAACTTCTCGACTCAACCCTAACAAAAGTGCAACTGCTTTTCATTTTTATGCGTATTTTGGAATTGATGGCTGCCATCTTTGCGCTGACAGCCAGTCAAATACAACAAAACACTAAAATCAAAGAACTATCAGGTCTGATTCGAATCACTGAGAATCTGAGTTCCTACGGTATTAGCGTTCTCATCAATGACCACTGCGTCTGTATGATACGCGGATTTTTAATCTTCATGCATACCTTTGGCATGGCATATATTTACGTGACTTATATCGAAATAAAGCTACAATTGAATAAACTATCGTACTTTGATCTATACCGAAAAATTATCAGCGAAAACACGCAAGCTGTCAACGGTGGTATTGTATTCACATACACATGTCATTGCCTGTTCTACAAAGAGATGTACAGTACCTGCATGGAGCGTATAAAACAGGTGCTCAATTACAGAATTTTGGCCACACGCGGAATGCCGCTCTATCACAATGAGGAGTTGAAAGGTGATCTGGAATATTACGACGCTTGCAAGATGCAAAACGTACAAGATCATCTGATAAAACTACACCGGCTGTACATTGCAATTCATTCCAATATGATATTTGGCATCAAGTTTACAAGCCCATTGTTTCTGTTTTGGTGGACGCTATTGTTGCTGCTCCTCATTAACAATGTGTACATTGTGGTAGCGTTTTTGTTCATTAACGAATTATCGCTGCAGGCGCACGAGCAAATAATGATAATAAAACATTTGATTAGCTTCACAACCACCTGTCTGTTTTTACAACAAAGTCATAAACTTCATTTTGTGGTAATTGCATTCAACTTACTTACGATCCTTTTCTATTCAATACGTTTGGGACACGTCCTATTGTTTCACATACGATCGAATTTAATCACCAGCTATCAGAAGATGTCATCGGACACGTTAGATTAGCATGAAACATCTATATCTACATGGAAATTTAATAAACGAATAAACAAAATAGAAAACGATGTACTTTTTCATCACATCGAGTGTGTTTTATCTAGCATATTTGTAAGATAATGAAAATGGTTATTATTTCTGTGTCATTTGTTGTAGAGCGATGATATCACTTCGTTTCTGTTCCGTTATCCAATCAGCAAGTTGACGCCGTCGGAAGCAGCGCAAATCGAAATTCTTCTGACGACGCTTCATACGCAAAAGCCAATTCTTAAAGCTTCGGGTATATTCACGATTGGAACACGATTAATGGCATCAGTACGACAATAGTTTGTTTAAAGGGTCCATTTTAACCACTATTATATGCTTGCAGATTACTGGCACAGTGATTACCTACGTCTTGGTCGCGTTACAGTTTCACGCTTCCTGGAACCAAGATCAATAATCACAATAAAATGGAATCCATCAAACACCGATCACCGCCCGTATCTCAAGATTTATGTTTGTGTCGTACGATCGGACCAAGTCTGTCTCTTTGTCGTTTTTCGGGTTGTTTCCGATCACAACCAGTCACGATCATGGTCACTGTGTGTTTCGACAATCCAAACTGTGGATTGTATGGTCCCTAGCTCGCATTATATCTTTGGTTGCGCAGTTGATATATAGCACTGATCTCCTTGACGTATTCAACATCATGAAGGGAAAAACTTTGCATGGTCTGCTAAGCGCCGTCACCGATATCTTGTACATAACTTACATCCTGGTACTTACGGTAACAAATGTGGCGAGAATCCCCAAATTTGTTCACGCATTTAACAAATTTGCGCCGCTATTGCACGAGGGATTGCTCTGCAACTCGGCGAGGACCTCCATTAGACGCACACAACTTGGTGTGCTTGCAATGATAACAGTCATCTTTTCAATTCAATGTGGAACACTTTTGTATCTCAACTTTTCCGATAATTTCATCAGCAGCGTGGACATCACGACGTTTATCAATCGAATATCGCAAAATATCACGTTTCTATTTTACGTGCTCTTTATGAGTGCTGCTTCGGTTTTCATTGGAATTTTAGCATGTTTTGAAAAGCTCACAATTTACCAACTTAAATACGTTCCAGTTCATCCAGAAAAAGGCATCGAGGAGACGAACAATACCTATGACTTTATGGGAATAATAAAATACAAAATTTGTAAGGAGGTTCATGTGGGCGCAGCAAAATTAAAGTCTTTCGGACAGGTAAATGTCATCGAGTATTTGCGCTGCCTGCACGAAGAGGTGAGTTTGGTAATGTACGACATAAATGCGAGCATGAATCCGCAGTTTCTCTTCCACACCATGATGGAGCTTACGGTGCTGATTGTGCACTGGTACGCCGTGATTATTTACTTTACGTACAAATCGGCAACCCCCGTCGACACCACCATACATTTTTGAATTGCCTCTTCGTGTTTCTGCATACTTTCGGATTGTGGGTATTCCTGAAAACAGCCAATCAGCAGCATGGAATGGTTCAAGGCCTGACCAACTTTTTACTTGAGTACGCCACAAGAATTTCCGCTCCTGATGAACATCAGCAAGTTAGATTATTTATCGAAAAATTAAAATTGCATCGCCCTCTGACTGCGAGTGGAATATTTACGATTGACCTGACCATTGCTGGACCGGTATGGGATTTTTAAATATGTAATGGTTATTTCTAATCGTTTCTTGGGTTGCAGATATGTGCTAATATATTGACTTATGTACTAGTTGCACTTCAATTTGACATTCCAAGGGATACCGAGGATGTTTTAACCGGGAATGTGACACTGTCAAATTAGTTTTTAACAATGTGGTTTTGGCACTATTGCACAAACATAATTAAAACAATATATTAACAAAAATAACAATAGAAATATGTACAAAGGAATGCTTGAGACCTCCGCAAAATTGGACGCCTCGAAACTAAAGTCTATCATGTAATAACTTAATTATAATGAACTAGATGTGTTATTGATGTGCTCACATTGTGTTGATGTCGTTTGCTGATAATATGCAATAAAGTTACTTCTTGTGGTAGCCGCCGCCGCCGTGTCCGCCACCACCACCGTGACCACCTCCTCCGTAACCACCACCTCCTCCTGAAATGGCACTCCATCCGCTGCTTCCTCCTCCGCCATGACCGCCGCCTCCTCCATAGCCCCCACCTCCGCCTCCGTGGCCTCCACCAAATCCTCCTCCAAATCCACCCCCGTGGCCTCCTCCTCCCCCATGACCTCCTCCTCCGCCATAGCCTCCTCCTCCGCCATGACCTCCTCCTCCGCCATGACCCCTCCTCCGCCGTAGCCTCCACCGCCGCCGCCTCCTCCGCCATGATGATCATCATGACCTCCACCACTTCCTCCAAATCCTCCATCAAATTGACTTAGGAAGCTGTCGCCAGCGCCACCGCCATATCCTCCTCCACCGCCGCCGCCATGACCACCTCCGTGGCCACCGCCATGTCCACCGCCGAATCCGCCTCCGTGACCACCACCTCCACCAAATCCACCTCCTCCCCACCGTGGTGATCATCATGTCCGCCTCCTCCAAAACCACCGCCAAATCCGCTTCCTCCGCCGTAACCACCTCCTCCTCCGCCGCCGCCGTGATGATCATCGTGGCCGCCACCGCCAAATCCTCCGCCATAGCCACCTCCTCCGCCACCCCCGCCATGACCTCCTCCATGACCTCCGCCAAATCCACCTCCTCCTCCTCCTCCTCCATGATGATCGTCATGTCCTCCAAATCCTCCTCCAAAACCACCTCCGCCTCCGTATCCTCCGCCGTGACCTCCTCCAAATCCACCTCCTCCACCGCCGCCGTGGTGATCATCATGTCCTCCCCCAAATCCTCCACCGCCTCCGCCACCATATCCGCCGCCGCCGTGGTGATCATCATGTCCTCCTCCAAATCCACCGCCTCCTCCGCCGCCGTATCCTCCTCCACCTCCACCTCCGCCATGATGATCGTCGTGTCCGCCTCCAAATCCACCTCCGCCTCCACCGCCATAGCCACCTCCTCCTCCTCCTCCTCCACCGTGATGATCATCATGTCCACCACCTCCTCCAAAACCTCCTCCAAATCCACCGCCAAATCCGCCGCCAAATCCACCTCCGTGCCCACCTCCTCCGCCCGAGTGATGGTCATCGGCGCCTGGGCCGCTTACGCCGTATCCAGAACCGCCTCCGCCGCCGTGATGGTCACCGCCACCGCCGCCAAAACCTCCTCCGAAACCACCGCCGCCTCCATAGCCTCCTCCGCCACCACCGTGGTGATCGTCACCGCCTCCTCCATGATGGCCACCTCCGAAACCACCGCCTCCGCCGTAACCACCACCGTGGCCACCACCGCCGCCAAATCCACCGCCGAAGCCACCACCGCCGTGTCCGCCATCATCGTGGTGTTCTTCTTTGCCATGAGACTCTTCTGGTAGATGAATTCTTATGTGCACACTAACGCAAATGGGAACAAATAAAAATAAGTTATGACCAACCAGGCAAACAAAACAAATGTGCTTACTGTTCCTTGCCAAATGTTGCTGCGCTGTACACAATCAGCATGGAGAGAACCAGCAAGAGCTAAAAACACACACAATATACGTTTGAAATCGGCTAAATGCGCTGTCACTTACGAATAATTTGGAAGCCATCTAAGGTGACTTCCCCTGCGCATCCACACGCTAATAGTAAGCCAGTAAATCACCAGCCGATTCTCCCAAGACGGTGAGCACCTTCGTTCGAATGACTCTATTGACAGTGGCCTCTTGGTTTTATACGAATTCTCTCCCGATCAGCATGAGCTCCCCAAATGCATCCTCCGTCATATCCCACCATCAAACTCCTGGCAGCAGCAGCGGCAAACCTTGTGTCCGTGACCCAGCACGTACGTATAACGAGAGTGAAAGATGCGAAACAAGAGAAAGACGTTACCACGAGAAACACATTGTCTGCTAAACAATTCTAATCAAATTAATAACTAATTGTTTTTGAGCAATTTAATTTGTTAAATAAATTGCAAGGTTTTTAATTCGCCAATAATTGTTTTATTGGGAGAAAAGGCATAATAGAAACGGATGCTTACTGCACATACTTCGTCTATAAACGGCTAAACATCATCCATAAATTGAATTCAATGTGAATGCCAATAACACTTGGTTAATTGTTAATTTTTTACGCCATGAGAGTCGTCTGAACGTGCGTTCTCTTCGTGTGCAATTTCACTTTCTTTTATCCTCTTCAGTGTGTTCCTATTCAAGCATAGCGCCAGCATCTTTGTGAATCATCCGGTCGAGTCACGATTCCAATTCCCATCTCGCTCAGTATCTAAACCTGAGAGAGTATATTGTACACACAGTCAGATTTGATGATTGATGCTTTGATAGACGATGAAAATGATTGCAATAAAAAACAATCTCAAAAAATTTCACTAATTTGAAAGTTGAATGAACGCATTTTTTATTCTGCGTCGCAAGCCACAAACGATTTTCTAATTAACTTATCGTGTGGTAATCATCAAAGGCGCTTGTGGCATCTGTTATTTAACACGAACTATTTGAGTTTGAGTGCGCTCAACATTAACTCTGGAAAAACCAAGCAAAACACGTGAAAGTTATGTCCTATGTGTCATTGTGCATAATCCCCAGCGTACAATGTGCAGCGCACAAGTAATGTGTAAGTGGCCGCACAACGAAATGCGGTAACAACGACAGCGTCTAAGTACTTCCATCAGAAGAATCCGCAAGTGAAAGGAAGTCCGCACATGCAGACGCGCGACTCTTGAACTTTCTTGTACTCACGTACTTGGATTACACACACCGCACGCCGATTCGGTGCGAGATGAAAATCGTTCCATTACAGAATTGAAATTTATGAAATCAACAGGTTTCTAAATTAAAGAAAGCGTCAATTAACAAGGTATAAACTCAATATATGTACTGCATGAGATTTATTTTTAGCTCAAATCGATTCCAAACACATTTCGTAGCACTAGCATCGGTCCCAATTTCTAATTGGTTCCCGAAGGGCTTGGAATTGAGTTTTAACGCATTGTAGACCCACAGAATTATCAGGATTGTCTAATTCGGTAACAATTCCAATGATAGTAGTCAAGTTCACTGCAAAACTGCCTAAGTTCTGAAGGATCCTACGTGCTTCCCTGAAGAACTTAAAAAGATTAACCTTCTGAAGAGCGGCGAACATTGCTTTCAGTTGCTGGAGCATTTGTTTAATATTCTGGATTTGGTCATTAACAATTTGTGGTATTCCGGTTAAGTCCTCAGTACATTTATCTAGTTCTCGGGCAGCTGTTTCGACCGATTTAACCAAATTGCGTACGTTGTTTATAATGCACCTAGGCTTTTTCAGAATTTTTCCTTCCATTTCATCACTTTCCGCGCTACTTGTGAGCGTAGATGTAACACTTGACTCATTATCGGCAAGCAGCACCTGAATTAAATTAATATTAATTGTATTTTAATAATTGATTCAATTATGTATGAATTACCTGCACAAAACATAGCACACCCAAAAGACAGAAAAATCCTTTCATTGTAAACTTTACCTACTGAAATCTCATTTCAAAAGTCTGCAACAAGTGTTTATATACGTTTTGTTAGATTTTTGTGTTCAAAAATATGAATAATTGCCTACAAATTGATTGATTTCCATATTGACTTATATTATTATATTGATAAGTATTTATAATAATTTCCTAAAATAATTTTCTGAATTTAAAAATCAAATCATATTTGTGTTCATATTTAGCCGAACGCATCATTGAGATTTCTCTTATTAGTAAATAAACAAATTGTTGCTTTGCGCTTATCATAGAATTGCAATTTTATTAGATGAAAGTCAAGGCAAAACATCAAATGTAAAAAATATTATTTCAGCGCTTCGCACACGAGGAGTGAAAATGTTAGTGAACTGTGACCTTTGCTATTTTTCGCGCGGCGTCAGCGATCAAAGTTTGCATTCACTTTACTTCCTATTTTATTCATCTGTGAGGCGCATCGCCAACGCTTCCTACAGCATTGCACTACACATTGTGAACTCTCACTTTTCGCTTATTTTTTCACACCGCAATTTAATGCTCAGCCAATACTTGTAGCATAATTACAAAAACACTACAATTTGCCAGTGCTTTCATAGCGCTGACACTTACTAATAACATATTCTTCATATCGGTTCACTTTTTTATTAATTCGTATAATCTGTTTAATTTTTTTAAATAATTAATTACATTACTAAATTCCTCAATTTCTTATCACCAAAAACACCAACTGCGCACGCGTTGCGCTGCTGTTTACTGCGGAATTTGTTGATATTTATATTGAATACCATCTTCGAAACATGTAATTACTCTCCAGTCAATGATCAGTATTCACTAATCATTTGGAGTACAATTTTAATAGCAAAATCAGCATGAAGCACTGGTTCCGCTTGCTGATCAAAACAGCTTTCATATGCGTGCTTGTCAGTCAAGTGCGCTTCATATACAATGGAATCGATGAAAACTTAATACAATGGTTCGACATTGACAATGATATTGTAAGTTACTTATTTTTATTCGAATTATAAACTATGAACAAAGTTATAAACTTTGACTTAACTGACAGCGCCAAGTTGTGACGCGCAATGGTTATCACTTCGAAAACCATACAGTGGTTACCGAAGACGGATACATTCTACAGATACATCGCTTGAATGCGCAAAATTTTCAAGCAAATGCCAGCACGCCGGTCGTCTTCTTCATGCATGGCAGCTTCCAGAGTTCGATGGGATGGTTAATGGCGGGCGTGCAACACTCACTGCCGTTTCGACTTGCCGATAGCGGGTACGACGTATGGATGGGCAACGCCCGTGGTAATAGGTACTCGAGATGCCATCTGAAGCTGGACCCCGATCGCCAGCCCAAGGAGTTCTTTGACTTTTCCTGGCATGAGATGGGATACTATGATATGCCGGCCAGTGTGGATCACATCAGGCTTGCAACCGGCGTCGGTCGGATCCATGTGGTGACACACAGCCAAGGAAGTGCAGCCGCGTACGTAATGCTCAGCGAACGTCCCGAATACAACCAAAAGATAAGATCGAGTGTAGCCTTAGCCCCTGGAGTGTACATCACTTATGGTTTCCAACCAACAGCGGGGTATCTTGGTCTCGCACCGAAATTTTTTGAGGTCGGTACCATTATCTTTCTAAACTTTCCTTAGATCATTATATTTCTGTATGTAAATTACAGTGGTTGTTGGACACTTTCAAGCTTTACGAGCTATTCCCATATTCCCATTTGGTTTCCATGACAGCACAAACCATTTGTCACGATGATTCGTTCTTTCAGCCTGTATGCAGTTTTGTTTTGGGCATAACATGTGGCTTCAACTACGAAGATCTTAATACGGTATGTTTGACGCATAGTGTGAAAATGCACAATGTGTAATTCACTGATGCAATTAGAAATCGTGGAAAGTCGAATTTAGCGCTACAATGTAATAAAATGATAATAAAAAACACAGACGTCGCTGTTGCGGAAGTTGAACGATCATTACTTGCGTCGTTTACTTTGTAAGCGTTTTGTGTTTGCTATTGTTATTGCTTGCAGACACTCTTGCCCACCGTGTTTACATACGGGCCATGTGGAGCATCATGGAAACAAATCATGCATTATGCTCAAGTAAAAAACACAGGTACAATTACAATTATTTTTTTTATCGGGAACAACCACAAATTGTAATTCTGTAATTCTGTCACAATTTAGATCGCTTTCAAAAATACGACGAAGGCGTTACAAAAAACATGGAAAAGTATGGACAAGAACAACCTTTGGAATATAATCTCACCAATGTGCAAATCCCGACGGCGCTATTTTACAGTGATAATGACTGGGCCATTGATGAAAGGGTTTGTTCACAAAATTATCAATCAAATCCACACATTATTATTTAATTATTATAGGATTTTATCAAGCTATACAACACTTTACCGAATGTGGATTATCTACATAAAGAAATTGGTTATGCACACATGGACTTTTTGATTGCAAAATCCAACATTCGAATATTGGACAAAATAGAAAAATATTTATCAACGCACTAGTGCAAGACACGGGGTTTATGACTGCTGATAAATTCCGAAACTTTATTGTGATAATTAAAAGTTAAGTTTGTACAGTCGCCCTTGGGCATTTGCTAATAGATAGCAATGGACATTTTATGGCATTTATTTGTTTAATAAAACACCTACGATCCGTTTTATTGTTGACTCCCTCATCAACAATGGCAACTGTCTCGGCGATTTTGATTAGCTGTTTATCAACCCGATTTAAAAACGCAAATACGTCAAAACCACGATCGTTATTATGGAATGCCTCTACGCTTTCAACAAATTCTACGATTTTTAATTTTACCTTATCAGGTAAATTTTCGGAATTTTCCAAACATTTGTTGATGTTAGTAGGTACCGCAACGATATGATTCGACAGTGGAGTCGCATGAGGCCAAATGCACTGCAACAGTTGCTCATTTTGTGCAATTGAAACCTAAAATGAAGAAAATAATTTTACGTCTCATTTTAAGTCACATACCTACATGAATTAAGCACATTGCTTGAACAAGCACCAGCAACACCTTCATGATATTAAAATTATTTAAGTAGCACACGTGTGAATGCTAAAAACACTTTGAAAAAATCCCGAATAAATAGCGGTATATATATATTTATTCGGTTTAAAAAATTTGTTATGCCTAGCTCATGTTCATGAATATTAAATATTACCTGCAATAACACAGATAACACATTGTGCATAATTATAATAAACTTTTGGGTACTAATTTTTACAGTAAAGAACAAAATGTTGAAAATAAATATTTCAATATTTATTTGATTTCAAAACAAAGTTAATAAACAGTGCAAGAATAATTACTTATTAACATTCGCTAATAGTCACAAATGGAAGCTTGAGTTTATCTAATTGTTCATTGAAACATTTACGATCTTTTTTATTGCAAACAAGTTTGTTAACAATCGCTTGAGTTCCATTAATCACCGGAATCCTTTCATTAATATCAGCTACAAATTCGTCAATATCAAAAGTATTCGCACTGCCTTCAATATCTTCTAAGAATTGGTCCATAGCCGCTATCAAGCTATTGATTTCCGCTTTTACCTTCTCGGAAAGATTTTCCGAAGCATTTATACATTTGTTGACTTCATCAGGAAACTGTGTAATAGTAATACCGACATAATCTATTCGAGATATAACGCATAAATTAAATTCCCATTCTTCTTTCGTTACTGCGACCTAAAAATTTAATATTTTTATGCAATTATTACCTTTTATTTGCAACTAATATATATATTATGATAACTCACCTGCAGAAAGGCCAATGCGGCAAGAATAACCAACGATGCTTTCATGTTTTCTAGCTCAGTATGTGTAATCCTATACAAATATCGATTATTTATACATTTTGGTAAATTTCCACGGAACGTGTGCAAAAGCATGTTGGAATTTACATATAATTATTTATTTAAATATATTTGAAAGCATATTGTTTGTAGCATATTCATCAAACAAACTGACTGTAAATAATAATCACTTTATATAACTAATTACTACCAAAACACGATGAAATATTATTAAACACGTTTACCACGTTATCAACAACACCATTTATACAATTTCTTTCGGTAGCATTTAATCGAGCAGGTGTTAGTGTGGCTCCGATTGACGTATTCGGTAAAATGGTCGTATTGTTCCTTAGATTATACTGAATAGCATTCAAATCTGCAGCGATCTGTGCCACGTCAGTGATTAAACCAAACCCAACGCGAAGTCGGCACAGAGCCGATGGGCAGTACAACAATAGCGCGTACGAAGACGATAAGTCGTCAAATTGCAAATTATAATCACTGACGCGATCATAGACAACGTCCCCTAAATTTGCCAACGAGGGTGTGCATTGAAGCAAATTATCATTGAAAGAAATACCAAGTTGAAGAAACTGTATCAAACGATTGTTGAGGCATGTGAATTGCTGCAGTTGAAATGATAATGGTGCAGGCGTAGATTCTGACGAGTCTTCTTCAGAAGAAGAGCTGTTACTTTCATTGCTTGAACTGTTGCTCTCATTGGAACTGGAATTGGTTACGGGCAAACCACTGCTTGTAATGCTTACCACCGTGGTTGAATTCTGCGTTGATGACTAAAAATTTAAATATATATTTTGAATCCAGTCACAATTAATAATAAAAAAATTACCAGTTTGCACTGCCAGACCAAAAGTAGGTACAAATAAATATATCGCGACTGCATTGTGTTCAGGTGTTAATTTTGCAGGTATAAGCAGTACTCGGTCAGTTAGTCGAGTTTTTATATTTCAAATAGTGCGGAAACTCAATCCTAAACTATTTCCATTTTTTTATTTACTGCACACATCGTTAAAGAAACAATTTATAGTCGAACATAAACTCTAGCCTTGCATGCGGTAATAAATTCTTTATTCTTTGCATAATTTAATCACAACTATAAAACAATTAATTATTTGATACATTGGGATTAGCATTTTGGAAGTTGGGAAAACCAGGGAAACCAGGAAATCTGTTTGTGGTCGTTGTTGTTGTGGGTGTAGTGCTTTCTGGTATAGTACCTCCTTGAAAGCAGGTTATTAAATTGGAGAGTGTGTTTGCAACCCTTGTAATTACATTCGCAAAACAGTTAATACTTGTCGGAGCAAACTGCCATGGCGAAGCAAAAATATCGGTAACCAGCTGTGTAATATCGCTCACCATTTGCACAGTCTCACTGCCCACATTTATCAAAGTTTGCCATTGACAAAACAAACCCGCGCATGTGAGAAACTCCGACAACATGCTTAAGACATTTGTGCTTCTTATAGAAAAATCATCCACACGTGTTAACACATCAGTGCCGATGTTCTGAATACCAGATGTGCAGCGCTGCAGGTCTGTGCCAAAATTGGTCCCAGAATTGAGAAACTCCCGAAATTGTGATGTCAGGCATTGAACGTTTGGAAACAGGGCACGATCTTGTTGTTGTTGAGCAAATAAAGCACGTAAATCATCAGAACTGAGTGTGGAACAAGTTTTTCCACAAATCTAAACAAAGACATACTCGTTTGATGCGCGTCCATCTATAATATTAATTAATATTACCTGATGTAGCATAACAATGCAAATTAAAACAGTAGGTCGGTTCATTGCTGAAAAGGAGTGAATGAACGAAGGAACATTTGCATCGTTTGGTATTTATAAGCGGCGTACCCAGTGTTATCACAGAAATAAAGTGTTAACCTGGAACGTTTTTGCAGTTTGAATAACTTGAAAATTACTTTATTGGGTAACAATTGCGTAATTTTACTGCTAACAATTTAAATTGAATATCAACGAATTGTTTACATTGTTAACAACAGAATTCAAGCAATAAGCCGTCGCGGGATCTAATCCAGGCTGGGCTTGCCCAATCTCGTTGGCGATAGTCTCCAAATCAAAATTCATTATATCGACATAGCGCGAGATTTCGGACGATATTCGATCTTGGCAGACGAATCCGTTGCAATTGAGAAGCCCATTGAAGGCATTGCGAAAGTCGTCATAATTCTGCGTAAATTGGTCAACGTAATTATAAATGTCGCCACTGATGATGGTCAGGTCAGATGTGCAGCTTTGTAGGTCATCACGGAAATTCTGCGCAGTGTTGAAGAAGTTGCGAACTTGATTTAAGCATAAATTCGAAGACAAGGTGCTCTGAGAATTTACTACCAAAATTTTGTAGATTAATAAGAGAACAATAACAATAAGCATGATTAAATGATGAGATGGGGAATGCCAGGAATACACAAATGATCTTGAGTCAAATAACTTGGAAAGTAAGCTTTTATAGGCCATCGGAAGTATTCCGAGAATATGTGCTGTAAACAATATAACAGTTAAATGTTTAAAACATTCGTGTGCGATAAAGCCACAGGAAAAAATGTTATTGCCACCATTACAGTACAGTATTCTTGCATTTAACATTCATTTATATTGTTTAGTATCTCTCTGGCGGCTTTAGTTTTATCCTCAATGCATGAATAAGTTCCTGGATGATCAGCAGCATATTCAACCACCATACGCAACGACTTCATTAATGGAGGAATATCAGTCTTTGCAATATCCATAACCGCAATAAACGCCACACGAGATGAGCTTTGATGCTTGTTCCATTTCATATTAATTGCTTGAAGCTGATAGAGAATATTTCTACCAATTTGTTTTGTTTCCGCTGGCGCAGTGCGTAAACATACTTGCAGGCCCAGTGCGATGTTCGGTGTGTGTATTTTTAACAATTTTATTATGTTTTCTTTTATGCATCTGAAGTTTGCAATAATGCTGGAGATTGAAATACTGTTGGTGTTGGTTATTTCATTTTCATAATTCTCGGCCGACACCTACGCATGTAAGAAAAATTGTTTAAAGCAAGAGACATAAAAATTATTAAACTGGAGTAATTACCACTGCGAATAGAATGCAAAGTATAATAAATAACTTCATGGTGTGTGTCTTTTTTTACTTTTAAAGTTTTCAAACTTGGGCTTAATGTTATATAGTAGTTCTTATCATGGAACATGTGATAAGTTACGTCAATTGCCAATATTTTTAAATTTAAATTTGAATAAATAACGGTATTTCTAATTAGCTAAAATATAATTGTATTTTATAACAAAGTAAAACGTTAGTAAAAATATTCGGTATAAACAATAATTAAATTCTTAAATTGTTTATTTATAAAAAAAAACATCCGGAAACTTTTTTTTTGATGTGTTTTCCTCATAATTAATATTTCAAACTTAAACAGCATGAAGAAATCATTGAAACGCGTAATCCAACATTACTTACGTGACACTAAGTAGTAAATCATCGTCATCACCTTAGGTTGAAGAACTATTACACAAATAAATAATCTTCTGGCAGATGGCACGACGTGAATGGCGCTGCTGCGAAGAAATTACTTTCACTGTTCTTCAGTGTGAAAGATTCGAATACATTATGGGAAATAAAAACAACTTAAATATATATGGCTCGGTAAATATTTTAACGTTAATTTCGTTATCACATATGAAATATAGAATACAATAGAAACTGCGCATCTTCATTTCATTTATAATGTTATTCAGCGGTAATAACGAAAGGGAAAGGAAAGTCATTGTATGGAGTGCAACAAACCATTTGCAGAAAATATGAATAATATGAAAAGACGATGAACAAACATACGCATTCAATTCACAAGGTACCCATTATCTTCGTGTATTCCCATGATAATACTAATTATACCTGCTATTTTCACTTTCAAATAACTACCAGAGTGAACAGTGAAGTTTAAAGGTGCTAGCGCTTTATAAATTCAATTATGATTGCTGATCTATAGAAAAACTTAAATTTTTTTCCAAGTTTGACTATTATTGAGGTTATGATAAATCTTGCCAAAAGAACATTGCAAAATATTTAAAAATGTTTCGGATAACAATATTTTCAACATTATAAGTAATAAACATTGGGGACAGGTTATTTGTAGAGAAACAAAGGAGTTTAATAAGAAATTTACAACAATTGTAAACGAAGCGCCCCGTAAATCAAAACGTAAGTTTTAGGCGCGCAATTTATTATTAAATACATATTAAATCCTATTAACAAATTGAGGTTTGAAAGCCACAAAAAAATTATTTCCTCTTTTTCCTGTGAGTTATTTTGGAAGTTTTCTTCACAGCCTTCTTGATGGCTTTGACGCGACGTTGATTCATCCATACTGGGTAGGTACCAGTCTCATCTTTTAATGTTTTCGGATTAAAGTTGCGCTTCTTCTCATCGGTAACCATAGCATCTTCGGATTTCACCTTAGCAGCAACTGCAACTTCATCTTTGATTTTCTTGGCATCCACAACTGTAGCAACTTCAGCAACATCTTGCATGTCAACTTCATTCTTGGCCTCATCAATCCCAAGTGTTTTCTTCAGACGTTCAAGTTCTTTTTGACCATAACGAATACGTTTAACTGCCCTGCACTTTCTGCGCCATTTACTTCTTAGACTTTTCGCCATGATAATTGATTATTAAATGAACAAATTCGAATTGCGCCCTAAAACTTTTGTGGTTAGAACAAACATGTGTTTGCCTTGTGGAGTAACATCGAACATGTGTAACATGGGTTGCCTACGCTAGCTGTCTTTCAAATAAATTTTTCAAATTGAGCCCGACTCAATTTTGGATGGACATTTGTCTGTTTTTGATCACAAATCTACCCTTATAATAAAATTGACAGAAAACACAGTTTGAAATTTTCATAGTTGTCATCAATTTGGAGCTTTCGCAAGTATTTATAGATGGAAGGACAAGCTGGTCCGATCCCGACCAAATCGCGTGTTTATGCAGACGCCTTAAATGATAAGCCAGCAGAGTTCTGGAACTACGATAGCTTCACCCCCGAATACCAAAATTCCGACGACTACGAAATCGTCCAAAAAATTGGCCGCGGCAAATATAGCGAAGTTTTCGAAGCATTGCAGTTGTCAACCGCGTTGAAAGTTGTCGTTAAAATTCTAAAACCGGTAAAAGCTCGCAAAATCAAACGCGAAATCAAGATCCTGAACGAGCTACGTGGAGGCATAAATATCATCCGTCTCCTCGGGGTAGTCGGCATTCCCCTGAACAACACCGCATTAGTATTCGAACAGGTAAACCAGGCGGACTTTAAACACATCTACTTCAATTTGTCAGAGTACGACACGCGCTTCTACGTCTACGAACTGATCAAGGCACTCAACTTCTGCCACAGCAAAGGCATCATGCACCGAGATGTCAAACCGCACAACATCATGGTAGACCATGGGCAACACAAGTTGCGACTCATCGATTGGGGTTTGGCAGAATTCTACAAGCCCGGCACTGAATTCAACGTGCGCGTTGCATCACGTTACTTCAAAGGGCCTGAACTGCTTGTCGAATATGGCTACTACGATTATTCACTAGACATGTGGTCGCTTGGTTGCATGTTTGCATCGATGATCTTCCGCAAGGAGCCGTTTTTCAGCGGCAGCGACAACTTCGATCAACTCTTGCGCATTGCCAAGGTTCTAGGCACGCAAAACCTTGAAAACTACCTCAACAAGTACAGAATCCACTTGAATCCACAGTTTCGAAGCACGCTGGGCCACCACAGTCGTAAGAAGTGGGACCGGTTCATTAAAACCGAGAACGAGTATTTGATCAACGACCATGCGCTGGACTTCTTAGATCGGCTGTTGCGATACGACCACGTGGATCGAATAACGGCTAAGGAAGCGTTGGACCATCCATATTTTGGGCCAATTCGTAAGAATGCCCGCGCCGCACCAACGACTGAAAGCGGATCGTCTGAATCACAATAATTATGTTACCATTAATAGCTAAATACAAATTAAATGCCCGCGTAGAAAAGTTTATTGATGGTATATTCAGACGTATTCACATAGCGTAGGTATTCTTTGGCTGGTCCTCATCCTGTACACCCGCCACTTTTTTGACAAACTGTGGATTCACCTGAATCTCTTCATCCATTGTGAATATTTTCCTATCAAGATCCATACACGCGCCCAGTTCCGCTTCAAGCTTGATGAGTACTTCCGGTCCGTTGTACTTTTCCGGTTCGTCCCTAAATACAACCATACCATCCTTCTGATTGATGGTGGCAAAGATCTGCTGGTCTTCGATCATGTGAAGAATGATCTTTTCAGCGTCCGCGGGGCCTGGCAGGCCAATCCGCAGCGCGACATCAGCGAGACTCAACGTGAGAAAGGTCTTTGTTAGTCGTTGAATGTTTTTCTTGTGCATCATTGTAGAGACTTGCGCAACCAGGCCAACGTTGTGATCGCGTGCAAAGAGTTCTGTGTTCTTGGTAACCACACTATTCAGCTCGGGGATGTTATTATTCATAAACGCGCTCGCCAAATCATGGTAGGGCTGAGACAGAGGCTTGATGAAGCGCGTGACCACGTGCGACGTATATTTCGGCACCGTTTGTACCTTGCCATGAGAGAGCAGCGCAACTAGAATATATTTCTTGTATGCTTCCAACATAATGTGCGAAATAGCGAACGCAGGCGTGGTGATGCACACCTCAAAAAAGTACAATGCCCTGTCCAGGTTTTTGACTGCAAGATAAATCATGCCACCATAGTAGAAGTACAAGAGATAATGTTTAGTGTCAAAGGGGGGATTTGCTGATGATTCCTGGCACATTCCAGTGATGTCAATGTCAAGCACCTGCAGAGTTTCCTTGAAGCATTTAGCCAGGAGGCTCAAGTGACAAAGATCAGCATGTATAGATGTCAACTGAGAATCAAACAACTGCATCTTACTGATGGCTTTTTTGATCAGGTAAATTCCCTGGATTGCTTGCTTCTGTTCCACTAAATATGCTGTAATTAGGTGGCACAGTTCAGCAACTGAAACATAAGCACAAACAATTAACTGAATCAAATCAATTACTTAATGGTACATACACATTTCTGGTGCAAGCCTAATATGTTCCCCATTGCAGTTTAGAATGAAATCATGCGCTTGATTGTAGCGATTGTTCTGTGCTGTAGACGCTGGTGCATTGAACTTGGCGCACAGTATTGCGAGTATCGCGAGTGAATGCTGCTGCACATCCAATGTCTCCAGTACATTATCGAGGTGCTGTGTGTTTTTCGCTAATAAGTCACTGGATTTCGTTAAGTAGTCGCATAAATCGCGATAACTTCCTGAAAAGTCGCGGCGGATTTGTAAACATAACCTAAATATAAAGAAAAGACATTTTTATGGAAACTCACCTTCGGCGGACAAGTTTCTAATCGTGTTTGCAAATACTTCTAGAGGCGAAGCCATTACTTATACTTATCACTAACTCACTAAATTCTGCTAATAATGTTGCTTTGTTTTTTGTTAAATAATCAAGCAGCGAACATCCTTTACAACTTCAATATTTTTGTTATTCTCTTTTGCTCAAAATTGTAGATGGCGCTGTATAAACATACAGCGCTGAAACAAGTCGGTCATAAATAGAACCATAATTTAAAATGTCACTGATATTTATGAAAAATCATTCCCTTTCAAGCAGCCCTATAGAATTCATTTTATGCGATGCATAAGATGTGCAGCAGCACCCAAATAATATGTACATACATTTTTAGTCACACTAATCACGTTCACACTCCCTTCCATATGCGCCGTGTGCACGGCTGTATTTACGCTGCCTTGTTCAGCTCCTGCTGATTCCTGTTACTCCACCCAGCAAACGCATCGCATGTCGTAGAGAAATAAAAAAAACATTAATTGCTTTCACATACGGTCATCAAGTGCACAGCGTCACGTACTTATTCGTGCTCAGTGCTCAGTTGAATTTGGAAACTAAAATAACACCGCATTTATCATTTCCAAATGGAATGCAAGACCGAAATGGACCTCAGCGGTAAGCTGATAATAAAAGTGCAATTAGCGGATGATATCCGTCGCATACCAATCCACAACGAAGCGATTACCTACGACGAACTGGTGCTTATGATGCAGCGAGTGTTTCGAGGCAAATTGTCTTCAACTGATGAGATAACCATCAAATACAAGGATGAAGGTATAACTAGCTTCACAAAAGAGTATCACCAACAAAGTATACATTTTTATGATTTCAGATGGTGATTTGATAACAATATTTGATAGTTCTGATTTATCATTTGCAATCCAATGTAGCCGGATATTAAAACTGCAAATTTTAATGAATGATGACAAGGATGAAGACAAAACATCCACACAAGTTAACTCTGCAGATGTTTTAGGAATCAAAGTTCAGCTGCGAAGTATAAGAGATCAAGTTAATAAGATTCTTGATTGTTTGGATGGGGATAGATCTTCACTGCCAACTACAAAGGAGGCAGTAACTGAAACTAATGTGCCAAATGGAGAGGAGGTTATACCAGCTGCAAGTTCTGTGAATCCAAGGGAGTTTGATCCACTTCAGCTTGACAAAACCACACAGGAACCTGTGAAAGATACAACAGAGCAAGAAAGGACTGCAACCAGTCTAGGGTCTAATGTTGTGCCTTCTACAGCACCTAGCAGTCACCCTCAATTTGTGAGAACTACTCCTTCAGGCTATCAGAATACGACAACTTTTGCTAGCAATCCATACTCAGGCGGCCAGTATACCTACCAAGCGCCAAATTATGTTGGGCAGCCTGAAATGGGTCAAACGCCGGCGTTTAACTATCCGAGCACGACAATGCCGTATGCTGCTGTCACGCAGTACGGACCGCCGCAGACGACCATGTATCCGCCGCATTCACAGAGTAATCCTTACTCGAAAAGTTACTCGCAGGCATCACCGCAACATGTGCAGTACATGCCGCGTTGATTAGAGCATAATATCCCCTCTACACTATAATTATCAAGCTTTATTTCACTCGTAATTTACATTGATTTGACTTAGTTGGATGATGCTTAGGACATTTATTGGAGATGTCTGCCAGTGTGCCTGCATATGGAGTATGGTTTTTAAATTATACACAACTTCATACAAGTTGTTACACTTTGCAAAGGATTCCATGGTAGAAAAAGAAGCATTTGTGGCTTAACTTTGAAACACTGTTTTTCATATTATATTTGTTAGTTATAAGGAATGTATTTTTATCATTTAAATTCAATAAAGTTGTTTAAATATTAAACGGTATGCTTAAATTTACATAGGCAACCCATAATACACCATTGATTTATTTGTTTACTATTTGTGTATTACGCGCTGCCTATCTAGCTGTATGTTTACAATCTCTAATGTTTTCGGTACAATTGTTGGACCAACTCTATTAAGTTAAAATGAGTGATATCAAGTCATTCTTTAATCAGTTCTGCCAAAAATACAGCATACAACCTATGTACGAGTTTCGCCCAGCAGGTAAGTACAAAAAAACATCCATCATAGTTGACTTCTTGTAAAATGTTTATTCATTTGCCTTAGGACCAAAGCATCGTATTCGATTTCTTTGCGAAGTACGTGTACCTGGTCACTTGTACATCGGCGTCGGCAATTCCACCAACAAGAAAGATGCCCAGACAAACGCCACCAGAGATTTCGTACACTACATGCTACGACAGGGTCTTGTCAGTGCTGCTGAAGTGCCTGGAATGGAAAGTGAGCAAGTTCTGGATATCCAGGGTGTTTCACACACTGATCTACCACCACTAGTACAGCAGAGGTCAGTCTTCACAGAGGGAGAAAATCCCAGCCGAATAGGTCAAGCATATAGACCTGTTGGGAATTCTGATGATAAGTGGAAGATAGAGAATCAGCAGCATATGGAGGAGGCTGAGAATCTGGATATGAATGCACAAATTCATGGAAACTGGACAATTGAAAATGCCAAAAGTAAGCTGCACCAGTTTATGCAGGTGAACAAAATTAATACTGATTACAAGTATTCTGTGGTTGGACCAGATCATGTCAGGTAAGTCTCATTTTTGCAATAAAATCAAAGAGAATCTAGCATAAATAGATTCTATTTGATTTTTATCATACAACATTTTGTACAATTGAAAATATTAATAGCTCATGGAGTAAATTTACTAGTTGATTTTCTTCATGAGACAGAATAATGATGGAAATATTTAAGTAAATTGTACAAAATTGTTTATGTAGGTAGCCGTTTTTATCAACATAAAATAAAATGATCACCAAATGTAAGTATGAATTATTCTGCAAATGCATCTAAATTAACTAGAAAAAATGATTTGCAGAAGTTTTATCGCTACAATGACAATTTTTATCAAAGAACTAAATCGCAACATCACAGGTCGCGAAAGCGGCTCCAACAAACAAAGTGCTAGCAAATCATGTGCACTCTCCATTGTGAGGCAACTATATCACTTGAATGTTATCGAGGCTTTTTCTGGGACGCTTAAGAAAGACAAAGCAGCAAATTCAATGACACCCTACAAAGTCAACATTACACCTGACCTGCGCTCGAAAGTAATTAACTGCCTGCGAACTTTAAATTTTACTACAATCCAAGAACCACTACCTAACAAACCAGAAGGCATTTCTTTGCTGCTATCAGAGGTAGAAGAAGGTGAATCCTTGAAGCCGGTAATAAGCGGCGGCGTAGTATCCTGGTCTCCGCCAACTCCAAACTGGAACGCTTGGACGAATTGCAACATTGATGAGGGCTATCTAGCTACAACGAGTTTAGAAAAGCTAAGCGAGGAATTAGCAGCCTCTACAAGACAACGGCATCAAAACGAACCCGAACTACTTGAAAGTATTTTAAAACGAGGTGAATTACCCGTTTACCACGCCCGTGATCAATTAATGCATGCCATAAACGAAAATCCTGTTATTATAGTTAAAGGTAACACAGGGTGTGGGAAAACCACACAAGTATGTCAATACATTCTTGATGATTATATTGCTAGCGGCCAGGGCGCATGGTGCAACATAGCTGTTACCCAACCGCGCCGCATTTCTGCAATTTCAGTAGCCGAGCGAATTGCTTCCGAGCGCTGTGAGATGATTGGCGCAAGCGTTGGTTATTCCGTGCGATTTGAGAGTGTTCTACCACGTCCGTACGGTTCAATTCTTTTCTGCACCGTTGGTGTACTTCTTCGAAAACTCGAAGGTGGTCTACGTGGCGTGAGCCATGTTATAGTGGATGAAATTCATGAAAGAGACGTGAACAGCGATTTTATTCTGGTGGTTTTAAGAGATATGGTTCACACATATCCGGATTTACGCGTTATACTGATGTCTGCAACGATAGACATTTCATTATTCACGAAATATTTCAATAATTGCCCAGTGGTGGACATAGACGGGCGTTCATTTGCAGTCGATGCTTTCTTTTTGGAAGATGTCATCGAACAAACTGGGTTTGTACAACCGACGATTAATCCACGCAAACGGAAAGCCATTGATGGTGAGGATTCAGTACCGGATGAACCTGATGAGGATATGAATAAAACGGCGGCGCGTTCATTGAGCAGTAGTTATTCGCAACGCACTCGGAATATAATTCAGGACATGTCCGAAAAGGAGCTGTCGTTTGAACTGATTGAAGCGTTACTGACACACATCAAAGCTCGCAAGGAACCAGGGGCGATCTTGATTTTCCTTGCCGGCTGGAATTTAATTTTTGCGCTTCTGAGGCACTTGCAAATGCATCCAGTTTTTGGTGGTTCACAATATTTAATCCTTCCGCTTCATTCACAACTTCCCAGGGAAGATCAACGTCGTGTCTTTGAGAGCGTGCCTGCGCACGTTACTAAAGTGATTTTGTCTACGAACATTGCTGAAACTTCGATTACCATCGATGATGTTGTGTATGTAATCGATAGTTGCAAATCCAAATTGAAAATGTTTACTGCACACAACAATATGACGAGTTATGCCACTGTTTGGGCTTCGAGGACGAACTTAGAACAGCGAAAGGGTCGAGCGGGTCGGGTGCGTCCTGGCATTTGTTATCATTTATGCACGCGCGCGCGTTTTGATAAGCTGGAAGAGCATGTTACACCTGAGATGTTTAGATCACCACTGCATGAACTAGCGTTGAGTATTAAGTTATTGCGACTGGGTGCTATTGGACATTTCCTCAGTAAGGCAATTGAACCACCGCCGATTGATGCGGTTATTGAAGCGGAGGTGTTACTGCGTGAGATGAAGTGTCTGGATAAAAATGATGAATTGACATCATTGGGGAAGATTTTGGCTAGGATGGCTATTGAGCCACGGCTGGGAAAGATGATGGTCTTGGGGTGTATTTTTATGATCGGCTCACCTTTGGCTACTATGGCGGCCAATTCGTCAACATTTCCAGAGATATTTACTTTGAATGGCGGACAGCGACGTCTTAGTTTTTATCAGCGAGGATTGGCAGGTGATAGATGTTCCGATCACGTCGCAATGTTGAATGCTTTTGAGGTGTGTGTATTTGAAGCCAAATATTCTATAGTTTAATATGTTTTTGGTCTGCAGCTCTGGAATAATGCTCGGGAGGGTGGAGAAGAAGCAGAAGCTCGTTTTTGTGAGTACAAAGGCATCAGTATGTCTACGATGCGGGTTACATGGGAAGCAAAGCGACAATTACACGACACCCTGATAAATTCCGGCTTTCCGGAGGAATCCCTGCAGAGTCAGTCATTAAATACGGTTGGGCTAGATATTAAATTGGACATGGTGATGGCCCTTATGTGCTCTGGACTGTATCCGAACGTATGCTATCACAAAGAGAAGCGCAAGGTTCTCACCACCGAAGGAAAGGCGGCGCTCATACATCGCACATCCGTTAACTGTAGTAATTCGGAACAAACATTTAAGTTTCCGTTTTTTGTTTTTGGTGAAAAGATTCGCACACGTGCTGTGAGTTGTAAGCAAATGTCCATGGTGTCACCTTTACATTTGTTGCTCTTTGGCTCTCGGAAAGTGGACTGGGTGGACGGCGTTGTGCGCTTGGATAACTGGATTAATTTAGAGATAGATCCAATTATTGCAGCCGAAGTGGTTGCGTTGAGACCTGCATTGGAGAGCTTGGTGCGCCGATACTCGGAACGGCCTGAAGATATTTTACAAATGACACAATCCGATCAAGAGGTTGCCCATTTTATTCAACTTGACTTTTGTCTGTTTTTGATTAAAAATTTGTTTTTTAGCTTGTTGAAGTAATAAGGGAACTATGCACATTGGAGGCTGGTAATCATCAAATCGAAAGAGCTGATTGTTTTCAACCCACGCCCGGGTTGTTTGGTAAACGTCCTCCACGTGGGCATTCATTTGGAGGCGGTTATGGATTCGGTGGAGGTCGAGGACTAAATTTCGGACCATCCACACACAAATTTGCGCGCAGAGGGGAGCAGAATGATCGCTTCCAACGTGGTGGTGGTGGATTTTGGGGCAAGAGGGGAAGAAGTAATTATTATTAAATTAGATGCAGTTTATATCTGTAAACTATAAACTTATTTAATAAAACATTGATCCGGTGGATGAAATATTTGAATTTTGAGTAAAATGACAGTTCGAGAGGTAGGCAACCAAGATATCACTTGCCACCGCAACGATCAGCTGGTCAGCGTTCTTGCGGTTCTTCCGCAACGCGAATGGTGTGTTATGTTGGGTTTATTCATTGTTTGTTCTTCGTAAATCGGTCGAAAAGTGTTCCATTTGCCTGCAGTTGCAGAACTACCAACGAAATGTTATCATTTACATAGGAGTTGTTGCCTAGAAAGGTAATTTTGCAATATATTCATACGAAATGGCGGTTGGATTTTCCGACCAATAAAACCCACAACAGGTTTTCCCTTTTACTGGTGCTTTGTAAATACGCTGGAAAATATATTGCTATAATTCACAGTTTACAGCAATTGCTTAGCAATGCGCGTATGCATATTACAATCACAACTCCAATAAAAATGTTAATATTTGCACTGTCTTATTAAAATTGTTAGGTGAAATTTCAGAGTGAAAGGTTGATTGATAGTAGGCCACGGCCATTTGAATTGGGAGAAATGACGCCGGTACCTTCTGATGAACCCGCAGCCAAAAAGAGGACTGCATCTGACTACAAGTTTGGCAAAGTGATTGGTGAAGGCAGCTTTAGTACTGTATACCTTGCTAAAGACATTCACACTAATAAGGAATTTGCAAGTAAGCATTCATTCACCAATTAAAAAAAAATAATAATAATCTGTGTCATCCCAATTTTAGTAAAAGTGCTCCAGAAACAACACATTGTAAAAGAGAAGAAAATGAACTATGTGACACGCGAAAAGAACGCACTTTTAAAGCTCTCCAGTTGCAATAGGTTATTTGTGAGATTGTACGCCACGTTTCAGGACGTGGAGCGTTTGTATTTTGTCCTCAGCTATGCCAAATACAGCGACCTTTTGGCCCACATCAACAGCTCCTTTTCATTAGAATGCTGCAAGTACTATGCTGCTGAACTTCTCTTAGCATTGGAGATATTAAAGTCGAAAAATATCATACATCGCGACCTCAAACCTGAAAACATCCTGCTGGATGATAGCTGGCACATATTATTAACTGATTTTGGTAGTTCGAAAATCATCAGCGACACGCAGTCTCTAGAGACTTCTGAGGCGCCTGCTGATAACCAGAGAAGAAATAGTTTTGTTGGCACTGCACAGTTTGTCACCCCCGAGGTGCTCACGAGTGGAAGGGTCACCTATGCGGTGGACCTGTGGGCGTTCGGTTGTATACTCTTTCAGATGATATCTGGAACGATGCCATTTACCGGACCATCGGATTACTTAATTTTCAAGAAGATTCTTGCGTTGAATTATGACTTTCCGGAGAATTTTGATCCGATCGGGAAGGATTTAATTAACAAGTTGTTGGTACTGGACCCAAATGATCGATTAGGCTTTGCTGACGAGCGCCCTTATTCAAGCATCCGTGAGCACGAATTTTTCGCCGGAGTGAATTGGGATGATCTAGGCGAGCCACCTTTAGGAAAAGAACGTCGCAATAGTAATGAGAGTCACAATGCTCAGATTTCTGATGAATTGGAACCCGGTTTTGATGATCGCAAGGCTGGTCGTTTGCATTTGGAGATGATAGCGGCAACGCCCACTCGAAAAAAATCAGAGGCGAATCGAAATATTGCCGATGTTGATGCTACCGAGAAGGATCGACGCCTAGCATTACAACGCGGTGATAAGTGGAACGATTTAGTAAAGGGTAATCTGATTTTGAAACAGGGTTTGATTGAAAAACGAAAAGGACTGTTTCCGAAGCGGAGGATGCTTTTACTTACGCTTGGTCCGCATTTGTACTACGTTGATCCGGATGCCATGGTGCTCAAAGGTGAGATTCCTTGGAGTGCTGATCTTCGGCCGGAACCTAGGAATTTCAAAACTTTTCATGTGCATACTGTATGTATATTTTCTGCGTTTATTTACATTTATTAAAACTTGCTTTCTACTTTTTTACAGCCTAATAGGACTTATTATTTAGAAGATCCAGAAGGCTATGCACTGGAGTGGTGCAAATGTATTGACGAGGTAAAAGCATTTTACTACTCATCTACTAAATAGAAACTTTGTATGTTACGAACAGAAGAAAAGCACCTCCGAAATTATAACGATTATTAAATTAACTATTTATTCTACATTATCCATTTTTAAGTCAATGTATTGTACTTTTTTCTATTTGTGTGAAGTTTCTTTACTCTTAAAATATTTAGTCGCGTTTTGTTTCTTGTCTGTGCTGGAACAAGATGGCTGATGATAGACCAATCACAATACTGAAACAATTCATGTATACTAGACTATGTTTACTATTTAATTAGCAAATTGACAAAACCAAGTATGTGACCATTGATAAAAATATAATTTATTAAAAAATATTGCGAATAGTTTATTATTCGTACAATTGTGACATATTTCAAGTAAAACTAGTCAGCAATTGAAATGTGTTTATGAGTGTAAGATAAGTTGCATACATTCGCGCAGCGCTCGTCCGTGTTCGGCTGTCAGTTGCCGTTTCAACATGGCGGTACTAAGACGTTATGCTCCAGAATAGTGCAACATAAAGCGTGAAATCCACAATAATTAACGATGCTACCTGGTTAACAGTGGACAACCTACAACCGGCGACAATCGCTCTTACGATTGTAGTGCGTGCACGCCGTAATCCCCATGCGAAATAGGTGAGTTGGTGCATTTTTGCATTTGTTGTGCATCTGTGAGGCGCGAATCTCGGGGAGACTCGATTTCGGTGTGAAGCGAGCGCCGCCCACACGCGTTCGCACTCGGAGGCAGCATCCACATGCGACTTTACGGCCGAATTGCAGCGAGTTGCCGGCGCCGGGTGTGTGCGCGACGCCACCGTCTGACAGTGGCAGTGTGTAAATAATCGACCGACAGCACCCGTGCACCGATTATTTCGTGCATTCGCATTGACATTCGCTACCCGCCACATAATAAACAATATGATACAATTTGCGAGCGTGTGCATGTATGCGTTGTTTGTACCTGCAGTGATTTGGGTGGGTTGGGTACACGTGTGTGAAAGCGCATGCGACGCACACATGCAGCCCGTTACTAATGTATGCCGTATGCCATAACGATTGTTTACATCGAAAGCGAAGCGTAAACAAGCCTCTTTTCAACAATCGTCCCTATACCTGTAGCTGAATGGTTTGTTTTTCTGGCTATTTCATGATGTTTCTTCAATTTGGCCTCGCAGCTGGCCTGTAAGATTGGCACGAGTAACAAGATTAATGGAAAGGTGTTGTAATCGTTTCGAGAATTTAGTGTGCTCAAATATTTTACCGGTAAACCGGTAATACCGGCATTTGTTCATTTAATTAATTAATTAATAGAAAAAATATCGGTATTAGCAAATAAAAGTACTGACCTACGGGTTTTTTGCAGCCCTAGTGATCAAACATTTCCACTTTCTTGCACGCGAGTTTAATTAAGTATAGAAGAAGCGTGGGTTTAAATCTTGCAAAGCAGGACAAAACTCGCGCTGACCGGTTTGTTGATGATTAGCAGAGCGATGAAGGTCACCGTGTATGTCGATTTATTGATTCATGATATTCGAACTGTCTCGTGGAATTTATTCCCTATCATAATATTACTGATAAACGCATGTCTCTCGCCACCGTATTTTCCTGACAGATTTACACAGGCCCAGCAAAGTGCCAGACCGAACACGAGTTGAAAATTTTGGCAAAGCTAGGACTTGAAATGATTCTCGTGCATTTTGTGACTATCCCCGATATATGTTGAGTGTGTATCAGCCCGCCGGCCGGATGACGCTAGAGTGTGGCGATTTATTGTTCACTTTTATTTTTGGGAATAAACGGCCTTACCCTATCACACGCACGTTCCCGGTTGTCACTTTTTCCGCCTTTCGCACCAGCAAAGTTGTTGCCAATTGCAGGCGCAAATAATGTGTGGGAGATGTTTTCATTAATCATCTAGCAAAGTGGTCCGATGAATCAACGGAAAATGCATTTCGGCGATGTTTTCATTCATTGCCAAAATATTCTATTAGGTTTTGGATAATTATTTAGAAAGCATAGAAATTTTAAAGGTAGTAGTAAAGGACAGGACAATCCCTTTGTTCGACCCGAAGAGAGAAAGACAAAGAAGTGAGCCTTGGAGCTGCGACTGGACCGCCGAAGGACTCAATCATGGCTGAGCGTGGTTCGTACTGGAGCTGGCTTTTTATATCTGCGGGCTACCCACAGAAAGTGGTGGGGAAAGGTGCGCCACACATGATTGATCGCACGCGATATGTAGGAGGCTCTACGGTTGTGCGTGGCTGGAGTGGCGGGGGTTCTGTGTGCTATCCTCCATTACGCTCCGTTGTTTGAGTAGTTTGTCCAATGGAAGTATGTATCACGTTGCTAAGGGTTCCTAATCCGAAATAACGTTATGAATTGATAATTTTCAATTTCGTTGTTTATATGTTTTTTAAATATCTCTTTACTCTTTGCTGTGTAAAAAGTGGTCACGTCCGCCTTCTTCTAGTGACTATTTTGAGAAAAAATGAGAATTACGAGCGTCGCGACGCGCGACACAAACTGTGGCAAGTGTAAATAAATTTCATAATGGCGGATGTCGAGCGGGCAATGCGCGTGATTATTCATTGAGGACTCTAAAAATGCTATTTCGGTACAAGTTGGCGCTACATTTTTCATTAGGCAAAGTTTTTGAGCAAAAATAGACGAATTTTTATTTTAAAAATCACGAATAACATGGTTGTGCATTTTTCATAGACATAGTGTGTTGAATCAGTCATGCATTGGGAACGCAGACATATGGTCATTATAAAATTATGCTCATTGCGTCGACCGCACCGCTGGCACCATTAATGCATCCCGAGTTTTGTCATAACATTAGCCGCGATGTTTACGACAACTAATCATCGTCATTGCACCAGAGGGACGTCGGGAGCGTCATCGTGAACGCGCATTACGTTTTGGAAGCTGTCGAGCTTTCGCGGCGAATTACTCACGCGAAAGCTCAAACCCGAAAGTTTTTCGCGGTGAGTCACCTGAGTAATGTGTAAGCAGCGACGCACGTTTGGCAATTTTCGCGAATGATGAAGTTCAATACGTATTGTACCAATTGTGCGAATTGTGCGTCGTTGTTTGATGATTACAATTCACTTCATGGGCGTCGCGACGCCGAGTGGCTGAGAATCGCGCGCGTCGGACTGCGCATCCCGTGCTTTAGCGGCGCTCGACCGGCGCTTTCCACTCAGCATCGCTGCAGCTGCAGTCCGACGCCGGGCGTCGCTACGTGTCCGTCACACGTACAGTCGGTTTAAATCAACGACTGAATGCAGCAGCTCATGCAAATGCGCGGTGTGTCGAATGTGAAGAAGCAGTAGGTGGGTGCGCCATGTTGAAAGAGTCGGCGGCACGCTGGACTCGCAGTTCGTGACCGCCTCCAGCCTCCAGCCTGGCTTGCGCACCAGAGGTGGTGGACCATGCCCGTGAGCGTGAGCACGGGGTCACTCGGAGAGCCTCGCGCCAAGCGCTGCAAGCACTGCGACGGTAAAGCTACGCTGTGGTGTGTGATGGTCGGTGGACCTGACGTTGTAACCCACCCTCAAAATACAAATGTTTTTACTCTATTAACATGCTTGACGAGACACGTGCAACTAATTCTAATTACCTGCCTGGATGGTTTGTTCAAGTGGCTGTACTTTGCTTTTGATGTGTGTGAGTGTGGGCCTAGCGTTCGAAATAGAATCAGTGAAATGAAATGAAATAGTGAAGTGTGTCAGTGACGTATAGAAAAGGCCAAAAGAATTAGGCGACATCAATGAAAGACATAAAGAAACATTGAGCTGCACACCTATCTGAAACTAATAAACGTGGCCTATTTCCAAAGGTACAAGTTGATGTGTTGCCATTAGTGATAGTTGTGATACAAATTTAAATTAATTAGTCTTCCTTGCATTGTGCACGCAAAAGTTATGTTAATTAATGTTTGTGGCAACTTGAATTCTAGAGAGCATTGTATCAGTCTTTGCTCCCTGGTTTTGTTTACGAAATTATGATATATTCGTGTTTGTGGTTTTGGCAAATCAACACTGTGTGCCTCCACTCACATCAGCACCCACTGCCCACATATCTAATTCGTCGTTAAACAATGTTATTGCATCTGCGTAATATGCAATCGAATTAATATCTTCGGAATCGACACCAGAATGAATCAATTAGCATCTTCGTTGGTGCGTTTGAGTGTCCGCCGCCATCGCAACTCTGCGCGTTCGCCTGCTTCCAGGGGCCGCGCGGATCCTATTTTTACGCCTCGCGCGCGCAGCGAGCAGTCGTGAAAATATGTGAACGTGGACAGGGCAGCCGTCCGATATACGCCCGATATTTACTAGTAACCAGCCGGTTGTAGTTACGTTTTGCGTGTGTAAATTGTTTACCTTTCAAGTGTAAACATATATTCATCCAAGCGCTAATCTGCCTGACATCACAACGCATTCTGTGCAGGCGGTGGTGGATGAACAAAAAAAACTAATACGTGATTGTAATGTTTCCAGTAGGCGAGAGTCCTGCGTCCTCTTGGAAACTTATTTCAATTACGGCGAATGTAGAAACGTTGTACATGAAAAACTAGTCTGGATTACTCGAGGATTTATGATCCTAGGTTTTATCGTGACGTGACATATTGAACTTTATTCTACAGGGGTGGACTTGATATCATGTTTTTCACTACAAGCAATGTAGCAGACAGAATACGTTATAGTGTTACTTTGTTAAACGATGAAGAATATTTTAATATCTAGCAATTATGATCTTGAATATTTTTTTAAAGACATAACATTGATGGCAACATTTGAAATATTGTTGTAATTATCCCAACATCCCTGCAAATTGCAATGCAAATTTTTGTTGTATTTACTACAAAATCATTTAAACAAAACAAAAAGGTGTTTTTGTTATTTTTTGTTTCTTGATGTAACGACTCCTCCCTGGCTTTAATTGAGGTTAATTGCAGAAAGCTCAAAATCACAATTGTCCTCGTTTAGATTGGCGTTGAGGGATTAGAGTGTGCCCTTGTAGAACACCTTAGTGTTTAATAGTTTGTCACGCAGACACCAGGCAATACTAGTAAAAAAATTGACGTGCCAAGTCTGCAACATAGTCTCTAAACAACTACAGTGTATTCTGAAACGCGTAAAATGTCTATCGCTACATATCCGAGACATGTCCTTGTGTTTGCTAACGATTTTCACTTCTCAGCGAATCGCGACGCTTTGAGCCTTAGTTTACTGCATTTATTTAACGCGTGTTCACATTCACATACACATGACCGCATTGAAAACATTAGCGCTCATCGGAGGCGGTAAGTTGTGCGGCGCCTTCACTTTTCCGGCCAAAAATAATATTCGTCGACTACAATGTAGTTACATATTTACGCAATGCTGCGACTACAATACCAACACAACGAAATGAAATGGCCGCTACAAATGAACATTTCGTATGACTGTGGTCGAAATGGAATTTATAATGAGCGAGAATTTTGCTCCTTTAAGGTGCATCTATTCAATTCACTCACCATAATTGCAGAAATAAAATAACAATACGCAATATTGTTTTTGGATTATGTTCGATAATGTTAAGATAATGATGTTTATGCAGAGAGTGACATTGAAATTTTAAAAAATATTTAGACATACCGCAGGCCAACGTAGCATTTGTTTACATAAACTTTAAGCTTTTCGAGGCTTTCGTAGAAAAACGCGTTCGAAAGTAGATTTCGTCATATCATAGAAACCAGCGGGTACGAGAAAAAATATATTTTCTGCGTTGTGGTAAAAGTGTAGAATAAGAATATGAACTATGTGCCATTATGCGATTGTAAAAAGGTATGTGGATGCTCCGCACGCTTTTTAAACTTTATTATGTCATTTACAATGGCATAAAACGTCAGGATGGACTTTATTCTAATGCGCCGGATGATCTGGCTCGAATGTGTCGTGAATATTTTATTTTCGAAAGAGAAATCGTGCGCGACATACATATAACATATCTAAATATTCGGAAGTAAAGTAAATTTGCTGAAAAAGCAAAAAGTTTTGTCTGAAACGCAGTTTTTTTTTGTTGTTGTTATTTTCATTATCCAACTGGTTGCTGCGCATTGAGTGTAATTAAATTTCCATTACAATTGAGAACGAAATCGTGTTTGTACTAATTCGATTAAAATTTTGTCAAGATTGAATTTGAATTTGCTATCGCATGCTGAATTTTTCTACCTATTAGTCAAAATCACAAAAATATCCAGATTATACATGTAGGCGAATTCACCGTTTGCTATTTATAAATGGCGTAAAACATTTATTTGGATTGCGCGTCGTTAACGAATATGCTGCTGTGCTATTACCGAGAATATATTTAGATATTTTAAGTTGTGGTCCCACGTTTTATTCCGTTAACAATGCATTTTTTTTTATTTTCTTACAACTTTTTATTTTTATTTATTTGCCGATTCAAATTTAAAGATGTACGCTCTGACCGTGAAGTTTCTACAATTTAAATTAGGTTCTACGTGCATTTATTTTTCTTGGCTTTTTAAATTTGAAAATACAACGAAACTTTACAACTAGGAATTTTCTATCAAGGTAAAAATTGTGCTATAATTAGCATTTGCGTTTATAAAAATACGTTTTGCTTTCTCATTTGCTTATACATACATTCTTACGTAAAGAGACCGACTTTAAATAATAGTTGATCAATAATTTTCTGGTAGGAAGATATGTTGTTATTTTGGTCGAAAGTGTCAAATTAGAGCTTGCAACCTACGCGCAATATTAATAGATTTTATTTCTTTGAGTGTGCAATCAGAAAGTGTCACGTAGTTTTATTTTGCCATGGAACCAAATGTCAGTACGCATTGTTGATTTTTTCTTCATTAGAGTCTTTGTCGTCGGAAACTGTGAGTCGGTAACACATGCGCCAGCATCTTCAGGTCGTCGCCACCGATTTCCAAATTTTTATACAAGGTGTACACTTTGCCACTTTACATCACTCCTTCCGAAATGTTTCGGTTTAAGTTCATCATACTGAATCTGTTTATAGCCGTACTAGTATTTTCGTCGTTTCGACTTGTAGAAATGTTGTTTACGTTCTTATTTAGCCGACTAGCTGTGCGAGTTGATATGTCTACAAGACGATGGAACTTTGGTGACACAGATTTCATCTTCATAATCGTCGCACGGGGCTGGTCGGAAAAAAATGGCGGATTGACATTTATTGGATTTTCCACGCCGACCGCATTGTGCATCAGCCGTACAGAAAGTTATTGGCACACGGCTGCCAAAAATCGGCGAGTCGGTCGCAATTTTTGGCCTATGCAACCGACGTCGCCACCGCCATCGCTATCCGTACATCCTGAATGTGTTTACGGCGTGCGATTCAATTATCTGTGTCTCAATGATCATGGTACACTTACGCTAGTTGGCGGCACCCGACTGGCGCTTTTCGCGCGTTACACACAGATTATTATGCAAGCGGCGATTTTCGACGAACGGCGGCGCATTCCGCGCACCGCCGCCTTCTAATTGGCATATTGCGGCTTATGATCGGAATTAATTGCCGATTGGTAAAGTCAAGGTTAGAATAGGAAAGCTGTCGGCGGCGAGTTATGCTTTTTGTTTCGGCAATTAGTATTTATTTTTAGGCGCGTGCGGTCCTACGCATTTTATTTTGCGATATTTACAACTTGAATGTTGTAAAGAAACTTCACGAAGAAATGGCTGTGATTGTTGTTCACTGCACGGACGTTTAATTTAGATGTTAGAGACGACATAAGTAGGAATAAGTCACTTAGGCCGTGGAAATAGGCTAGCCATCGCTATTTTTAGGATTTGGGCATCTTTAGGCCACTGACTCTATACGCCGATTTCGGGTAATGCGTGTGTGCCGCCTTGACGAAACAGCGTTCAAGACAACGAAGAGGAAAAAAAATACAATTGTTTTAGTTACGGTGTTTGGAAATTGTTTGCCGGCACGGCAGTACAATAAAGCGTCGCGGTGCACATGTCGGACATGCCGCGCGCAATTATTTTTTTCTTGACCAATGGCCAAGAATTTCTTTTTTGCTCGCGCGAGACTAATGGAACTACTAAAGCCAGATTTAGAATAATATTGTAATAAAAATTACACCCTACGCTATTAAAAATAAATTACTTGTCGCACGAAGCAATTTTCCAAATTAAATTTTAGCTAAAACTGCAAAACGTTGTCTGTTAAATGTGATACACGGCTTGAAAATTGAAATAACAAGTTTTACGCGCTAGAGTAAGCATATCGTTTGGGATTTAGAACTTGTTGACAGGCGTGGGCGTTTGCATACTTAAAAAAGAAAATAAAATCACAGCTTGTATTTTTATCGTTTTTTTTTTATATTGTAGATTTCAATACACGTGCTTTGATTTAAGGTAAATAAGAAGTAACATTAGCTATCGTTTTGCTTGTCGAATTATGAATTTAATTCAAATTTAGTTCAATACTCGTCTAGGAAAGAAATAATCACGCTTCAAACAATGAAAGATATTGATGTGGAACGTGGCGTAAAATATAGGTCAATATACAACTGATTTTGTTGAGGCAGCTGTCCCCAAATGTTGTTTTATTGCAAATGAAAACGAAATAAGCTGGATTTGGTGCAATTCGATATTTGTCTATTATTATGATTACTATGCCTTGTGTCCATATTGCTGATTTTGTAATTTTGTTCTTGTTGCAGAGTCCAGTCATAGAAACGAGTCAGGGTCAGGCTATTGGCAATTGCACTTAGATAGAGACTTGGTAGAAACCATATCCGCGATCTATCCGGAGTGGTTCAAGACGAACATGGCCGAGGGCGGCACGCCCCCTAGGGAGTCGCCCCCGAAGGCGATCGTGGACTCGTCGCCCATATTAAATTCCTTGGAGCAAAACAAGGAATGTATGTTTGAATCATTGACGCGGATTGTTGAACCTGTATTATACATTCCTGTCTTTTTTTCAGCTTTGAAGGTAAAACTGATGCTGCGCCGACCTCTAGAGCAACTAGTCGACCAGGGCATTATGCCACGTAAGTAACATCTTTTTTTTCACAAAGGCTTACAACAGCATTCCTTTGTCTACGGCTGGAATGTTTTAATATTTACGATGACATTGTTTCAGAAAAATGTGAAGATTTGTGTTGTTTACTTGTTGCAGCGTTGAAAACGCCGGGGGCTTTCCACGGTCAGCGACGCCAATTGGAGAGGGCGAAGACTGGAGATCTGCTTAAGAGCAAGATCCAACAGCGGCCATCGCGCACCGAGCTGGAAAGCCGTCATATTTTGGAGCCTGATCCTCATGTGGATCCTAGTCTCGCCGACAAACAGCGCAAGTTGAAGAAGGCGCGGCTCGCAGATCAGCTAAACGTACAACTCTCGCATAGGCCGGGCCCGTTAGAGTTGATACGCAAGAACATCCTTCATACTGAAGAGCCCATTGAGCATGCTGTTAAAGCAGGACACATTCCGTACCGCGCCACCTGCGAGGGCCAGCTTAACCGCCCCCAGCAGCCGCTCAGCTATGTCAACCCCGAGGACGACTCGCAGTCTTCCGAGGACAATAGCACTAGCCCTGGACCGGCGGACGTGCTCGAAACTGCAGCCAAGTCCGCCGGTATTGTGGTATCCCTTATTTCGGCCCCTGCCGACGCGGTGGTAGTGGCTACATCGACCGGTCAGCTCGCCACCCTCGCACCACTTAAAACAGACAGTAGTGACATTGTGTTTGCGGATCTTTGTCGGTCCGTGGCGGCGCCATTGCTCACTCAGGCGTCAGCAGCTAGCCCGGCATCCCTCGTGTCTTCCACGTCGACACTTAGTCCTCTATCTTCCATTGCGTCTCCCGGCCCATCAACTCTCTCGCAGCCGACGACGCCCGGTCCGCCATTGCAACTTGTCACGCAGCGCCCGCTTGCTGCAGCGGCCACAAACATCGTCGCGCAACTGCCGCAAGTGCGAACAGACGCGCCCGGCAAAGACAAGAATCGCAAAAAATCCAAGTCTAAAGCGATACCGAAAGCGCGCACCATCAAATTCCATGAGTACAAAGGTCCGCCCAGCGCGCAAAAGTCCTCGGCAAGTACCTTTCCCGGAGCTGAGGGAGAGAGCTCCTATCAACTTCTCCTAGAACAGCAACAACTGTTGCTCCAGTACCAACTTGAACATAGCAAGAACAATAAACTGTGCTTGATTCTGCCCGCGCAAACGTCTAGCGATGTGACGGCTAACAATGGCCATTCCGCTACACCAGTAGCAGCGACAAGTGCAGTGATTAAATCCGCCCCGGCAACGAGTCGATTCTTAGGTCGACTGGAGGATATGAAAGTCACGGATCTGAAAGCGGAACTGAAACGACGCAGCTTACCTGTATCCGGCTCTAAGCCGCAGCTCATCGAGCGTTTAAAACCTTTTGCCAACGCCACAGTGGCACAATCGCCGGCGAATGGCGTCAATTCTACGGCGACCACAAGTTGCGATTCGTTTCAGGAGATTGAGGCGTCACATGATTCGCCGATGTATAATGTCGATACAGCTTCACCGCAGACGATTGCTTCCGAAGAACAATCTGAACATATGGATGTCAATGAGTGCGAACCTCCCAGCCCGGCCATGTCGCTCTCTCAGCAGGCGATTGAGACTCCCGAGTCGCGGGAAGTGATTAGTCTACAACAGCGTCGGATAGAAGAACTAGAAAGGCAGTTGCGACTGCATAAGCAGAAGTTGGAAGCGGCTACTAAGACGCAATACGTGCAGCTGCTGGAGCGAATACAATCGCTGGCGGCACAGCAGAACGCCGAAGTTGAACAAAAAATGCAGCAGCAACAGCAGCAGCATGTCGCGTTTCAGAATCAAAAGAATCAGGCGGACGGTTCACTTCTCCTCAGCCAGCTTATTCCTGACAAAGTCAAGCTCATCAACGGCCACAATCGATCCAACTCTTTACCCAACTTCTTCCAAACCGTGGCGCAAACACATATGAAACCCGAACAACATGATATTAAATCGCCTCCAGCGCCACCACTCTATGATGATACCTTACTGCCTAAGATGCTCAAGAAAAAGGACGCCGTAAAGAGTCAGGATGTGGACGACGTTCTTGAAATTCTAATCAAAAGCGGGGAGCTGCCGCCGAGTGCCGCGCAGGACCCACTTACGCCAGGCAATGTCATCAAAGCCGAACAACCTGTCTTTTCCGGAATGGAATTTCCTAACCACATCGTTACCAATCCGCTGCATCACCAACAACAACAGCAAATCTTTCAGCATTTGCTCCAACACCACCCGCACCCGCCGCCATTGCAACCGCAGCAGGAAACTGCCGAGAGTATACTCGGCCTAGACGCTAATGACATTCTGCATCACATCGACATTGATGATTTTATGGAGCTATGCGGGCAGCACAACAACATCAATAACAACGCAGCTGCCATGGACAACGCTAACGCAGACGTTTCTATGGAAACGGACGACGAGTGGTTGGACCTGCTGCAGAGCGGACCTACTGTGGACAACTCTTTCGCGAATGCGAATGGTATGCCCACGGTTGCAACAACGAACAATAATTTGCCGGACGTCACGCCTAGCCAGGAGTTGGGCTATGATCCGGTGATCGCTATAGGACAGAATCCGCACGACCCTTTCAATCTCGACGAATTTCGATCGCCGCCGGATTGGGACAGGCTAGATTTTGCCGTGTAGCACGCTGTGTGCTGGCAGCTGACATCCGCCTAGCAATCGATTTAGTTCTGGAAACATTTAATTGCGCCGTCGAATGACAAGTTTTTCAATCAAGTGCCGCTTATTCCAGTGATGTGTGATTCCACTCGGTTTAGTGATTTTACATACAGAACAGACATTCCATGTTAATGCGGCCGCCGAGAAGCCGCAGGGCAGAGGGACCAGGGCGGCCTCGCATTCGAAAACAAGAACGATTACCCTGAGTAAAAGGCAGCGAAACTCGAAGCGCAGTGAATGTTCATAGACAATATTAATACCATATTAGTGCAGATGGCAAAGATATTTTTCCGACCGTTTTTGTTCGATAGCTATAGTTCTCTTTTTCATTTCCCCTTGTGGAAGCCATCAGCGGCTTTTACAACTTTTCCAATCTTTTCACGCGCGGCATTAGTACGCGTCGGCTTCATTCTCGGGCAGTCTGGTGCCTCATTACAGAATCAACGTCGCTCACTGGTTTTGACATGCCTCGCGTAATTAGTATGCTGCTCCTCCACCAAAGAACGTCAAACGCAAAATTGAGCAATCACACTTTCATTCCCTTGCCGTGTTAGACATTCACTGCGGCATTAACGGACGCGACTTAGAACTAAACTTATTATGAGATAGCAATACACAGTTAGATTTTTCTTTTATGATTTATTAATATGGTCGAGCGATGTAACTAATAACGCCCTGTCGTTGTTTAGCTAGTTATCGATGATATCGACAAAGCAGCGTATGGTTGCGCGTGATTTACGCGGCTTGTTGATGCTTTTGCTGGTCATTGGCGAATCAATAACTACTTTGCGTGGTGGCGTATTCCAGGAACGCACACATGTCCCGCCACTGCGAGATATTAAGTAGCTAGAATACGAGAGATGAGACCAATTAGTGAAATCGACGTAGTATGTGAATTCTACTTTTCATTCGACTGCATTGCCTGTATTCGACTACCTAATTTATTCGTACTGTTTGTATTATATCCTAATTTACGCCCTAATTTATTTAAGTTGCTGATTTTTGTTTCATGGTGATTTTAATATTAGGATTATATAGGCGCGTAAGTAATTTAGTGATTCGATGAATAATACTACTACTACTAATAAATACTACGATAAAATATAGTGAGCATGAAAACAATAAGTAAGGAAGTGAGCTATTATTATTATTACTACTAAACGTGATGGAACGCCGATGCTATGTGACGAATTGCAATTTTATTGAACGGATCGTGAGAATATGAAAATTAGATTTTGCATTGTCTACATTTGTGCTGCAAGCACTCATTTAGAAAGAACGTATTTTCTATTAACCATTGCAATTGGAATGAAAAGGGAAGGAGAAAGTAATGCGTACAGTGTGTGTACATATGAATAAACAAAGTTGCCTTAAATACAATCATATATTGCTTCTTGAAATGAATTCATCCTGTGTTTGTTTGTTTTTGTTTGTTCTTGAACAATTTCGGAACATTTTTTAGGCGCTGCCAATCAATGAAACGTTAGCTTCGGAAGATGGACGCTTGCGCGGCGCACCTGCACAACGCACACTGCGTCGCTCCGGCGGGGATGGTCGCCGCCGCCGCCGCCACGGAGAGATTTATACGCGCCGCGCTCGCTTGTTGAATAGCGCACGACGCCGCCACCGCTGGCAGTAGTTGAGAGACATTCGCGTCGTACTCACCACCTTCAAATCCAATCTCGCATCGCGGCGCAGATATCTCGCGGCCCTCGGTATTTTTCCTATTCTGGGGCGAACGGGGCATGAATATGTGATTGTGTTGTGGATTCTGCATGCTGCTGGATTTGTTGAAAATTTCCTCTGCAGATGTGGCGGAATAATTCGCAGCGGGGAAAAATACACAAACAGACATAAAGGTAAGCCTCTCAACTTGTTCCTGCTATTATTTCGTGTTGTTTATACATCCTGCGAACGCACTTGGCGAGATTCAAGGAGCAACAAGAAAAATCCCACAGGTGTTACCTTAACGCGTACAATTTCCCAGAAGCTCTGCTTGGATTTACTAGGATATGCACAGAGAATGGTTCTCTTTGTGCCTATATTTGTTTGCAATAAACATGAATGCGTATTTGCGTCTTTATTTAATATTTCATCATCAATGGATTTAATCTTTAATCCTCGTGAGCAATTTAGCTGGAAATTCGAAACACATGAGTAGCTTCGTCCCTTTCAACCATCCCCCGAAACTTTTCGACTCGGGGGGCGGCGTCGGGAGGATTGCATTGGCCAAACTGGTACACATTTATTAATGGCCGGTAATTACGACGCTATTCACAGGGTTGTGACCAGCCTCGGCGTCCCAGCGCGTCGTGCTTTATTTTTAATTACTCGAGCGTGATATTAATACGCTATCGCAATACGCCACGGCTCGGGTTTCGGATTAGGGGTTGTAGCTGAGGGATGTCTATCCGCTGATACCGATAGACATCAGTCCGGTTGAGGAGACCTATTTGAACAAACAATCACGAGAGTTAATCTCACCAGCTGCTCTCAACTTGAGCACATTTCGGCATCTGTTAAAACATCTGTGTTTGTGTTTATAGTGACGTACAGTTTATACAAATTTCAATTAATGCGCACTTAATTAGTTGGTTATTGTCCATACTAAAAAGAACGCCCTAAATTATTCAACGCATTCTTCCCTTGAAATGTCAACTAAATAAAAGTTGAATATTTCCGGCTGGTTTTATACGCATTAAATATTTATCCATATATACTTAATTATGAATAAGGTGGAGACGTTGGGCGAACCTTGACATAAATTATTCTGAACAAACGTGAGATCTAAAGTAAATAGTTTCGGAGTGGCTGCTGCTTTGTTTGCAGAAGAAGAATGAGAACTGTGAATATTTGTGTAAGGTATTCGGGATTATTATTGCAAAATTTCATTGATCAAAACGCGTTTGTTAGTTTTAAATATTATGACCAACTCCGCTATATTTAAAATAGACGGGCATGTCTACTCAGATAAAATATCTCAATATCGGAAGATGTGATTTGAGAGGTTGTCATCTTTCAAAATTCCGAGTACACTGGCTGCTTGAATATTGATTTCGGAAAGCGATAGAAACCAGCCAATGTGATATATTTCCAAGTGAAATATTATTTACGAAATGGAACATTTTTGCGCTGCTGATATTTATTTATGCATGGAAGTGCAAAAGATCTAATTGCTTGTTTGGTGGAAATACATTAATTTCACAGATAATTGAACAATTTTCTGCTCGACACAACGCCTGTAAACTCCTGTTTCCCGCTTGTTTTAATACACATACTTTTGAATTCCAAGCCTCTGTTGTAGTATCCTTTGTGTATGACAACACTGCAAGTGCTGGATGGCAAATGTGGGTCAAGTGCTTTTAAATCTTGAAGCAATTTAGCTGGGATTTTGGGGTAAATAATCGAAACGGTTTACAATTTATTGTGCCAGGCCCGCTTGTACATTTGAGGGAGGAGTATGCGCTCCGGGGTAGTACTTTGTGCTCAACAAGTGGATGGGCGAATGAGTGAACACGAACAATGAAACGGTCAATAAATTTTTGATTATGACATATTGTTGAAGCAATAAATTTTATTCTTGTATTTGCACATTGTCAACAAAATCAATAATAAGTGCATGTCAAAAATGGTCTGCGCTTCTTTGGTTATTATTATGGTACCTCCATTAAAAAATTAATTATTTATACGCTGTATTCGGTTTGTTCAGGTAATGCATTAATATTTTATTAAACCAAGAATTCCTTAGATTTTTCGCAATTTGCGATGTACAGTATTATATCGTCTTTTTTATAATACTTTGTTAACAGATTAGTCCAATTATTTTCCTATTGCAATTCTCACGTGGAAATTATTTTCATTCAAACACATTGTTCGGAAAATCAGAAGGCAACGTCATTGCGCGCAGTGCGACACAACTTATGCAAATGGAATTTCCTCTTTTAATTAATTTTAAGTAAGTGCTACTGAAGTCTATTGCGTGCAGGCGAGGAGTCGCAGACATGTAAATGGAAGCGTAAAGCGGCGAAGGCGGTTGCTCCGTTTGCATACCCAGGATTTCAGGTGGAGTTTGTACGCGAATGGCGGATAAAGGGAGGAAAACGCGCTATTATAGCCTTGAGTCGCTGGTGACATTCAATCTTGTCGAATTGCACGCCTGCACGCCACCTTCGCGGTGTTAGCGGTTTAATAAAATTGTAATGTTATAGTGGAGCACAAGTGGCTGCTAGGAATTTACAACAGAATTTAGTTAATTAATCAGTACTGTGTTGAAAATCCTACTCCATATTGATTTTCATTTGATTCCTGATTGTTGATTTGTTGCTTCATCCCCTTTGCTTTCGTGCGTCAATTTGATCTCGCACAAACAGACCAGAATTAAAATTATTGATCGGCCATCCCGAGTGCTGCTTGCGCAGCTGTTATATGAGAAGAATGAGTGTGCGGATGGCGTAACCGAATCTTTGCTGAAACAAGGTTGCAGCATACACATGTCTGTCCTATGTCAAGGCACAGCAAAAAAGATGCTTAGCATTTTCTACAACTCATCAGTACCATGTCAACGTCAGTCTCCGCAAAGTTTTCCAAACATGCGATATCGAGATGCGTGATAAACACATGAAGTTAAATGAGGATTTTTGCTTCGTTATATAAATTTCCCTTGGTACAAATACTTAATAATTGCGAATAAGAGATAACTGTTGCTCTATAATACTCAACGCAATTTAATTTACAAATTTTATACGAAATGTGTCTAGACTGGAAGCACTTAAAATGCGTGAGTTGAAGAAAAGAATAAAAAAAGAAGGTAATAGACTTGATTTGACGTTTAATCTATGCGAACGTAGAGCCATAAAGTTGTCGATTTGTGCTTTTTTTAAACCAATTAAAAACCATTATGAACCACTTTTGTATGAAATCTGTGTTTATCTGCACTCTTTTCCCTATCTATTTGAATTTCAAATTAAAAAAAGTTTTCTTGATAACCTGAAACATTTAACTAATTAACATAAATTTGGTGTACTAATTTAAACCAATAATATCAATATGTAGGAAGGATTTAAATTCTCGCATTTAAATTATTTTTGACCTAATAACACTAGGTACCTCTGTAGATGCCCTAGTATATTCGATACTATTTTTATGTGAATCTTAACACCTATATATGCCAAATATAATCTGTAAGCCAATCAACAATTAATAATCTGGCGTTGCTCTTTCTTCTTTCAACCTTTTTCCGTGAGCCGGTAATGAATGAGTGCACTTCAAGCACACTCAGAGTGATGTCGACTTGACATCGTTTATCGTTGTTACTATCAAGGATGCTTTAATGATTCGTCACTTACCCCTTTGAAAATAAATTATGAAAAATAATGAACAAAATCAACTAACAACGGACTTATCCACAATATAGTTTGAGAAGCGCCACTAGAGAACTAGGTTACTGTGTTCAGAATAGAGATAACCATGTAATCCTATTGTTACGTCGTTGCATGTCGATGTCGTCATGACACTTGTTTGATCTGTATTGGCAAAGTACGAACAATGTTCAATCGCAATGCACAATGCAATAAACTGGAGAATTAGATATTTTACCAAAGACTGATAAATATATCTTTTTATATAATTTTTTGTGGCGCAGATGGCAAACAAGGGATGTTGTGTACATCATTTATACACGAGCTGAATCGGAAACAAAGAAAGAGGGACGGAAATGAAAGCTAAAGGTTTGCGACTGGACAGTTAGACGACTCAGGGAAGACTGAGCTCATGGCGCACTGCGCGCCCGCTTTTTATTTCCGAATGCCCGCACGAAGTGGGCATGTGGGCGGATATCGTTGACGAGTGTGCCTTTTCACAACGGCAAATAAAAATGCCGAGGGGTCTCTAATTTTTGCAAGGCTCATAATTAACAAATATATTAATTTTAATAAATATACACCGCAGAAAGTTTTTTCATTTTAAATATTTCACTATGTTTTTTACTTTATTTATTTTTATCTGACGCTATTCTCCATTTACGTTAGTGCCTACAATATTAGCTTTTGCAACATTTGCCCCGTCGCCTAATGGTGTTTGTGTGTAATGAGTCCTAAACGACCGGCGCAAACAAACGACGGACCCTCATACTCAATACACGATCCCATTCCAACAATATTCTTTCATTCCTTTTGATCAAAAGATATATAAACTTTATCGTAAAGTAGTTTATATTTTACGACGTTTGAACAACTTACTTTTGCATGCACGTTAAGTCTTCATACATCCACGCTGTGACTAACATTCTCGTTTATATTCATGACCATAATTTCGGCCGTAACTCGTCGGATTTGGCGACTACTCCAGGGATTTTATTGTTGTCACTCGGTGTATTCTCGCTTATAGGCCTTGCTAAGGTCGCACTTCCTCGGAGTCCTTTGGGAAGCTTGTTGAAAGTTATTATACGATATAATGCTTCGATGCTCTGGCGTTCGACCGAAAGTCATGTCAACGATGTATGTGGTCTTCGAGGAGACATGAACTAAATTTAAACGCTCTTAAAATTTGATAGGAGCATTAAATTTTCTCAAGTACCACGCATTAACAATAATGAGTCTCATTTAGTGTTTGCTCTTTTATGTTGCAGAATTCTTAATATTTTTCACAAGAACCGTTTGAGGTAAAAGACCAAGATGAGTTTCTTTAGTTCGTTGCAAGAGTACGTGAGCAACAGCGTCGCTGGATTAACTCTAAGTCCCAAGAGGTAAGCAGAAAGATCACTTTATGAAGAAACTTGTCATCATTCATGAATACGTTGTGCGGTTGCCTGTTGTTTCTGTGAGATATTTGTGGTTAAATGTAGCAGTAGTATCATTCATTCTAATTCGGTGCTCTGCCGGGAATCAATTTCCACACACGCAGATTTTCTTTAAGTAGAAACGACACTGGCAGCGGTAGTGGCTCTGGAGCAGAGTCACCAACACCATCTACAGTACGCAGTTCTTCTGGAGACAGCAACACACCGGGGTTTCCAAAAGTTTTGCCGGCCCCGGGTGCCAGTCCACTTGTACAAAGTCGTCGCAGCACGTTGGATAGTCTCGTACCGGCACCCCCAGTGAGGCGGACAGCGTCTTTCAGACAGAAATCGCCAAAGGCCACGCCCGACCATCTAAAACGCACATTCTGCTGCCGCCGTTTATCGTGGCCGGATATCGATCATCAGGTGGTTTCTGGGTGAGTTCTTGCCAGCAAGACACACTTGATACAAGGTTCGGTACACGGTCGGCAAAGTTGTATTTTTATTGCTTTAACAGAGTCCAAGAAGTAGACAGCTCGTACTTTGAGAGCTTCACAGCACTCTCCTGGAAGCAGGAGAATCAACGGCAAGCTATTAAAAAAATGGCAGAGAAAGCGGCGATGGAGGCGCACGTGATGGAATCCGAATTTGGCATCACGCCCATTGACTGCTGCCTCTCTCAAACAGAGCGCGAAAAACTCTACATTGAAATGTTGTACACGATTGCCAACACGGTGAGCGTTAGCTTCGCCTCCTCTTTTCCTCTCTTAGGAATAAGCACTTTGCGGGTGGTAGACAGTACTCATAAAAGCACAAATTGACCCTTACTCATTCGCGTGGGTTGTCGGAACTATCCGACCCGCCTCATAATATCGATATTGAACTTTTCCTTGCAATTCAGGTAGGGGCACCAGCGCCTGGGGGACAATACGCTCATTACAAGGAGGACCTTTATTTGTATGGCCAGCAGGCATTCGACGTGCCACCTGATCGACACTATCGCATGTTGCACCTGGCAGGAGAGGAAAAGCCGCCTATCGTTGTGCTCAGCGTTGTGGTCCTGGACGCCGAAGGACTCGAAGCTAAAGACGCAAACGGTAATTCAAACATTTCACATTTGCTGAAACTCTATTATTATTTTTACATTTATTTTATTTCTCACTGCACCTTAATACTAATAGATCCATGTAAAATTAATATAAATAATACTAGCAAAATCGGTGTGACCGGGTTCAACGAAACTGAAATATAATTATGCAAGTATTCACATAATATTTTTGTAAGTGAAGACTAACCTGATTTATTATCACGCAACTTCATAAAAACAGTCTCTTGCAATGTGGTCGAAATTTCATTATAGGTATAATCAATGCACTCGATCGGTCCCCATATGTAGTTGTCAACAAATAGTTCTAAGGTATTGGTTAATATATACTCATCTCTATCCAGTGAATATCTACAAATACAAGTAAATAAATATTTAAAAATATTGATTAGTCATACTGCAATACAGATTTTCCGACGAAGGAGAATAGAATGGTATACGGGCGTAGGTAAAATTTTCATTGTTGTCATATTTCATTTTACTACTATTTTCAGTCTCATGCAAAGTATATATCTGAATATTTTCTGCTTTGGTCCGTTGCTCTTCGCTCATTTTTTTGCATGAATTTTCTTCATTATATTCATCTAATGGACAGCATTTAGGATATGCTAAAAACTGACCCTACAATGACAAAATTGTCTGATTTATAACAAATTAGTCAGCATGAATAGCATCATACCAAATAGTTTGTTTCCTCTGTAAAATACACAGCATTTTGATCTATTAAAACTTGAGATACTATATTGCTGGTGTCGTTAATAATCCCAATGCTTTGAAAATCTGTGAAATAAAATGTTGACGGAGTCTTCAAAATTATTTGTCGGCCTCGGTAAACCATCTCATTGATGCAGGCCGTATTTCCATTATCAAATTGCAAGTGAACAAACAAATCCTTGGGTGTGGCAGGATCAATTCCAATGAAACATAACTTCTCTCGATTCGTCATCTTTTCATTATAGTATAACAACTGTGTTATTAGAACGGTTTCCGAATCCCAAAGAAAAATTTCTCGACTCGTTAATTGCTTGTATTGAAATATGCCATTAAGCGGGCGTATTAAATCAGTTTCTGCATTGTTCTGTGAAAATAATGGTTATGATTGAATTAATTAATGAATTAAACTAACATTTTTTACCTGTGTAGATACGAGGGTTATTTCCAAAAATAGCGCAAAAACGCCTCCTATTTTCATTTTGTTATGGAATATAAATACTTTCAAAACACTAATTGTCAAAATTGACAAAAACACTAAAACGCTAAAAAGAGATTTACTAGTCAATCTCGTATACAAATGAATTGTAGACTGTACAGATAAAGCTATAAACTCAGCGACAACATAGATAACACTAATCTAAGGTAAACAGAACTTATAAATTTCTGGAAATTAATTTATAAAAATATGAGACACGGATTGCCAAATACAAATTACCGATAACACGGATAGTAACTCGATTCGTCATCTTTTCATTATAGTATAACAACTGTGTTATTAGAACGGTTTCCGAATCCCAAAGAAAAATTTCTCGACTCGTTAATTGCTTGTATTGAAATATGCCATTAAGCGGGCGTATTAAATCAGTTTCTGCATTGTTCTGTGAAAATAATGGTTATGATTGAATTAATTAATGAATTAAACTAACATTTTTTACCTGTGTAGATACGAGGGTTATTTCCAAAAATAGCGCAAAAACGCCGCCTATTTTCATTTTGTTATTGAATATGAATACTTTCAAAACACTAATTGCTAAAAAGAGATTTACTAGTCAATCTCGTATACAAATGAATTGTAGACTGTACAGATAGAGATATAAAGTCAGCGACAACATAGATAACACTAATCTAAGGTAAACAGAACTTATAAATTTCTGGAAATTAATTTATAAAAATATGAGACACGGATTGCCAAATACAAATTACCGATAACACGGATAGTAAAGAAAAAGATGAAGATGAATACGTTCGCGCGCCACCTTTGTCCTCATCTAAACACACATACACGCGTTCCTTTACTATGTCTTCTCCATCTTCCGTACTCCCATCAAGACACGCTAATTTTAAATCGGGGTAATTGGGAGTGATCAAACGCAAATTCATCAATACAGTTATATTATCCTCTTCATCCATAATGAATCTACAATGCATATTCGATGTTGCATACGTGAAATGTTTTTTTAATCTTGTCATACCTTGTACATTGCAGTGGAGAATAGAACGGTTCGTAGAAGGGTTCAAATGGGTCAGTATTGTATGATTCGTTTTTCACTTCATGGATTGGAATTCGTTGCATTTCCCGGAATGTTCCTGTTGCGATAGTGTCACTATTGACAGAATAACTATCAAATGGAGAACATTTTGGGTAAAAAAACCTAGGTTTTCCGTTATGATATAGCTAAAGAATAAAATGATTAATAATTAAAATAAAATAAATAAATAATTCTTACCGCCATCATTGTATCGGTGGCATGGTCAGGCAAATCATGCTTGTCAGTATCAGTAATTTTTACCGATGTTTTTATTTTATTGTCATCGTTTACTATCACCAACTCGTCAAAACTAAAAATATTGAATTGGGGAGAGTCTGGCACTTTCAAGATAATATTTTCTCCATAGTATTTCCGTTTGTTGATATGTGCATCTTTTTCATCAGAAAGCTCGAGATCAACCAAGGTATTATTTACTAACTTAGCTTTGAACCACTTGTTATGACGTTCTAAGACATTTTTCCAATATATATTAGAATAGGTAAATTGCGTAACTAAGATCGTGCGAGAATCAAGAAGGAATATTGGACCACTAGTCAATCGCTTTGATGAAAATGTGCCATTTAATGGTTTGCGAAGTACACTCTGAGACATTGAGAAATTGTTGTAAGAGCAAAGTTATCAAAAGTCATCAAAACTTACGTCGCCGTACGATGTGGTGTCGGTAATAATTGATAATATTATTAGTACAAGTGAAAAACCTCGTAACAACATTTTTTGTTGATATACTTCAATGCTTCAATACGCGAGAGCAACTGAAATATTTGTTTAATATATTAAGCATATTTGAAATGTTGTTATGTTCTGAGAATCGAGGAGATATCTTATCTGATTCAATAAAAATATAAATAGATATTATCGATAGTAATTACTTTATTTTAGACATAGAAATAAACTTAAAAGTAGTAATACTGTCGGTGTAGCCGTCGGTGCTAAAATCAAAACGACACATTAAAAACTGTTTTCATTTCTAAAGCAATTAATATTACCGGACGATGAAAATAAATTAAAAATATCTGTTTTATTCATATCCACATCCATATCTGATAAGCATACGTACACAGCTTCATGAAAAACATGATTTTTATCTGGATAAAAATCCAGACAATGTGCTTGTGGTCTTTTTACATCATCAACCAAAATTTCCAGGTTGCTCAACAAAATAAATTTGTCTTCGCTATCGAGTTTTACTCGTATATTTTTCTGACTGCAATTTATTGGATAATAAAAGGGCTCATAGATAATATCCTTAGTCTTTAATCCTTCATCATCATACTGAGTTCCACGATTTTTGTAAAGTGGGACTCGTTCCACACTACCCGTGACAGCTTCATGTTTGCTAGCACAATTCCAATCAGATTCTTTTTTCAAGTAACTCTTGAGTGGACAACATTTGGGATATACAAATAAGGTTTGATTATCCTATAAAAATCAAACAATTATAAATACAAATAATTTATGGATAGTTCATAAAAACTTTTCACTTGCCTTAGGAGAGAAAAAATGATCTTTTTCTGGCAAATCTAAAAGATCGTTAGCGTCTATAGATACAGCAGCTTTTATCTCATTCTTATCGTTAACGATTGCAATGGCTGATAAATGCCTTGCATCATACTGGCTGTTTTCCTGGACTTGTAAATACATATTCAAACCTAGGTATAAATTAGCTAACAACTGAGCGTTTGTTGAATTCATGAACGTCAGGTCAACGAATTCAGTTCTGTTATCGCCTCGACGAAGAATACCTTTGAACCACTTGTTATGTCTATTTATAGAGTTCTTAAATTTACCATTGTCGTATGAGAATTGTGTTACTAGTATTGTTGTGTAGTCAATGAGGAACACAGGCCCAGATTTTAGTCGTTTTGATTGCAAAGTTCCATTCAAAGGTTTACGCAAATGACACTACATAAAATAAAATACTTAATTACATATTTTTTCTTATTCCATGTTCACGATGTGAACTTGAACTTGCCTGAACAGACGAGATGAGAGAATAACACACGCACAGAAAAATAACTTGTAAATACCGACTTTCCATTATTTTACCTTGTCTGACGTAATTTTTTTTCGTCTAATATAATCCGGTTCCTTGCTTGATGGCACCTGTGATTAATTATCACTTATGTTTACAGACACAGCCTTGGTTTAAAATACATCAATATTTATGTACAACTTTTATTTAATAAGAATTAATAATTCAATACTGTATATGTTTGGTTATTTGCTGAGATATTTCACACTGCACTTGTATGATTAGTTTCAATTGTTTTTAAAATTTCCTAGCTTAATAATCAATTCGGCGAATAATTTAAATATAGCGTGGAGGTCGCGTGCGACGCTACTTGTTGTGAGGCCGCCAACGAAATGAGCAGCTCGGACGTCGACGTGCGTTGTTTAAACACGTATGTGTTATTGGTGTCGATTGCCACCAACGTAAGCGTAGATATTTAGAGAAATTCAATCTGGAACCGGTAAACATTGAATCATTGTCAGATAGATACGAAGTATCATACGATTAACAATTCTTGTGTAGGATTGCTGGAATTCCCAAAATAACTTGCTCTCTTAATTTTATTAATTTATAAAACAGTTTGAGCACCGGTATTGGCGCTGCTACTCGCACGTGATTATCGTATGATGAATCATTGTGGTTCCCATGGGTTGACCAATAATTTGATATATTTTTTGTATTATTTGAAACGTCAGAATGCGGTTAGCGACTTTTGTTTCTCCTTTTTTTGCATGTCGTCATTTCACATCCGTTCAGCGATAAAGTACATCACATTACCAGTATTTCATAGCGTCATTCTTTGATTGCAATAAATGTTGAGACTCTAAATTGACGTGATGATTGGCAGTTGCACTTGTTTAACATTTTAAAATAGAATATAAATTAGAGCATGACGTTCCATTTATACAGAACTCATCACACTAAATGCTGAAATAAACATACTAGAAATTTTAAGAATCTTCAATCATCTGGAGTCAGCATGATTTTGCTCATATTTTTTTATTTCGTTTGATAAATTACGTCAAAGGTTGTGCGCTTGCAATAACAAAGTTAGAGAGTATTTCTAAGCTGACTAATGTATATTTATGATCATCATTAAATCTGTTTTTCTTTCCTTCCGAGGAAAAGGTAAAAAACAGGAAAAGTTACATAAATCAAAACAGTCAAGAAGAAGCCTCAAGGCGCTCCTAATTAAACTTGGCGATTCTGGAGCAAATCGTAAAAGTTACAACCAATATATTTTACTAATTTTTAAAACAACCATTCTCAATATTTAAAAAAATTGTTGTGTTAATTTGGTTCATAGGGTTTAGCGATCCATATTGTATGTTGGGCATTCAACCTGTGGCTGCGCCATCCTCCCCACAGCCGCCCGCGCCCCCAACACTTTCGGCACGAACTCTCTCCGATGTCTGCGAAACGACAAATCAAATCAACTTAGGCAATCATGAGAAGCTACGAAAACACCATAGCTTTAAGCTGAGCTTTAAGAGAAAGGATGGTAGGGTTCGGGAACAGCGAGATTCAATTGGTACCGCTCTCCCGGCCAAATTTATCAGAGCAACGTCTGTCAAACCGCACACTCTCAATCCACGATGGAATGAAAAATTTCGATTGTAAGACTTGAAATAAAACTAACCAAATCGGTTAAAAATTTGTTGAAAAAATGCGAAATTGCTTGTTCTAGTGATATCGATGATATCAATAATGATACCCTACATCTGGATATCTGGGATCATGATGACGAAAGTTCGGTTTTGGAAGCAGTTAGCAAGCTTAACGAAGTCCGCGGGGTTCGTGGCTTGGGCCGATTCTTCAAACAGGTGTGTCAGTCGGCGCGCCAAAGCTCCCAGGACGACTTCCTCGGCTGCGTAAATATCCCATTACAGGACATTCCGTCCACTGGCTTGGAGGGTTGGTTTACATTGGAGGCACGTTCTCAGCGGAGTAGCGTGCAGGGTCGAATTCGACTTAAAATGTGGCTTTCAACGAGAGAAAATCGTGGATGCGCAGATGATGATAATTGGACGGAACTGATGCAGCATGAAGCATTATACGCCGCATTTGTTGACTACGAGCTGCGAAATTGGAGCCGCGAGACGTGGACATGGAGCGGCGACTTGCCAGGACCTGCATTGACCATACTACATCAACACGCAGTGCAGGGTGACTTGAGCGAGCTGCAGACGGCAATGGCCAGATTTGTTGGAGCATCGAGGACGTATTTGAAAACTTCCTTAGATCCCAAGTGGATGTTGCAATTGCTTACTGAAGTGGAACATGCATGGGGTACGAGTAATCTCACCCGCGAAGAAGAGATGTGGTTGGCAGAAAGTTTTAATGCTATGCTCGGTGAGCAAACTTCCCAGATTTTAAGTGGGCCACATTAATTGTGTGTAATTTATAGAACGATGGTTGCATCAGTTGAGGCATCATCGGCAATTGTTTCCTGCATTACATGCACCGTCTCTAGCTAGATTGGAGTACCTACTTAGATGTTTAGCTCATCTATCAACAATGGTTACTAACACATTTACTAAAACAACGGTATAAATGTGTTGATTATGTTTTATTTTTGCGTAGAAAGCTTTTTGGAAATGTTGTCCGTTTAACAAGGAAATTCGAGGTGAAATTGTTGCGGCAATTAGAAAAGGTACGCCTGAATGGTTTGCACTAATGAAAAACTCCATCCTCACTCCCAACGAGTACGACGCGTCTTTTATCGATTTCTGCTCGGAGATATATTATCATCTGCATCACGGACTCTCGCATTATCATCCGTTGTTTGAGGGGTATGCCATGAGCATGTACCTTACAATTACTCAAGCACTAATAAACTATTTCCATTTTTAGCACAAATGGCATACCATACTTCAGTGTTGTGTTCAAACAACTCGACAAACTAATGTCCGATGAGGTAGTGGCATTTCTGAATCAGCAGGAGTCGTCCGGCGCAGGCTATATGAGACTCATTTTTTCGGTCTATCTAGAAGTCAAAGATCTGGCTGCTTTCAATCAAAACCTGCCCTCGGGTGGTGACCATAAGTTGTTACTTCCCAAGTGTCACGAATGGTTTGAACCCTCGGTGAGCTGTTGGTTAGCATTATGTAAAGGAAAAGCACTGCAGAGGGTAAGAGCAGCCGTTGAAATGCAGAAAATTTGCGACGGCGAGAAATTAGTTAAACACAACTCGTCGGCCGTAGACGTTGTTGCAATGTTCTGCCAACTTCGGGACTTCTGGCGGTCCCTTCAATGGCCTAGGGCACAATCCATTCCACTGTTGTCACAGCTTCTAGACTGTATTTGTTCGGCAGCTTTACTATACGCGGATATTATTTACCAAGCGCTGACAGAGAGTGGATATTTTGAAAAACTCGGCCCATTCAAAGTGACTGATGATATGTGTATTGCGGTCAACAATATGGAATATGTATTTAAATTTATATCACTTCTAGCTAATTATTTCGACTTTCTGACACTGGAAACGGTCGCGATAGATAACCAATTTATAGTGTTAACTAACCAACTAGAGAATTGTTTGGGCCAATTACAACTCAGAATACTGGATATCCTACAGAAAGTGGGACCACTGATGCAAGATTCTCTCAAGAAAACCATGTTCCATTTAGCGTGGTCTCCCGACTCCTTGCCGATTAACGAAGCAATGGAGCCATTGTTTGAGTATCTTCACTACCATTTGCAGGCTTTAAACATTGCTCTCCTACCACAAAATTTCCAAAGAGTTTTGCCCGAGGTATGGGAGTATTCCTTAGCCGAACTAAATGTGCAAATGGACGGCAACACAAGTGGGGAAGAAATCCCGCCCAATTTTCATGAACGCTTGCATGTTGCACTGGAAATGATGGTGTCGTTCTTTCATGCAGATGGGCAGGGCCTTTCAATGGAAGTTCTGCACTCTGAAAATTATTATCACGTTGAGCAACGCCTTCAATACCATCGAACAGATACCGAAACTTTGATTGAGAAGTTCTACAGTCAACGCCTTCATGATCAGCTTACAACTGGATGCACGCAATATGGCGCACTTGCTGTTAGAGCCTACTTCAACCATGACTCATTATGTGTTGAGGTAGACATTAAAACAATAATATACTGGAATTTAAAACTTTTAATTTTTATTGCTCAGGTCCTCCAGGCCCGAGATGTTATTCCATTGGATCCCAACGGATTCAGCGACCCATTCGTAATCATTGAACTATTACCCACTCGTGTATTTCCACATTGCAACGAGCAACAAACAAACGTTCACAAGAAAACGCTGCATCCAATATTTGATGAGTGTTTTGAGTTCAGCGTAACGTTAGAGCAATGTCGTTCGCCTGGCGCAATGATTGCGTTCACAGTAATGGATCATGATGTTTTAACCGCCAACGATTTTGCGGGGGAAGCTTTTCTCTCTCTGGGGACTATTCCCGGAGTTGCAGACAACAGCCTGGGAGTGGATAACTTCCATGGTTTGAAACCCGTTGATCTCATACTGATGCAACAACATCAAAGAAGTAAGAAACATTTCAATAACAAGTATCTCCGCACTCACTCTGTTTGTTTGCTTCCTTTGCAGATCAACCAATACTTCAAATCTTAGATTTCAGGACAACCGATCGATATGCACAGGATTTTGTCCGAAAACAAAAACTACGATTTGCCAATTAACTAATTCGGCAGAATTAAAAACAAAACGACCAACAAATGTATTTCCTACTGCGTGTTGCATTTTTGCTTCTTTTTCACAACTGTTGTATAATTTCCAAAATTAACGAGCACTAAATGTTCTTTCTTACTACATAGCAGCACCTAGGTGAGACATTTTTAAATTTCATTGCTTTTCTAACGAGCAACTAAAGTATCAATTACTTATCGTTGGTTAGCGCGTAAATCGTGTAATCGTGTGCTCTTATAACTGAGATAACTTTTCTATGACAAGTCAGTATGCATATAAAAATATATATATTTCAAATATACTAACATATAAATTTCGTCATGAAAAGGATGCTTCATTTGGACAAAATCACGAAAATACTGACAATCTAAAGGTACGTGCTAAGTGTATAATTGTTTTCCAAGAATATAATGTAATATTACGTGAAGATAATTATATTTATAATATAGGATTAGATGTTCCCCGCAAAACGATAACATTTTACACACTCTAATTCATTCGCACCAGACTCAAACAGAAACATATCGAATAACATAATGTACTCGGCGCACGCCAAATGAACTGTAATCCTAGATATCTTATGACATCTTTCTACAATTATATTTTATACTGGTGTACTATTCTAACATCCTGTAAATATCAATCAAAATCGGCATCCATCCACAAAACAAAACAAAGTAAATATACGTTTTACTTGATTATTTTCAACAAATGCTTCAACTATGAAATCATTCCTCAAAGAGCTTAATGTACTGAATGTCAATTCGAATCAAAATATGTATTGTATTCTTAAATGTGATAATCATAAATATTGTTATTATACTGCAAAATCAATATAACCTTTACCTATTCTGTAAGACAGATATAAATCTAAGAAATTGTTTTTATTATATTTTCCACTTATCAACCATTTCCTTTATGTTTCGATCCAACACATTTTTGTGGTGGCTTCAAAAATTCTGTAGTTAAACTTTATCACAATAAAGCAGGAATCCCCAACGTATGCAGAGTCTGGTTATAGTCACTCGCTCATAGATATCGCAACGGATCAGGGAACAGAAACATAACTACATAAAGAACACCACATGAGAGTTAATTAATTAAAAATATTCTACCACAAAAAGTCCAACATGACGCACAATGTGTCAGTCCAAAAAAATTGATTTTGTTTTGTATGTTGCGTAATCTAGATGATTTAAAATAACAAATAATACACATTCAGTAATAGCTAGCGTTGAAAAACAAACGCAGAAGCGTCATGAAAACCAACTGTTGTTATATTCAATTTCCTGTATTTCCCATTCAGAACAGCTATGCAGTAGTCAACCATTACCATATCTCATACAGATTACGATGGCATCCCGTCTATGGAACCAAATTACCAGTATAAAATATCTTAAGCATGTAAGTGATCCTCTGCCCCTACGGTGGTTCGGTTGTCCTAAAACATATTTTCGACTTTGCAGGGAACCCTTAGGACATATTCATCTGTCAAACGACAATCGTTCGGCTTTCGCACCTCGCACGAATCTGGCATACGCAATCTAAGCGGAAGCAAAGATTTGTCATCGAACATTCAATCAACACCCCAGGGACGACGCTTCGTTCGCAATGCGCCCGGACCCATGAAACCGTCGGAGGCTGCTCTGCGCCCTTCGCTACGCTACCGTATAGCGCATGGAGCAAAGCTAGTTTCGAAAAATGCACAAAACGCTTTTAACACTACAAGAGCCTCCGCAGAGTACTTTCTCAGGGACGGTTCAGAGACCGTACCCGATGAGCAGCATATTGCATCGCTGAAGCGTGAGTACGTGAGGCGACAAACCCTGGCACGTTTCCAACCACAAGCCATGACTCCGTTCTGCAGTAAGGAGACACAGAGCTACGAGAGGGAGGATGTTCACCCAACCAGGTTCGCAGTAAATAAAATTCCTAGGCGACATATGTCTACAACTGCTGACAATATAAGCATTGCGCCTCAGGAAATAACGATTACCAAAAAAGCATCAGACACTGTATCGGTACATTCCGAGACACCGTCGACTTCTGAATCCACGGGTTCTGCGGGTTCTGCGGGTTCTGTGGGCTCTACGAGTTCTGCGGATACAACCGCCGCTCCTAATCAGAAGCTAAGCGATAAAATAATGGCAGCGGGTCCACCAAAAGCTCACGTTGGTTACAACTTTACACAATTAACATCTGTGCGGCCTTTTTCAACGTTTTCACGCCCAGTTGATGAACAGGGACCCACGACATTAACACAAACGCGTGGTTTGATCAGAAAAAGTTGCGACGACGATGATTGTAGACCGAATAAATGTGCGCCAAAAATTAAACTGACTCACAAGGATTGCTCGAAGCGTAAAATAAAGAAACGGTATACTGACAAAGACACGTACAAGCATCATGGTCGATGGGACAAGTGTGAATGTTGTCCGGAAATGCTTCCTTGCGACCAGACCACTTGCACTTACGTTTACCCATTTCCCTGTCCATGCGACAAGTTTCCGGGTATGTGTCCCATCGATTGCCCGCCCCCATGCGAGAATCCTCCACCTTACAAAGTACCTTTATGCCGACCACCCAAATGCCCGGTGTATCAAAAGCACGTTGAATGCACTGCGGGCTGCAACCCAAAATCATGCATATACGTAGAGCCAAAACAACTTCGACCACTACCCAAAAGCGACTGCCCTTGTGTCGAACCGTTTGTTCCACAAATAATGCCAAAACTGAAATTTGTCAAGAAACACGCATATCAGTGTCTTGAGGAAAAATGCCCAGTCTTTTGTACGGAACGAGTTGATGGAGTTGTGCCACCCAAGAAGCTGCCCCCAATTATCCCTGGTGATTGCCCATGTGTTGAACGGAATATTACAGATGTACCACCGTTAAGACGACTCAACATGCAAGCATATCAAAAGGTCAAGGAATGCAAACCTGATAAATGTACAGAAATTGAACAACCTAAGTGTATTGAACGAAGGACTCTACCAGAAATTAAAAGCGACTGCGTGTGCATCGAACCGAAACCATTGAAGCCGGTCAAATTGGTACGCCTTCCGCCTATCTGTGTATGCCCTGATCCACCAGATCCTAAGTGTTACCCGGAAAAATGCCCCCTGCGGGCTGATGAAGTCTGCAAATGGAAGTACCCCAAGCAGAAGCTAAAGAACTTCTGGTGTCCCAATTGCAAGATACCCAAGAACAAATGCAAGTGGTGCAATTGCCACTCACGGGGCCAGAAAAGCTGTCATAAGCGAAGAATGAGTACAATGGCATCAATGAAAGGCCAAATCCTAGCAAGCAACCAACAAAGTTCTACTGGTGAGTTTGATACAACATGAATTGCTTTACCATGTATCTAAAATTGAGGGTAATTTTGCAGTAGAAAATACCGCGTCCTGCAGTTTATCTGGATCGTTGGGCCAACGGCGTGGGTTCCATGCTACTGTCACAGTAGCTAGACACAAGAAGCATCCTTCTGAAAAGCTTGCCAAGAAGCTAAAATGCAAAAAGAAGAAGTGTCCGAAAGTTTGCGGGGCAGTTTGTTGCGAGCCGCCGGCGAGGAAGGACTGCAAATTTCACTTGGAGCCACTCTGCTGCAAAGTTAAGAGATCTCCATACCCGGCCTTTTCGGAATATGGAGAGTTCAGCGAACTACTTACTTGCGAATGCAGCCATACCATGCCTTATTTGCAACCAAATATGCAAGTAGTTGTAGATACTTTAGGCAAACAGATTCAAAAGCAGCCGTTACCTAAATGGAAAATCGTTGACCCAGTCCCAGAAGAGCATTGCGTCCTAAACGATTTGTGCCGAAGCAAGGGACACACTTATACTTGTGAAACCTTCCACAAGGGTGAGACAGTTCCAATAACCCAGTACGAGTGCTACAGCCCGCATCGATTACCATGCTGTGAACGCGATCAAATTTGCGATTTCAAATTCCGACCCAGCGAGCGTAGATGTGATGGTATTAAAAAGGAACGCGAATTCTACCGTTGTGAATGCGCCTGCCCACGACCCAAGAAATGTAAGAAGTCAAAGCGCTATAAGCTTGATACAGTCTATTCCAAAATCCGGAAACGCACTAACACACGTGGCTACAGCACCATGAGTAGTGTGCAGGGCGGCAGTTTCCTGAACCGCGATGCCAGTGCTCTTCCATCTACAAGCACTCAAGTAGCTGGTTTCCATAACACTGCTGTGGTTATGAAACGTAGGAAACCACGTGGTGGTGGACACACCAAATGCCGTCCGCAGTGTCCCTTCAAATGCAAGCGAAAGATAAAATGTGGTCGCCCGATGTGCAAGGAAAAGTTTCCTATGTATGCGCGTAGAAAGAAGGGCCCTAAAATGGATGCTGCTATCTCTAGAAAGTTGAAGGATCATTTTAAGAGAACCATTGAATGTTCCAGTGCCCGCGGTAGGAAACGTATGCTTGTAGCTCAAGCCAAATGTGCCGCCAGAAGGATCGGCATGAAATTGGTACCAGATCGCAAGCGAGTATGCAAACTCAAAAGTAGGTGCAATCTGGATGGTATTAAAGCTGATGGTAAATGCGGTCCTATGCCAGAATGCGTGAGACCCAAGAATGTATGCTGCGCATGTGACCCGCGTTACGAGGTGGACGAGTGCCGGAAAAAGAAATGGGTGGCTGACTGTTGTGAAATGCCTTATCGAATGACGGGGCCTGAATTTCGCTCAATGCAGCCAGATTGTTGCAAAATGCCACTTCCCATATGCAATCGCGATTGCATGCGGGTACGGGCTACCTGCGACAAGGAATACATTCCATGCTGCGTCATTGAATCACCGTTCCCGGCATTTAGCGATTGCCATCCACCGTTCAAGCGCATAATACACAACGAGTGCCAGATACAGGACATAATGGCGGAGAAATCTGCAGTAAAAATTGATAACATGCTTGCTGGCTCTGCGCTGAGACGGAAGTTTTGCACAGCCACAAAGGCGGCAACCATGCCGGTGATAGCGGAAGAGCGTGAAGTTAGCGCTAAGAACGAATCTATCTTAGACAAAGTTATATCGTTGTTCAACGAGAAGACACAGAGCAAAGGACTGCATGAGCCGGTCGACTGCAAGTGCAGTAAATGTGTATCAAAGAAGGAAGCAAGCGTGCGGGAAATTAAACCGGACTTGAGTAGGAATATTCAGACTGCTCTGCCGCGCAACAATGGCGACATTGACAATATTCCCGAGCTGTTGTTCAGCAAAGACGACATTTTCAAGCAGGTAAACAGTGAGAATCTAATTTCGTTGGCGCCCCAAGCGATGACTCCTCTGGAAAAGGTAAAGTGCTTTTTATTCAACAAAGCTAACAAAGTAACCAACGCTGCGGCGCCTCCTCTAAACTTGCCTGTAGATGGATTTGAGTATTTCGTAAGCTCGCCTTCAAAACACAACCACCTGAAGACTACGCCTGACGGTATCAAGTCATCTCGCAGTTATTCTACGTCAAAGGCGGCCGAAGAAGAATTGTACGAGGATGTAACTGACTCGGTCGACGAGGAGACTAAGAAGATTGCAGAGGAACAATTAAAGAAAGTGTTACCGCCTCGCAATGTGGTGACCTTAAGTAACACTACTGATTTGGTCTACCTGCTTGAAGATGGTAAGAATACTATCAATCTTACTCCCAAAAAATGCAACGGAGAAAAAGTTAAGGTTATTCCGCATCCCATCTGCACTCACATAATGCTAGACTCTGGAGAACTACTGCTAGAGAATGAGTATCAATTGATGAAAACCATCTTGCCGTTAAAAAATCGCATTTATTTACCCTATGGAATGTCACACGAAGAGTATACGGCATTAGGTAAGTAATAATATTAAATATAACGTGGAGAATTTATGTTCCTATTTACAGAACAACGAAATATTAAATCTGTCCAAGAAGAGCTGGAGAAGATGTTAGTAGAAAAAGAAAACTCTTGAAGAAGCACAGCAATGCATGAGTATGCGGTTCCATGCACGAGTGGTAGGGTAGTTTGGAGAGACATTAAAAATTGTTTAATTACATCGTAGAGCACAATAACACCCAACATCAACTATATAAGTGCTGCAATTTCTAATGTGTCTCTGTATACCTTACACTATATGCCATCGTAATAAAGATCATAGCTCCATATAAATAAACTGCTTATTGAATGATGTCGAACAATTAATTAATGAGTGCTGTTAGTTGAGGGAATTATTGACCTACATGGGAAGCGACAAGTTAAGTGGCTATTATCGATACTCAATAAACAAATACAACAACTTGTGATAACAAATGTTGTTGTTTGTATACATAATGTCATGATGCACTAGTTTACTTATGGCTGAGATTTGTCGCTTTGGGTAATGAGCGCTAAATTTATGAATGATAAATCTAAAAGGTGTCCAAAATGCAAAGTTAATTAAAATTCAACACAAACTAAACACATCAAACAAGATCCTCGTGTTCCACGCATGTAGATCATGAACGCCATGTGTTTTGTTGAGGAAAGTTGTCCCGTGATAAGATTACGCGATAAATTTTAAAATTTATTGTGTGCGACGCGCGCGATGACAACACAATAACAACACGGTTCCCAGCAGTAGTACAGCCGTGCTTGTTCCCGTTTAAAACGCGCATCTATACTTAAATTAGTAGTAAAATTAATTTTCAAGAGTGACAATGAAAAGTTAAAGTTTCATTTAATTTAATTTAAGAAACATCATTTCAAGAATTGCATTTAGTAGTCATAACAATGAAGGAGGTAACAAAGAGTAAGTTGTTGATTTAAACCAATTATAGTAAACCTCTTAAGGAAGAATAACGTTTAGCTAAAAAACCATGGTTTACAACCCGCGACGTCTTGTGGTATATGGTGTTCTCTGGTTTTGCAATAAACTACATGCTCCGCATCAATTTGAACATTGCCATCGTATCGATGGTACCTGCAAAACCCCCGAAAGCGGGTCACCTGAGCAGCGAATGTCTTGTACCAACAACAAATACCAACACATCGAAAAATGGCACGCTGACGACTGTAATTTTCAAGCTCGAAAAATGGACGGTTTTCGCAATGTGTTTAATTTTTACAATTGCAGCCAAGCGTGTATAGCGCGCCTCCCGATCATTCGGAGCATTTTAACTGGGACGAGTACGAGCAGTCCCTGATTCTCGGTTCGTACTTTTGGCTATACTGGTTGACCCAGCTTCCAGGTGGAATACTGGCCCAAAAGTACGGCACCAAAATCGTATTTGGTCTATCGAATCTCGCAGGTTGTCTGCTTTGCTTTGTCATGCCGATTGCATCGCACTGGGGACCCAATTATTTGATATTCGTGCGAATTCTGCAGGGTTTTGTGACTGTGAGTGCATTTTATAGCGCTGCTCTACCAAAAACATTCTGGGACACAAAAACGACTGTAAAATCCCGGAATGTAAAAGCAAATAAGCTCGGTATATTGTTCATTGATTTTCGATTTTTGAGCTTTTTGCTTCGCGTATCACTACTGGAACACCCAAAGTTTCAACGCGCAGTTGAGCGCTAGAAAACATTTGAGTTTTTACAATTTCCACACTAACACATATTTTACAGAATGCACTTTTTCATGTATTGTTTTAGGGATTTTCCTGGCCATCAATGCATAATATGACAGCGAGATGGATTCCACCAAACGAAAGAAGCAAATTTGTTACGGCGTATTTAGGTAATTGTTTTAATATTAATAATTATTATGCAATAAAGCCCGGTAAGTGTTCTTTGTAATAAATTTCAACGTAACATGTCGGTACAACATTACCATATAAAACTTTATTCATTAAACTTCCATTCGAGCGTGTGATGCAAAATCACAGCGTAAATGAAATCAAAATTAAATTTAATAATTATCGCGTTTTAGGACAACAAGGCTAAATAAATTAAAAGCAATTTTAATTGATTTACAACGTTATACATGATATTTTTCATGTTAATGCAAATATTTGATTCTCTGTCGTCAAGCAATGAGAATGTTATCTTTACAAAAATATACACTTCAAAACTACAGTCTTATTTTAATTTAGACTAATTTAAATGAAGCACCAAACTTTTCGATGTCGGAGAAAAAATGCAAAATAAAAAAAATGCGGAAACTTAGTGCAAGATGATAAATTATAGCTTCACGTCGAGAGCAGAAGGCAAAAAATGCTCGCAGCGCACAAATCGAAATCGATAAATCATTTCCAAAGTAGGAAATGAATTTTTACCGGATGCACATCTTAACAACTGTGTACACATGCTGCAAATATTATATATAGATCTAATTAATACCTAGGTAGAGCTTATCAAGTTATCTGTTTTAATTGACTTATTTAATGATGTTGGCATTAACTCCTGCAATGAAGTTTAAATACCTGTTTCTGTTATTTGTACTGGAAAATTGGTTTGATTGGTTTTAATTAACCAGCGTTTAACTCGCTTAATACCGCTAATCTTCGCAGGGAGTTCGCTCGGCGCCGGGCTGACATTTCCGATGTGCGGCTACATCATCGCAAATTACGGCTGGGAGCTAGTTTTTCACGTGTGCGGCATAATCGGTTGTGTGTGGTACGTCTTCTGGCACCTTCTCGTCTTCGACACGCCGGCCGAGCATCCAAGAATCAGTAATTCGGAGAAAGAATTCATACAGAAAAGCCTCGGACGCAGCGTTTCAACGGAAAAGGTAATCAATTTCTTTTGTTTATTCTGAATTAATCCAAAACACGCGTTGGCGTTAATTTGTTTGAAAGCCAAGCAGCTAATTATTTATCGTCGTTAAATTTTAATGATTTAATTTAAAACATAATAACTAAATACAATTTTTACTATATTATTTTATAATATGATATAAATTGTTGTTAAAAATACGAGTACAACGACGAGTTCAGTCGAGTTCAAGTTTGTTTTGCTCCAGTTCTAGTACTCAGGATTAATCGTATTGTTATCTAAAGGTACTTGTCTAGTCAATCTAATCAAAATTACAAATTCCTATTGATTCTCAGAAATATACGATGGCGTAATATACTAAGAATTCAATCATTAAGCAATTTAGTTTTTATAACGATGAAAAAGGAATTCGTCCATTGCACTTGAAGTTTGACGTCAAGCAGCGTTTCGAGATTAGTTGCAATTATTGGAATTAGTCATGTTTTTGTTTGCACGAAATCAAGTGTTAAGACTATCGCCCAAATAATCTTGATGGAATAACACGCTCAAATTGAAAATGAAAGAAAGGAAGGGGCGTTTTTAGGTGTTTTTACTTCAAGTGCAATGACTTGAAATAAGTTTTCCACATGCTTCATTTGCACGAGATGTATTGTCGCAACTGCAATAAATCCACAGACAAATATATAGTGATAATATTCTGGAAAGTGATCATCCGTGTACCTCACAGTTGCGCCACTATTATACTAATATAATTGATGAGCAGCTATTAATAAATTCCGACGAGACGCACGGGGATTTGACGTGTGCCGAAATGAATTTACAGCGAGAACAATGCAACGTGCGATGTCACGCCATACAATGCCGCTTACCGTGCTTCTCTCCACGACAGATGATGAGGATTTTCGTTCATCGCAATGCAAACACAACAAAAACAAGCGAAAGCACTAGAATAGCATCGGCTGTTAGAGAAAAACAAAAATCAAATCAAACTATAATTGATATGTAAATTTTCGCATATTTAATTAATTCCATTAATAATTACATTCAAGGTATACTAATATGTATTTTAGGTACACGTAATTGATTCCCATTGATGGATTTAGATTGATTGACTCAATTTAGAGGCATTAGTTCATGAATGCATAATATAATCAATCATATCGTAATAAACCTCATGATGCTGTTTGAGTGAGATAAAAGCCACTAAGGCATCATGCTTTTAAAACATCATTTTATTACCTAATGCTAATCTAAAAGCAATTTTTCCGAATTAGAAATTTATTGGTTAATTTAAAAAGCTTTCCGCTTCTGATTTATTGATTTATTAATTGCAGGTATACAAATGGGCTTATCGGGCTTTATTTCCGTCCTTCCCGGATTCATCTCGCCGACGATTGTGGGAGTCCTGACGAACAACAACGTAAGTTTTTTTTGCTTTACGCCTGCTTAATATGTTGGATGCGTTTCGCTTTTACTATTCTTTTATCTTTCCCTGATCGAATTACCTACTAAAATCGTGCGTGAGAGTCAAACTTTTTCGCGGTTGCCAAAGTTTTTTTTATTCTCTGCTTTCCCACAGAAAACTTTTTCATTAGAAAATAGAATGCGATATCACCCAATTTTCTTTATGTAAATTAGAAAAACTTTATCGCAAATTCCTGAAACATTGCAAACGTTCAGCTTTTGAGCTCAAATCTCGAATAGGATCAATGTATATTTAATGACTACTGACCGACCACTAGCAGAACTCAACTGAGCTTTTGACCGCTACCAAAAGCTTTACGTCGAAAATGTCGAACCACTAGAGCCAACTCGGGGTATTCGTCTTTTGTTAAGAACACCAAAGAATTGAGCAAATACAGTATGATTTAAATCACAATAGATAAAGCTGAAAACAGTTTAGAAGCAAGTTTTTGTACGATACATTTTAAACTTGAAACATTCTCTGCTAGTAAGCCCGTTTTATAAAGCCGGTAAAGGATCTTGCGGTCAAAGTTCGAAACGCGTATTTATCAAGCCATGTAATCCACTGTACAGCCCCAGGATTGATATTGCCGGTTTGACCTTTCCTATTCATCGACTATTCAATCTGTGCCATGTAGAATACGAGATGAGGTGATGCAGGTTGGTTGCGCAATCCTCTCGTTGTTCCAACTGCATATCTACAATCGGAAAAGTTTAAACTTGAAATTCCTTTCAGAATTTTACTTTTTTCTCAAATTTCATGCTGCGTGCATGTTATTTAGAATGTTGCATGCATTAGTGTTCAGTTGCAGAGTAATTACGACGATGCTTTGTCCTTGCGATGCAGAAACAGGAAATGTGGTTGACAAAGCGTTTAGAAAATTGAAAACCACGCGCACAATTTGACGTGAAATCCAATACAAAATACCAGCGGTGAAAAGAACAATTCACAATTAAATTTAGCTCGCATATATGTTTTTGTTCCAATCTTTACGAAAAAAAATGCAGGACCACAACAAAACGCAAACAAAAAGCACAAGTTGACAAAAACCGCAAAACTTATGTCTTGACTGCGCCAACATGTGACAAGGCAGCTTGTATTTTCTTAAACAACTTTTTACACACGAGCTTTCTAAACACATATCAATCTGCGAGATGTTTTTGCGTGATCGTGCGACTCGTCGGTTCAAGTACCGCTTATCAAACCGTCACTCACTTTCGCCAGAAGCAAAACAAAGCAAGAAGTTTATTTCTCCAGAGGCAGATGTTTTTTTATGGAAGCCAATCAATCCATCACCAACAGCAAATTTTATTTTATCATTCCATAAACAATCATGATTCGTAGCTGAATAAATCCATAAATGCTTACAAGTAGTGCATTTGAAAGCTTTTCACAAAATGCGCATTGAATTTTTATGGATGTTTACAGCAAACAGTCGGACAATGGCAAAAAGTCTTTTTCATCGCGGCAGGGATGCTAATAGTGCCGGCAATCACCTACGTGTTGTTCGCCAAATCCGAGCTGCAGGAGTGGAACGACCCTCTAGACGAGCGCAAGCTGAAAATCATCCAGGCTGAACTGGAAGGTCTGCGAGTCGACGGTGAAGCGGACGACCGCGATCGAGGGAATACTACATCAAAGGAAATCAAACATCAAGAGGCTACTGCTGAGCAAGAGAATCGATAGTCTACGCACAGAAGAACAATTTCACTCACACACATGTAAAAATAGGTAGAAAACAATAAGATGTTAATTTTGGTAATCAAATTAAAACGATAATCATTGTTCCACACGTTGTGAAATTAGTCTTCTTACTTGTTACCCTGATAACTAATTAGTGCCACGTTTCTTATTATACCAATTTATTTGTTAAACTATAGGGGTGCCATGACCAAAGTACGTTCTTGTGGCTTTTGTAATTAGAGCAAACAAAAACGTCCAACTGGTCCAGCATTCAAGCACAAATTCAATCGATGTCGAGCTTGTTATTCGATCGGTATCCAATGGATTTAGTTGAGTTCTAATTTACCATTAACGAGACAAAAGTGTTCACGTTTTGGCTTCAGTTCTAGAAATAATTAGGATTAGATTTCTATAAAATAGGTTTCATCAAGGACCTAGTTCGACATGTGAAATGAACCGAATGCTCTCCAAGAATTTCAACTACATCGGACCGAAATTGACTTGAATACTTGACACCAAAGTCGAAATGCAAAGCAAGTGATAAACTGTTTGCAAGTTACAGCCGCACATGTTGCACTCGAGTTTAGATTGATACTTGGTCCTTGGCATTGTATCGGTTCTGTCAACTTGCACCAAGTCGACTGCTTGTGGCCGAGGACGGTACTTTGGATAAATGGAAAGTTGTAAGTAATTGAATTTTGGCTGCACCGCCAACTTGTAAACTCAAGAATTTCAACATGCGCTAAATTAACTCCAAAAGTACTTTCACAAGGCATTGAGCAATTTTTGAATTCAAATATGTTTTTTGATTGATGATTTCTAGCCGAAGAACAAATAAACAAAACAACTTTCCGCCACTGAAGCCAACATCAGTCATTCCCAAAAGTGATCACTGAAGCGGAAGCTTGGGTCATAAATATTTTCCGAGTATTTGAAGTTAACAAATGGTACCGAAATAATGATTTTTCTGAGCAAAAGTGTAGCGCTTTTTTAGCTGTGATTTTATATGGGCAAATAGCCAAACGACCAACCAACCAGACATCCCACTCTTTCAGCAGCTTTTGGTGGAAAACGAATTCGTTCAGAAATTCGAATGTAATATTATGACAGGAATAACACATATTTGCGGAAAAGCTACGAGGCAAGGGAATTCGATCCAGTATTTTAATAATCCCAGCCTCAATCAGCAAGCAGTCGGATGTCAGCAGGGGATGAACGAACGTTCGAAATTAACGCTTTTTCCAACAATTCCAAGTAGAGACCAGAAAGCTACTGAAAAAAAGAAGGAAATTACAGGTTCAAACAAAGTTGCACACAGAGTGCGGCTGAATAAACGCAAACACGGTGACACATGTTGCTCCCAGTTTGGCGAACAAATAGTTTGCTAATTGCGCTTCGCATTCGGGCGTTGGACGTAAAATAGCTTTGAAAACACTTTTTATATTACGATAATCGCATTAAACTTATTCAAGTTTCACTAATGCCACGTTTCTTCTACTTTTAAAATTTACGAGACACAATTGCTCGTTCTACACTTTAACAACCCTGCAATTTGTAAATTGCTTCAGAAAGGTGTACAAAGCTGACGCATAAAGCGTTGGAAGAACTCCTAACGTAATACTAGCATTGCCATCCCAGGAAACAATACAAGAAAGTTTTAATTTCTTTCGTCTGCTATAGATTTGCAAAAACCCAAAAACAAAGAAGATCTGGCAAGTTTTAATACAGAATAATCATTAGTTTTAATTACATTAACGAAAAATCTTTTGTTAACAACTCTTTTCAATCTGAAGACAAAAAAACATATTCTAACTTCAAAAAACTTGAACTAACAAAAAGCAATCGATGAGAAGATTTAATGCAGAGCGGATAATGATTGGCGTGTATTTGTGAAAATAAATGGTGCTTTGTTCTTCGTACCCCCTTGGTATCACAAGTTGTCACGCGCGCTTTCGGCGACTTGTTTTATGGACGACAATAAACGCTCGGCCCGGGTGCTGAAATTAGGTCGATTAGGTGCAGCTCACCCTCGATATGCGGCCTAAAAGCGAAAAACACGATTTTAAAATCCAGGTAAACAATTACTTCACCGACATATTGATTTTGTGATAGTTCTTGAAATGAAAAATTCCTTTCCGGCACATACAATAGCCTCGTTTTATTTTATATAAATAATTGTGTTTACGGAAGTCAGATGAAATACTTAGCTCGGTTGGAAATCCTAAATGAGTGCAACTCGTTGCTGGCTCATAACTTAAATATTGCCGTTTAGTCCGTAAACTCGTTTCGATTATAATTTAATTCTTGCCAAGATGCATGAAATGCAGGCCCGAGATGCAAATGCACGGCAATAAAGTCCATTTCCACCCACGCAGCTTTTACTACCGGCATCCTTTTAGAATCCTCGCAGGACTTGCTGAGAGAATTCCCTCGTTCATCGTTCATCGCTATCTGCAGTCTAGCAGAACGTCGAAGAGAATATACGAGTAAATTCGTATGGGCTGCATACTTTGCATACATGTGTTATGTATGAAAGATGCAACGTAATTACACAATTATGAACGCTGCACACTTAAGTCCAAACTTGTTTACTATTCTTAGCGCTTCCTGACTTGCTAAATTAGGAAAGTTTCAGCATTTTCACTTGGAAATTACTTCAGTTTGGAAATTAAATTAATAAATTGAATTTTTCTATGAAATGCTTTTTGTCGGATAATTTAAAATATTATAATCGTCTTATGAGGCGGCAAAAGTTCATCCGCCAGCATTTATTCAGACGCCGCCTCCGCCTGGCAACCCCGGGCATCATCTGCGCGCTCACCGGAAGTTTTTCCACCGGCGGTGTTTTATAAATATGCATGTGCGCATTGCGTGAAAAATTCATTTCAGCGCGGAGAACGCATGATTGGCGTAGAGAGTTAAATTTTTCCCATAAGGATTTCTCATATGAAGATAATAAATTGCTTCCAGCTCAAAATAAACACACATCGAAAAAACGTTGTTAATATTTTGCACCAAATTAATTTCTGACATGTTTAAAATTATGTCTTATGCAATCACCAAAGTGTAAAATAAACAACTTTATGATTAAATTTCTTTTGCCCTAGTCTTTATTAATTTAAAGTTTTTTTATTTGAACTAAGTTTGCATCTGTGATCATGTAATTATATTATAATGAATTTCTAAGGATTAATAAACCCCATAAAGTGTGTGAACGTAAACTTTATGTGTTTATTAATCTAAGCAAAACATGTTTATGTTTACTCATCATATTTCCTCGTAATATAAGTAAAAATAATCAAATTTCACGCATTGTCAATATGATAAGTGATTCAAATACTTCGCACTCCGCGTTTTCAATTTGGCGAACGCGCCGCCGCCAACCTTGCCTCCGCTGCCGCCTCTGCCGCCACCACCAAGCGTGTGCTTGCAAATACCAGCAACCGCTTGCCAGCGTTCGTTGTTGTCGCGCGTTCGCCAACCGTGACCGATCGTTTCAAACCGCCACCGATTCAAACTATCACACGTACAACATCCAAAGAAAATCCCACAAAATTGGATCTGATTTTTAAAAAATCCTTTCGTTTTGTTTGGAAATGATTGATGAAAAGTACGGTGCATGAAAGTTCTGACAAGTTGGTGTCACTTTCCTAAAAGTTTTAACAGTGTTTCAGAAAAGGCGTGAAAATTTTTGTAAACTGTAAAAAAACTAACCAATCATTCAAGTTGCAAGTTTCTGTAGTGGTAGTGTCGGTGACTGCTGGTGAAATAGGAAAACTTTGGTGAATAGAATTTCTCTCAACCAAAACTCGTGAAAGAACCCCAAGACGTGAGTTGATTGTTAAATGTTTCAATAAACAAGAATTTATAGTTTTAACCAAAAGAAAAAATATTTAACAACCTACTGGTTTCCGTGATACACCAGTTCGTTATATTTTATTATGATTACGTACGTAAAGTGCAAAGTGTTTGTTTTACAACGAACAATCTAAAACATGTGGCATTCGTCTTCCACATTCATAATTTCAAGATTGACGTTATTACGCGAAACCAGGACGCAGCTTAATAATCTAAATATACACATTCTGATTTTTATATTATGTTTTATACATCATTTTATACCACATGGCCAGAAAGTACAATTGAGCAAATAGTTGCGCAACAATTGGCTGTGCATAAAACGACAAGGTACGCACAGAACTCCATTCTGCAATGCGAAAGTTTGCACCAAGATTGGGTTGGCAACGGTCCAAAAATAATAAGAACTGGAATAAAAGACATGGAATAAAAATACTGAACTGTATGCCAATTGAGAAAGTCATCAAAGATGTCCCATTCAGATCGGGAATCGGGAAAATTGCAAATGTTTTATTATACATCATAAAAAGCCGAACAAAAGGTATTCTAACAAATAATAAAAATAAATTGTGCGCTAAGCAAAAATTTAATATTCGTCACATTGACACGGAAAAAAATCTTGACGTGTTTAGATGATCCGTAAATTCAAACCCCTGAGGAGCTCGTGAATATATAATGTAAAGGAATTTCCAATTGGGATGTAAGCGCAGAGGATTGCGGCTTGATGGTGAAAGAGGAGACGTTGTGGCAGCAGCGATAGGCAACGGATATTTAGGATTATCCGATTAAAGGAGTACGGTACATGCAGCGTTATTAAATTATTGACGATAAGTCGTCCGTTTCTTGTATGTGCCTGAGTGTACGACCTCAATCTCAGGTCGAAATCCCATGCTAACAATTAGATAATTGCTGCGTGTAGCATCTGGCATATTTTATTTATTATAAATAAAATTGAGATATTGCTTTTACGTAACGATGATTTACCAGTTGGTACATTTCTGTCGACGGACTTCAAAGTTCTAAAGTTTCACTCACACGCTTGTTATTTTCCTTTCAAACAAATCCTGATTAATAGACACTGCCGACAATAGCACTTGGAAAGCGTGAGTGTGAAATCGATGTAAGTACGTAATGCGCAGTGGCGTGCCAATATTATTAATGGCCATCGGGCAAGCACTTGGGGGCAGGCGGTCTTCGTTAAAATTTAATTGAATGACTTTTACGCCGCGTGTTTTATAATCGCTATTTCGGCGTTTTAATT